GATATCCCAAAGTTTCATTTAGTCAATTTATAGGGCTGCCTATTTGATACAAGACAGCATACTAAAAAGCAGAGACATCCCCCTACCAACAAAAGTGCGTATAGTCCAGGCCATGGTTTTCCCAGTTGCAATGTATGGATGTGAAAGTTGGACCATAAGAAAGGCTGAGCGCAAAAGAATTGAGGCCTTTGAATTATGGTGCTGGAGAAGACTCCTGCGAGTCCCTTGGACTGCAAGGCGTTCAAACCGGTCAGTCCTAGAAGAGATCAACCCTGACTGCTCTTTAGAAGGCCAGATCCTGAAGTTGAAACTCAAATACTTTGGCCACCTAATGAGAAGGAAGGACTCACTGGAGAAGGGCCTAATGCTGGGAAAGATTGAGGGCAATAGAAGAAGGGGACGACAGAGAATGAGATGGCTGGATGGAGTCACTGAAGCAGTAGGTGTGAACTTAAATGGACTCCAGAAGATGGTAGAGGACAGGAAGACCTGGAGGAACGTTGTCCATGGGGTCGCGATGGGTCGGACACGACTTCGCAATTAACAACAACAACAATTTGATACAAGGGACAATTTAAAAAAAAACATAAAAAAGAACAAAAATAAATAAATGGACAATTGGCATCTTAAATAAATACAGCCCCATATGCAAATACACTACAAATATTTTTTAAAACTAAAAAGCTTAAACATAATATATGAAAATTACAGATTAATCTCCCTTGCATCACCATCTCCAAAATTTAGGGAGTTAGGATAAGAATAATGCAATTGTTTCCCAGATACAAACGCTGTATGATTCCAAGATTTAGTAACAATACAATGAAAATGTACCCTAACATGTTTTTGCCTTTTCATATTTTTAATTACATTTATTACAAAGCATTTTATTGGCTGCAATCCAAGTTCTATTTCAGAACTGTGTCCAGAAAGCAAGCAGTATAATATACCTTATAATTTTCGTCTTTGAGATTTATTTATTTATTTATTTCTAAAATTTATATGCCACCCAGTCCCAAGGGACTCAGGGCGGCATACAAAATTAAAACAATAATATGACAATAAAACAATAAAATAAATACATTCATACAGCGTGTCCGATCATATCCTGCCCCCCCCCCCGGGGACATCAGCCCCAGGCCTGCCAGAACAGGAGAGTTTTAATGGCTTTCTTAAAGGCCGGCAGGGTGGGAGTAGTTCGAACCTCAGGGGGAAGTTGATTCCACCAGGTCGGAGCCACTACAGAAAAGGCCCTTCCCCGAGGGCCCGCCAGCCGACATTGTCTGGCTGATGGGACCTGAAGGAGGCCCAATCTGTGGGACCTCACCAGTCTCTGGGAACTGTGTGGCAGTATGCGGTCCTGTAAGTAACCTCGCCCTATGCCATGAAGGGCTTTAAAGGTGATAACCAACACCTTGAATTGCGTCCGGAGACCCACAGGAAGCCAGTGCAGTTTGCGGAGGATAGGTGACACGTGGGCGTACCTTGGCACGCCCACAATCACTCTCGCGACTGCATTCTGAACCAACTGCAGCCTCCGAACGTTCTTCAAGGGTAGCCCAATGTAGAGCGTGTTACAGTAATACAGTCTTGAGGTGACAAGGGCATGAGTGACTATGAGTAAAGCCTCCCGGTCCAAATAAGGCCGCAACTGGTGTACCAGGCGAACCTGGGCAAAGGTCCCCCTGGCCACAGCCGATAGATGTTGTTCCAAATTTAGCTATGAGTCCAGGAGGACACCCAAGTTGTGTGCCTGCACTGAGGGAGGTAAATTTACCCTCCCCCCAGGACTAATGATGGACCAGCCAGTTGACCTTTGGGAGGCAAGACCCAGAGCCACTCGGTCTTGTCAGGGTTGAGTCTAAGCCTGTTCACCCCCATCCAGACCCTCACATCTTCCAGGCACCGGCACATCACGTCGACTGCTTCACTGAAAGGACACGGGGTGGAGATATACAATTGGGTATCATCCGCGTACTGATGATACCTCACCTCGTGTCGCCGAATGATCTCACCCAGCGGTTTCATGTAGATGTTAAAAAGGAGGGGAACAGGACTGAGCCTTGAGGCACCCCATGATCGAGGCGCCTAGGGGTCGATCTCTGTCCGCCCGCCAACACCAACTGCGACTTGTCAGAGAGGTAGGAGGAGAACCACCGCAATACGGTGCCGCCCACCCCCACCTCTCCGAGACGACGCAGAAGGATACCATGGTCGATGGTATTGAAAGCCGCTGAGAGGTCAAGAAGCACCAAGATAGAGGAATGACCCCTATCCTGGGCTTGCCAGAGGTCATCAGTCAGTGTGACCAAAGCAGTCTCAGTGCTGTAGCCGGGCCTGAAACCAGATTGAAAAGGGTCCAGATAATTAGTTTCATCCAAGGATCGCAAGAGTTGGGACGCCACCACCTTCTCTACAACCTTCCCCACAAAGGGGAGGTTGGAGACAGGACGAAAGTTCTTCAAAACAGCTGGGTCCAGGGAAGGCTTCTTGAGGAGGGGCCTCACCACCGCTTCCTTTAAAGGTTGAGGGAAAGACCCCTCCATCAAGGAGGCATTGATTCTCGCCTGGAGCCAGCCTCGTGTCACCTCCCTACTGGCAGAAACCAGCCAGGAGGGGCACGGGTCCACTTCATCGGGGGTCACAGGCTCAAACTCCACAGTGCCTCCACTGCTTGGTCCCTGAAAGTTACCCCTGCCATTAACAAAAATGCATTAATTTGACAGCTCTCATTCCAAATCTGAATCCAAATGGCATTCCTCGGTGACCCTGGTTGCTGGCTTAATTTCTGGACTTTCTTGCAATAGAGCCATCCTCTCCATTTTGTAACCCTGAGGCGACCAAGAACCATGATGTAAATCACTTTAATTCTTGCATATAATTTTAATTGGTACAAATTAAGCCAGTACTACCCAACTGATTGCAAGTAAAACTCTACCAGTGAGTGGATGAGTGAAAGCTGGTGGGCTTATTCTCCCGTCTGCTAGCTGCAGCTTGCAGATGGGGCATGTGACATAAACCATTTTCACATGCCCCCCCTCTGATATTGCCTTTATCATTGGCCAAGCCCAGGGTTAACATTGTCTTTAGTTGTCCCAGCTTTAGTCTTTTTCCCCACTGAGCTGTTGTCTGAAGTAGACATGATCTGAATGTCTATGAATGCTTCATTGTTGCAGACTTTACATCCATGTACAAATAGAATCGTGAAGGAGACATACCACTTCTCCACATCACCTTCCAAGAAACTTTTTGTGGTTCTTTGAGTTAGCTTTAGAGTGCTGTTTTTAGCAGTGCTCTTGTGGAAATCAAAGAACTCTTACGAATTCCAGAGGGCTTTTAGCAGAGAGGTTTTTTGCACAGGTTCAGAAGCAATAGCAACAAAGCAATTCTTCAGTTTTACACATTTCTGTTTTTTTCCTCAGGAACAAAGGATTACACATTGGAATACACATTGTAATATATTAGGTTAGTTTCTCACCTGTATACAAGGGAGAGTTTTGCTACATACATTGTATCCAGTGCAATGTGCATTAGGTTAGTCACATACTGCTAACACAGCATTATTCCAGTAATTATGCAGACACACCATTATTCTTTAGTGATTGTTAACTTTTCCAAATTATTCTACATTAGTGCTAAAGCAATGTTTAGCTTGAAAAGGGGCTTGATAGATCCTGGAGTGGAGGCAGCAGCGGTAACTTTAAAGTCTCAAGACTCTCTCTCTTTTTCTCTCAAATCATACAGTAGCCAAAACTTAAGTTTAGATTCTTTTAGAAGGATGCTAAAATCATGTTTTAGAAATACCCGTCAAAGCAGTCTTGACTCCTTAACAAGTCCCTGCTGTTTTCTTGGCAAGGTTTTCCAGAAGTGGTTTGCCATTGCCTCCTACCTAGTGTGACTGGCCCAAAGTCATCCACCTGACTTCATGACTTACAACAGGACTAGAACTCATATCTCCCATCTTCTAGCTTAGTGCCTTAAATACTGCACCAAACTGGCTCTCTCCCATCCTGTTTTAGGGAACCCTGAGAAACCCATCAATCACATTCTTTAAATCTGTAAGAACTTCAGTTGCCAACCTTGGTGCTAAGGCAGAGGTTCCCAACCAGGGGTACGAGACTATATTCCAGGGGGTGCAAAAAACTTGGGTTTTCAAAATTATAATGTATATGCATAATTTATTACTGTTATTTTGAACTTTTGTAAGGGGTGGGAAAATATATCAGAAGCATTTTAGGGGTGCAGGGTATAGAAAAGGTTGGGAGCTGCTGTGCTAAGAGAAGGTTTGGAAGTCATGGCTGAAAATATGGCTGCATATTTTAGAGCTCAAAGACTCCTGAATTGCACAATACTGAATCATTGGCTGTGCCTGGGGGAGAATATCTGTGGCACCCATTTCAGGAGTTTGTAGTTTCCTATTTGAAATTAGTCAGATGGCTCCAATTAGAGCAGCTAATTGGAATGCAATAATTAAGTCACCAGTTTAGCTTTTTTTTTCTCCAGCAGTCATCTCCAGTGCAGTACTGAGTTCAGGGGACAGAAAACAATATTTATTGAGTTAATTGAAAGCCTATTGATTGGAATCCCTGACTACAGGTAACGGTTTTGTCGGAGGATTTAACAACTCAGCCCCCCCCCCCAAAAAAGGTTATTTAAAACGAATCGGAAGAAACGACGAAATGCTAGGATGTACTGGAGAAAGAAACGCCGGGATCTTCACTTAGAAACAAATTTTGCAACGGAAACAAATCGTTCCGTTGCAAAATTTGGCTGCGAAGAAGCACCTTTTTACATTTTTAATTTAAATCTGCGGGTGTTCCCAGGTCAGCCTTTCGGGGGAATCCTCGCCTGCCTCCCCGGCACCGCGGAGGCTCTTCCAGGGCCCGGGACGACTCTTCCAAGAGGGCTTCGGGGCTTCCAGGAAAGCGGTGGAAAGACGAGCTTTCGCAACTGAAGTTCCTCCGTGGTTTCTGCAGAAGTTGGGAGGGTTCGCATACACAGGCTGGGGCGGGGAATAAGACCACGAAGCTCCACGTGACTTATCCCCACGATATTCACGGGAAGCTGGGAGGACGATTCGCAAAGTTTTGTCCCACCGCGGACCTTCGGGCAAGAATCGCCTTCCTTCCCACTCCTCCCCCCCCCATTTTTCCCCTTTGTTCTCGGAAAGCCATTAAGGGTGGGGAACCGAGAGACACCATACGGAAATCGGAATTCTCTGCGATTTGCCCTTTTCCCCAACACGTGTTCCTCGTGTAACGTGTGAACGGAGCAGAGCGGGCCGGCAAGGGTCTCTTCCCCCTCCTCTTCCTCTCGGGGAGCATCTTTTTACGCCCACCCCGCCGACTGAAGACGTGAGTACCTGAGATCTTCGCCTGAATCGGCCTCTTTTCGTCCCGTGTCTTTTCCTTTTGACAGGTGGCCGGGTTTCGATGCTCGGGCGGGACTCCCGGGTGTTTAGCGGCGGGGTCGAAATGTAAACGCTCCGCTCTTGGATGCGAGAGAGGCTGCTAAGGAGAGCGAGCGGTTTCATCCGTCTGACGATGACTGGCCAAACTTTGTTAGGTTTTAATTTTAGGAGCATGCTTATTTATGAGTCAGGGTGTATGACGGAGCTCTTTTCCTAAGTTTTGTTTAGCCTCGTTGAAATTGGAAGGGGAACCATTTCCTGCCTTGTGAGAGCGTTTCTCCATCTCAGGAACTTAAACGTTGGTGAGGTTGAAAAACTCTGGTCAAGGGGAGCCAAAGAATTGCTTTGGGGCTGCAAACCTGGTTCCCCCCAATTTGATGCTTTGCACCACCTGAAGTGCCCTTAATCTTCATCTTCCTCCAGCCTGACAGGAGCTGTTGCCCAGGTCTTGCTGGCATCGCAGGAGGGGAAGTGCCCCAAAGTTTAAATATTAAATGTACTTGCTGTGGGGCTACTCTTAACACATTAAAAATGGAGAAATGAAGTGTAAACATAACAGTAGCAAAGTAATGGAAAAATAGAATAGGCACGTACTTGCAACTTGGACATCTGCAAGATTGCACTCTTATATATAATATAATATAGTGTAGTGTAGTGTAGTGTAGTGCAGTGCAGTGCAGTGCAGTGCTGTGCAGTATAGTATAGTATAGTAATGTAATGTAATGTAATATAAATATTATAATTTATATGTATATAATTTTTATAAAATAACATTCTTCCGTATTTAGCAAACAGCATGTTGTCTGGATTCATGTGTTCAAAAAACAATCACTAATAATTAGTTTCTATATTAGCAAAGTCAGTGGGGAAACCGGATTCACTTAACAACGGGGTGACTAACTTATCAACTGCAATGATTCACTTAACAATTGTGGCAAGAAAGTTCGCAAAATGGGACAAAACTCAGTTAACAAATGTCTCAACAGAAATTTTGGGTTCAGTTGTGGCTGTAAGTCAAGGACTATCTGTTTATACTGATATCTAGTATCCATAGATAGTCATATATAGTATGTATGAGTATACAGCATTGTGCAAAAACGTTAGGAAGCTGTGTTGTGAATTAAGAATGCTTCCAGAAATTGGAGTGCTAATAGTTTGTTTTTATCAATTAACAAAATGGAAAGTAAATGAACAGAAGAGATATCCAAATCAATTCAGTATTTGATATGATCACCCTTTGCCTTCAAAGCAGCATCAATTCTTACACTTGCACAATTGCACAAAGTCAGGGATTTTGTAGGATTAGAGTCAGGTGTATGATTAACCAATTATACCAAGCAGATGCTACCGTAATGATATCAATTTTAGATATAGGTTGAAACACAGTTATTAACTATGTAGGAGGCTTAAAACTGGGTGAGAAACAGCCAAACTCTGCTACTCAGGTATAGTTGTAGAAGACAGTTTCATGTCACCGTGGCAAAACTGAGCACAGGAACAAGGCAAAGAGGTAGTTGTAATCTTTGTCTCTCCCAGGCAAAGATTTTAAAACAGGCTGGGGTTTTTGGATATGTTGTTCAAGCTCTTTTGAAGAAGCACAAAGAAATGAGCAACACTGAGGACTGTAGACACTGTAGATAGCCATGGAAACATAATTCAGCAGATGAAAGTCACATCATGTTACTCCCCTTTGACATTTGAAGATGTCCAGTAGTGCCATGAGCACAGAACTAGTGGAAACCAGTGGGACCCAGGTACATCCATCTACTGCCTGGACAAGTTTGGCCAGAAATGGTCTTCATCTAAGAATTGCGCCCCAAAAGCCACACTTCTGAGGTGCAAACAAGGCTAAGTGACTCAACTATGCATGAAACTGGAATGGGGGTAGGGGTGAGGGCAGAAAAATGGCAGCAGGTGCTCTGGACTGATGAGTCAAAATTTGAAATATTTGACTGTAATAGGAGACCGTTTGTTTGTTGAAGGAATGGAGAGCAATATAATAATGAGTGTCTGCAGGCAACAGTGAAGTTTGGAGCTGCATTTCTGCAAATGGACTTGGAGATTTGGTTAGGATCAGTGGTGTCTCAATGTGGAGAAATACAGGCAGATATTTATCCATCACACCATATCATATCATCAGGGAGGCATGTAATTGGTCCCACATTTATTCTACAACAAGACAATGGCCCTAAACAAACAGCCAATGTCTTTAAGAACTATCTTTAGCACAAAGAATAACAAGAAGTCCTGGCAATTATGGTTTGGCCCCCAAAGAGCCCTGATTTCAACATCATTGAGTCTGTTTGGGCTTACATGAAGAGAGAGAAGGATTTGAGGCAGCCTTCATCCACAGAGGATCTGTGATTAGTTCTCCAAGATGTTTGGAACATCCTTGAAGGAACCTGGCCAAGTTCTTTCAAGAACTGTGTGCAAGTGTATCTAGAAGAATTGATGCTGTTTTGAAGGCAAGGGATGGTCACACCAAATACAGATTTGATTTGGATTTCTCTTCCGTTCATTTACTTTCCATTTTGTTAATTGGTAAAATAAACTATTAACACTTCTATTTCTGAAAGCATTCTTAAGTTACAGCAGTTTCTACACAACTGCCTAAAACTGCAGAGTACTATATATGTATAGTATCCACACCATCCATACACACTTGCGCGCACACATACACATATCACACACAGAGGCATCAATGAATGGCAAGGTGATAAATTTAAATTTGTGACTTTGCTATTGCTTTATGCAGGGAATTATTCCTTTAAAACTTAGAATTCCACCAAAATATAGTTTACATTAAGCTATAAACCAATGTCAATGCAATCTGTAATGTGACAGAGAAGGAAAATTATTAAAAACATTAATTGCATTAGAACAGAATAGAGCTGGAAGGGACCCTGGAGGTCTTCTAGTCCAGCCCCTGCTCAAGCAGGAGAGCCTACACCATCTTGGACAGGTGATTGTCCAGTCTCTTCTTAAAGATCTCCAATGATGGGGCGCCCAAAATTTCTGGAGACAAGCTGTTCCACTGGTTGATTGTCCTCACTGTCAAGAAGTTTCTCCTTAATTCTCTTTAATTCCAGGTTGCTTCTCTCCTTGATCAGTTTCCAACCATTGGTTCTTGTCCTTCTCTCTGATGCCGGTGAACAACCTGACCCCTTCTGCCTTGTGGCAGCCCTTCAGATACTGGAATACTGCTATCATGTCTCCCCTATTTCTTCTTTTCTTTAGACTATCCAAACCCAAGTCCCGCAGCCGTTCTTTGTATGTATTAGCCTCCAGGCTTTTGATCATCTTAGTTGCTCTTCTCTGATTTTTTTCCAAACTCTCAATATCTTTTTTGTGATATGGTGACCATTAATTCATTAAAATTAAAACTAAACCAAACCCCTTTTTTTGTCCTGGTTTTACCCACATCTTAGCCCTGACTAGACCACTTCTTTTAGTGCAAACCTAGCAAGCCAGTTGCAGTCTATATGCAGCCCTCCCCAGCCTAAAAAGAATCCAGTTATATATCCAGCCATATTCCATAAGCTACACTGGACAAGACCATGCTAAATTGCAGGGTTGCATGATCCTTAGATGCAATATACTAATAATGCTAGCATTATTTGTAATCCAAGTCTCAAAGGTTGGTTTTGGCAAGCCGCAATAAAAATAATTTTGGCTTAGCACTATACATGAGCCAAGTCTGTGTATATCAGTGAGTTCTGTGCCTCTGTTGTATATGAGCTGAAAAAGGATGGGATCTACGATAATTTGGGCTTGCATTTTACTCCTAAAAAACTGATTTTTGGGGTGCGGGGATTTCCATAAGTAATAAAACTATATTGGCATTGCTATTTTACAACCACTGCTTTATTATACATAAGTATTTACAAAGTGTGCCTAGGTGTATATAAGGAAAGAGTGCAAAAAGTCAAGATGATGCCAGTTTACATGGATGTAAAATAAAGCATTTTGACTTTTTTTGATCCCTCTGCAGATCCTTCAACGAGACCTCCTATAGGCTATTTTTCAGAGCCCATTTTGGCCTTGATCTATCTCCAGTTAATATAAATTATGATAAAGCAGTTCCTTAAATATTGTTTCCTGAATAAGAGGAAGTATTATTTCACCAGTTCCCAAATATGAGAACTGTAATTAGTACAGTCCCACTTCCCCCCTGTATAATTTATCATATTTTCTGACTTTGGCATGTTGCCAACCCATTTGTTCAACTTTCTCTTTCCTGACTGTTTTTTTTTTCCTTCCTATGCTAACAACTTATGAGAAAGACAATGATCCATCATGTACACGTATTTCTTGACTTCAGAAACTTTAAGCTGGATGAATACAACTCCCAGAATTTAAACTCGGTGGCCTGTAAGCCGGGTAGACTTAGACTCCCAGAATTCCTCAGCTGATTGGGGAATTATGTTGTGTGGACTTCAACTCCCAGAATTCCCTAGCCAGCACACATAGGGCCTGGGAAATTCTGGAAGTTGAAGTCCACCTGCCTTAAAGTTGCTGAGGTTAAGAAACACTGATATAGAAGGATATTTGCAAGAACTCACACACAAATGACAGGGAAATGCATGCTGCTGTTTGTTTGTACTTTCCTTACAAATTTGTTCAAGCTGCCATGTATTGTTTGAATTTTAAGCTTCTGTTCAATCTTTCTGACTTTGCCCGTTCTTTTTTTGGGGGGGGGAGAGAAATGAGTGTCAGCTGATGATTTACATAGAAAGGGCTGCTGTTTACATTCTGAATGTTTTCCGTTACACTTAGGAACCGTCTCTCCTGTTGGCAAGGGGGATTTGTAATTTTTCTAACAGGCTGACCTTTCCCACAGCTGCTATTCAACCTCCTCAGGCTGGTAGAAATGTAGCTAAGCATGGCCAAAAAAGCAGGTGACCTCTTTGGAGAAGTGGACTTAGATGGGCAGAAAATGCTAGGAAACCAATTCAATGCCGGCAGTCCTCAACTTATGAGCACAATTGAGATCCAGATTTCCATTGTTAAACAAGGCAGTTGTTAAATGAGTCGCACCTAATTTTACAACCTTTTTTGCTACAGTTGTTAAGGGAATCACTGCAGTTGTTAAGGGAATCATGCTTTCTTTAAGCAAATCTGGCTTTTCCTATTGACTTTGCTTGCTGGAAGCCAGCTGGGAAGGTCGCAAATGATGATCACATGACTTCAGGATCACATGACTTCATTGTAAATACATGCCAGATCCCAAGAAACCAAATTTTGATTACCTGACCGTAGTGATGAGCTTATTCATGTCTGCTAATTCACACGGTGCTTAATGGTGTAGACCAGGGGTAGGCAACCTTGGCTCTTTTATGATTCGTGGACTTCGACTCCCAGAATTCCTGAGCCAGCCATGGTGTAGATGTTCACTATTGTGTAGACAAATGGACTATGTGTGTACTGACTCCTCAAATTTCTTAGCCTTGTTTCTGGATCCCAATTAGCTTCAAATGTGTCTAAATAATTGCATATGTATCATAACAGAGAAATTGTGTAATACTGGGAGACCATAATCTTATGTCGTTGGTAGAAATACAAATTACTGGATGTGAGGGTTGAGAGAGAAATGCTTATTTAGTGTCTTTCATCTATAGCCTTAGAACAGGGGTCTTCAAACTTGGCTGTTTTATGACTTGTGGACTTCAACTTCCAGAAATTCTGGGAGTTGAAATCCACAAGTCATAAAACAGCCAAGTTTGAAGAACTCTGGCTTAGAAGATTGAAATAATAAAATGCAAGAAAAATCTTAAACACACATACAAACCTATTGGGAAATTTTTCACTCTCAAAATCATAAAGCTACTCCAGTGAAGCAACTGAATTTTGGCAGCACCATCTGGTATTCCAGAGGTTCAGTTATTGTTATTACTTAGATTTATATCTTTCTATAGGACCCAGCGTGGTTTATGTGGAGATTCTCCTTCATTTCTTCCTTACAAGCCCTGCCTTGTAATGTAAGTTGGTCTAAGAGGCAATGATTGCCTCAAATCACTCAACACATTTCCATAGCTGTGATGTACCTGAGTCTCCCTGCTCCTAATTCACCAGGGACAGCAAAGAGATAATGGCCAGCCTTATTTTGAAAGACTCTTCTTCTTCCTAGTGTTATTCCCACATTAAGGCAGGGTCTGTTCCTTTTTTCCGAAAGACTGAAGTGCTTTAAGATCAGTGTGAATTGACTGACTGAAAAAGACTTTCATTCTTACCTTCAAAGTAACCTGAAGAGATTCATGTAGTACCTCAGAGAAACGTCAGTCAATTCACACTCATCTTATTCAGCCTTCTAATCAAACCTTTCCTGATCAGAAGTCCTCTGTGATATCATAATTCTCAGGCAATTCAGTCTGGCTGGAAATCTTAGGCCCTGTATTCCCAAATTTTTGTTTCTGATTTCTGGCAGGACAACAACTAAAGGGAGACATCCAGATTAGGAAGTTCTGAAGTTTCCATTACATCAACTGCCACCAGACAAGACTATATTCAGCAGAAGAACCAAAAGTTGAACTTTAAACAACAACCAGGTTCAAGAACTCTGTTGATGTGGAGCTCACAGCGTGGTTGTATGAGGCACATATGATTTCTTGTATCTTCATTTCTTTTCCTGGAAGGCTGGCTAAGTGAGCAATGAGAATAAACGAAGTCCAAATGAAATCAAAAAATTATGTTTGATCATAACCAGAAACAGTTCTGCTGGCATGCAGAATGAGTGAATTCTTGAATCTTCGATCAGGCTATTCAAAATAGATTCTGCATCTGTCAGCCTGGAGTCCTAGTGGAAAAAAGAAATAGGAAAAAGGCTTAAATAATAAAGCAACAGCAGATTTTTAGAGGTATTAAAAAAATCGATTTTTGTCCAGGGTTTATATGAGGCACCTGGCCCTGCAATATAGTGTTTTATGGAGTGCTTTGTGTGTACCACAGACTGTTGAGGTAAAAACTGAAAGTTGATAAGTAGGATTGAAAAACCCTTTTAATGTAATCACTTTTTAAAAATTACAGTCCAAAATTTCATGAGTTTTTAGATGTAGAAAGCAGATACGTTGTAAAACTCATCACCTTGATTACCATTTAACTTTTTAAATAACAACATAATAAACATTTTGGGCAGCAATAAGCCATCTACAGCTGTAAAGCATAGCAGGCCTCCCATTATAATGTATTCAATTTTTATTTTTAATCATTGGGAATAGCCTTTTTCTCAGATAAAGTTTTCAGACTGGTTCTTCTTTGTGGAAAAAAAAATGCATTTGTCTTTCCTTTGTCTCCTATCTGCATTTAACCTTTCTTCTATCATACCTTCTTTTTTTAGTTTCCCTTTCCAGCATTAATTTTCTTATATTTATTATTGATCCATGCAGGGCCACTAAGCAGTGTGTGGTATCACTGACATTTTTTTTATTTGTGTTTTTCTTTATCAGTAAAAGCTTTGGAATGTTTGAGGGTTCAAGAACTCCATGAACCAGAATCACAAAAGGATAACCTGTCAAACCCAGGCTGTGAATTTCATCATTTCAGATCACATAATATCTCTGCAACTGGTAAATATTTGTGCTCTCTTCTCTTATAATTTTCCCATTTCCTTCTCCATTAGGTCAAGGGCATGTCTCTACCTTTTAGGTTTGCTGCATTGCAGCTATGTCTCAACAGTCCCCTGTTGTCCTGGACTAGGTTCACACATTTGTTTAACAATGGCTTGTTGAATAAATCATTGTTAGCTGGGCTTGCAGAACATACTATTGGAAAAGCAAACAAACTGAATTAGAGTTTATTTAATGTGTGAGTCCAGAAATTCCTCATTTATTTTATATGCGTTTCTGAGTTCATTTACTTTATTCAATATTCAGGTGATATTCTTTGGATTAAGGAGTTTTAGTTATATTTAACAAGTATTGCTAATAGCTGAGCTTCTCTTTGAATAAGTGATATGAGATTGAATGTTCTTTTAGACTGCTCCAAAAACTCTTATGATGTAGCATCTACTGAATTGAGGAGATTAACTCCTGTGTTATTTTATAAAGGTTGGAATAGAGTGGTATGTCTATCAAGTGTTACACTTGCAAAAGTGACCTATCCCTTTGGTGAGATCACACCGAGTGGCTTCCTACATTCTGCCTGGTGGGGGGGAATGAGAGGCTGAGCTACTGGGAAACCCTGGCTTCAACAGTTTAGTGCAGTGTTTCTCAGCTTCAGCAACTTGATGATGTATGGACTTCAACTCCCAACATTCCCTAGCCAGCATGCAGGATGGGGATCAAGTGACACCCAAAAGAATTGACAGATTTCTGATAGCATGGAAGAGTCCACAGATTACACACTGATGCCTCAAGGGCAAGATTTTGTGCAGCTCAAAATGAGAGAAGGGCTGGTTTACCAGGTTTCAAAGAAATGAAGCAATATAGATGGCCATCTTTGTTGTTAGTTGCGAAGTCATGTCCGACCCATCGCAACCCCATGGACAATGTTCATCCAGGTCTGCCATCTTAAGAGGAGATAATTTACAATTAGGACCCTAGTCAGTAATGATCCATTTGCAGCCTTGGGTGCAGCCCTCTTCAATAACAATATTATTGTTTTCTCTTGTGAGTTGAGCATAGATATTTTCTTTTAGATCAGATTATGCTTATGCAAGAGCTAAGATGTTTGTCTTATCAACAACTTTTCTGTAAACCATTATCATTACAGTTGTGGCTTTCAATTTACTTGTTGCATTTTCTTTTCTTCTGACATTAGTTATTTATTATCTTTTCCTCTTACTCAACAATTTGTGTGTATTTTAACACAGAAGATGTTTCATGAATCGGAACTGGAGTATAAAGCACCAAACCTGGAGTCTTAAGCAGCCAGCTGGGGGCCTTTCCTATTTTATATTAAATATAATGACTAAAAAGCTCAAGTTAGTTTGAATATGTTAAAGGACTCATTTTAAATTGTCCGTTAGAGAGTCAGAGCTGTGCACAATCACTCCAATTAAAAAATTACTTTCATAGTCCTATGGATTTCGATGGATTGTACCCTCAAAGTGTTCAAGAACCATCAATGTGATGAATGCTGGGGAATTTTGGGAGCCACAGTTCACACATCTTAAAGTGGCAAATTCAAAAAATACTGATTTAGAGAAATATTTCCCAATCTGATACCCTCCAGATAAGTTGGGTACGATTTCTATACTTTTCAGTATGCTGATTTGGATTTAAGGCATTGTAGCCCAATACCGTAGGAAGACTTATATGATGATGGCCCATCTTATTGTATAAAACCCACCAACTGTTTTGCTGTATGTTTACTTTAAGATGCATGAAAATTAGTATCAGATTGCTGAAGAACTGGACAATATGATTGATCAAAAAGAACTGTATTCTGTTATTGCTTGTATCTTTCAGGGGTAACAGATGGACCATTGGGTATTTCACACAATACTTCTCTGCATACCATTATGTCTTGGTCTGGTTCAGAATCAAGGTATATACAGCAGTGTTTTTAATGGAACTACTAAATTCCTGGACTCTTTAAAAGAATTGTGAAAAAATTGAGTTTAAAGGACATGCTCAACTTAGTCAGCTTTGTAGCAAATGACAAAGTATTCCCAAGGCAAGACAACTTAGGGTGGTCACTCACTTAAAGTATGCTAATTGATCCTATGATTAACTCAGAGATTGATGATGTATGCATGATGATGGCTGGATACATTTTAGATTGAGCTGGGGATGGTAGCAGAAAATACCCCTTCTTCCTCCCCCCAAGTCTCAGGTGGGTTAGAAGCATAGCTGGCTGCCAGGGAGTAAATTAGGGAGATATCAATATGCCACAGAGCAGAGCTGAGAAGCTTAGGTTCTATTACAGCTAGATGGAGTAAAGCAGTGTTTGAAAAAGTCATTTCACAATATCTTTGAGAATATATTAGTCATCCAATAGATGCTGTACAGATCAAAGCCAGTAAATTATTGTTTAGGTGGCCTATCAAAAGGAAAAGCAAGCTATAAGGTGAAGTTAAATCAAAAGTCCCAGTACAGCAAGGCAAGGTATTCACAGTCAAGGGCTGAGTTTTAGAGAAATTGTTTTCAACATTGGGAGTGAACATAATACATAAGCCTTGTGCAGTGTTGAGAGTAGCCGCAAAGTGTCTTCTCATGCTGGTCCCGACATGTTTTTTGCTTAGCCTGTCAGACCTGTGAAATTCAGTTCTCTGATAATGGATCTCCTTGAAACACTTCTGCTATGATTAAGTGGTTGGACTGTGAGTCTAGGTAACTTTCAGGGTGCAGGACAAGTTCTTGTGAACTTGTTTGGTCTGTCAAAGTGGCTCCATGTGAGCCTTATAAGGTAGACCAGACAAAGAAGTAGACACCATGGAGACCAGTTCTTTTATTAAAACGATATTTTGCAATATGCTTCCTTTTCTCTCTCTTTTATCTTCATGAAAATTGAGAAAGAAGTGCTATCTGAGATGTTTGTGCAAACCAATTTCTTGGCTTGGGCTCAAGTTTTGTTTATCTGATTGTTGCTTTGTTAGCATATTTTCTCTTGTCCTTGAAGGCCATCCACTACATTCACTACACTATAATACTGTAGGAATTTTTAGTGACATGGCTGTTGTCCCATGATGCTTCTGGTTCTACTTGATCTCAATCCTCCTCTGAAGAAACATATTCTAGGATCTTCTCCCATTCTAAGAAGTAGTGTGGGAGCCAGCTATAGATCAGGTCTGAAGGTGATGAGAGTAGAATCTAAATATAAATGCCATGCCCAAGACTATAAGAACTATGTCCTCCCTTATGAATTTCTGTGAATAAGTAAAAAAAGGTGGATCTGGGGGAAATTTATGGATTGTCTTTTTTCTCAGCTTAATTTTCTTTTTCTATTATGATTGCACTTTGGTTTTAATTGATTGTTTGCTACTCAGAGTCAGCAATTTGAGATGGGCAGCCACTGAATGAATGAATGAATGAATGAATGATTTGGGAGATGATGATAAGTGTTGGTGTTTTCCTGTGTTGGTCCCTTCCATTCTAATGCATACATACTGTTAAGTCTTGGTTTTAATCTTTTCTCCCCGTTTTAATTACTCTGAACTAGTGAGTGGGAAAAAAGACCAGAATCCAACCTTAATCAGAGTCATGGCCCCCATCCCCAAATTTTTGGCTCTTAGTTAAAGAACATATTAAATTAAAATTAGCATGTAAATCAAACCTTCAGATTAAGGAAAATAATTTGTAGAAACAAATGAGATTCTTTTTGTATAAATGTTACAACCTATAACTACTTCATAGATTCATCTGTCTTAGATAAAACTTTCTCAGCAAATTTCATATTTGTGGTCTTTATGCCTGGAATATCCCAGCCTGAATAATTCTTGGAGTTGAAATCCTTATATCTTAAAATTGCTGAAGTTGAGAAACACTTAGATCACTCATTATTTTTGCATTTTTCATTCTTTTTTTTCCATCAGGGAACCAGATGTTTGAACCAAGAAATCTTAGAATTTACTCAAATAATTCAGTTCAACGACTGCTACTGGAATGGGATGTTAGTGATTACTCTGAAGCATATAATTCCAAAATAGACATTGATTTTAACATCCAAATTCGTTTAAGAGAAGAAAATGGAATAATTATTTTGAATGTAAGTATCATTTTCAAAACGGGGCTCAGGAATTTATATCATCTTCCTCTTGAATCCAAGTCTTCGGTGGAAACAAATCTTCAAATTCAACCTAAATCCAAACTAGATGCATAGATTTCAGAGGTGGGAGTTATTTACCTGGTCCTTAAGATGCTCTCACTTCTTCTTCTTTTTTTATTAAAGAGCAAGTTCTCGTAGCTGAAACAGGAGGCAAAATAGGAATTTGCTATTCTGCCCATGTTATGAGAAATACCTATTCCTGTATTTCTGTAGTTTTTCCTAAAGCATAAATAGCATTACAGGTAACCCTCATTTCACCTTGTTTAACAATCATTTACAGTTCTGAAGTTGATGAAAAATCAACTTTTATGACCAATTGTCACATTTACATCTTTGCTAGTCCGCAAAGCAAAGCAAAACTGAAGTCAGATCATAAGCTCAGTTGCAGTTTAGTGACCGCTCCATTTAATGACCAAATTGCCAGTCCCAAGTGTGGCTATTAAATACAGGCTATCTGTAGCAAAATTCCACCTAGAGGAACAATGCCCTGATCAATTTTTCACAGAATGGCATATGACTTTTAAAAAAAAAAAAAAAACTTCTGGAAGGAAATCATTGTTGCCCCCTGAAAAGAATTCTAGACTTTTAGTGTAGATGTGATTGGAGAGGTAGGAATAAGTTTATTTATTTTGAGAGTACTGGAATTTTAAAGATTGGAAAAGATCATGCCATTGCTTGCAAAAGAAAGTCTATCATTGTTACATTGAAGTGGCAAGAAATGAGATAGCAAATCAAGAGTCTGTGAATTATGTTAGCTTTTGCAAGATAGTGCAGCGTTGTTCTACAGATAGTCCTCAAGGTATGACTAGTTGCTTAGTGACCAAAGTTATGCCTTATCAGAAAAAAAGGAGTTATGGCACAGTTCCAAAGTTCCAAAAGTCACCCCTAGGGTCACATGCATTGCACTTTGGATGCTCGGCACGCATTTACAACTATTTGTAGCATTTTGTAGTCACATAACTGTGTGTTCCCGTGGTTTTGCAGATAACCAGAAGTTACTTTCTGTTTTTTGGCAAAACCACATCATAGCAAATGATGGGTTTGCTTAATGATCACAGTGTCAAGTCCCGGCTGAAAAAGCCCAGTCAAGCAAAATACCAGAATCATTGCATTCTCTAATATAAACTTTTATTGGACAAGAATCAAGTCAGCATAATTGAATTAAAGCTAGCTCTGAGGAACTGGCAGGAAACAGATAATTAAAAGAGTAAAATTCTCCCTCCCCTCTCTGACTATTCAGGTCATATCGTCTAATACATCTTCTGGTAATTGTTCACCAAAATAACTCCTCAGCTCTCACAGGGATAAGAGAGGATGCCTGTAGACCCTCAACTCTCCCAAACCCCACCCCCGTTCTGTTAGCAAGCAAGAAGAATTACAGTGGTCCTAAAGGCAGTAGATTTCGTAGCTTGACACACAATGTTCATTTAACAACTGTGCAGTTCATTTTATGACTGCTGCATTTGCTTAATGATAGCCCTAACAAAGGTCAAAAATGATCATTTTACAACTGTCATGACATACAACTGTAATGAGCAGACTCCGTTATGGTGATATGTCAAGGACTACTTGTATTTCATGGGAGAAGAAGCAGAGAGGTGTGTAATAACTGACTTATATAGTCTTCTAATGCTTTTAAGGGAAATATCTTGAGAGTGGGAAGAAGTTGCAACTGATTGGAAAGCAGTGAAGATAATCAAGGGCTGGATAGATTTGTGAAATATAAATATACATTGTCAACAGAGATGCATGTGAGGTTTTGTTACCACAGCCAATACTGGTTTTAGATGTCAATTATATTTCAAGCGATAATACTGTCAAAAAAGGAGTCCAAGGCATTGTTCTGCTTCATATTTTGTTGTCAGTATCCTAACCCAAATGGTTCTGAATTTTGCTATATTTGTTGTCAGTCTGTCTGTCTATCTCATTCATCAATTATTTATTTATTTACCAGTTTTATCTGCCATCCTAGCCAAAGTCAGTGAGCTTTCCAGTGCATAAAATTTGACACCAGTAATTCAAAATTGTACTTATAAAATTCATGGCATCCAGAATACAGAAAGAGTGAAATCAAAAGACCCAAAGTCTATTGTCTCATTGGTATGTGTTCCTTTTTTAATTAGCTTTTCTTATGGTGTACTTTTAGGTGAATTATACAACAGTTCTCAGTCAAGCAAGACAACATCACCAATGGAGTTTTATCTCTGAGGTACCCTTGCAGTGTACAACTCATGAAGCCAGAATAAGGAGCAAAGTGGTATCTTCTAAAATTTGGAGTAACTGGACTGATTGGGTAGCAGCAGATGGTAAAGTCCAATTACTAATAGAAAGCCTGATATATTGCATTGTGCAGCTTCTCTGACCTCTCCTTTTTCAGACATGTTGAATTTCTGTTCCTGTTTTTGTCACTCTTCACAAATAATTAGCTTATTATTAGGACAGGGACTTAGTGTATGTAGGGGGACAGTGAGCAAACTGAGGCACAAGGCTAGTTATGCCCCACTTCCCTCACTAAAATCTGAGCCTCTGAAGGTTTGGAAATACCTCTTGAAAACGATCCTTTTAATAAACTTCAACAGTTCTTGAAGTATTGCAAAAGTTGTTTTCTTCTTGGAGGTTTCCTTCAGAGGCATTTGCCTGTACTCCATGTGAAAATCTAAGGTAGACAATAATTAGCCTCAATTAACGGATTTAATAAGTCGCCTATTCTGGCCAGAGGGAAACCATCAGTTTTTTTTTTTTTTCCTAGCATTCAACCAGAATCCACCTACCTGCATTCTGGGATAATAGAAGTCAAGTGTAGTTTATGTTCTACTTGAAAAGGAACGTGGGGCTGATTAGAATTCTCCTTTCATGGGGGACTCCTAGTTGTAAGTCTGTATACCTGCTGCTGTCTCTGCAGTTCAGTTGGTCCCCATGCATGTTTCTACAATAACACATTTGTTCAAAGATAGCGCAAGATTTCTCTCCCCTGACTTGAGAAATACTGCAGCATAGCATACTTATTTCTGCAGTTTGAATCTTATTTCTCTCATAAACTCTCTCAGTCCGTCTAACTATCAACTCAGTCTCCCAGTTGGTCATGTGGGGAATAAATAATGGCAATTAATTCTATGGCAGCTTTTTCCAACTTGGTGTCCTCCAGATGTTCTGGGATTTGCAGCTGCCAGAATTCCAAGTGAAGATTATGTCACTTTGCTCAAATGGAGGTTTTTGAACAATAAAATAATTAAATGAAGAAAATTAAATCTGTTTTTCTCCATTGCTTTGTGCAGGCCCGGATGCTCTTGATAGTGAAACAATTCACATCTTTCCTCAAAACAAAGTATTTGAGCGAGGTTCCAACATAACATTTTGTTGCATTGCAAAGAAAAATAAAATTGTAAATAGTATTTCATTTCACAAAGAAAATATGACGACAAAACAGCAACGAGTATTATTTACTAGAAAGCCTACATCTTCATTCCCTCTTTGCTTTCAGCTCGCTTGTGGTTTTTCTGATGTCAGGGATAATGATGCAACTTATCTCTACCTCACCAGTAAGCAGAAAATTTTCAATCTTATTGTTTGTCACTATGAGTATTCTGGGTGGTTGCAAAGGGTCTGGACTTCAATTAAAAGTAATCCCAACCAACATGGCTAGTGATCAGAGATTATGAGAGTTATGATTTGGTAACATTAGGAGGATCCCACATTGCTCCTCTGCTAGAGGATTGTATTAACCACTTTAAATTTTAATCTTAAAAGTTGTCTTTGTGATTATGCTAAATTTTCTGGAATACTGAAAGATTTCATGCCCTAAAGTGAGTGGACCTTAGATAATTCTAGAAAACCCAAAAATCTGGTTTTAGTTTGCTTGCCAAAAGGGAGTGGATCATTAATTTCCTATGGCTGCTTATGGAAACAAATGTCAAAGACAGACTAGAAATAAAAATTAAAATAAGCAAGAAAATGTTTTTTTCTACTGCTCAATCTAATCCACTATTCTAAGATTTTCAGGTGTTCTCTCATTCATCTGTAATAAGGGCCAAACCTATTACATTTTGCAGAGGTCAGAAATGATTGACCCAATGCTATAACTACAAATGACTTTTCTTCTTGCTCTCTGCAAATCAATGATCATTCTCTCACTTTCCCAATGGGAAAAAGATCACAAAAGCCACAAAAGAGGGGAGCATATAACCAAAAGTTTTCTTATGCTGTGAACCCACTTGGATAATTGCAGATAATCTTGGACATACTGTATGTAGCGTTGGCTAGGAGATGAGTATGTGACTTTCTTGAGTGAGTATAATATAATCAGAGTAGGGAGACTCAAGTTCTAGCCTGATCTCAGAAGCTCAGAGGGTCACTTTGTACCAGTCTTTCTGACCAACCACATTCCCAAGTGCTTGTTGGGAAATTGCCCACTAGGCTGGAAGGAGGGGCCAACCGAGGGGCCCAGCTCAGAGTTGTTTCACAGCTGCAAGCAGCATAAGCCTGATAATCTTCCTCCAAGATCCATTATGTGGTTGTTTCCAGGGGAAGACTGATGAGATTCTTGTATCATAAGTAGTAGATAATAGAGTTGCTGCTGTTAGCTATTTATAAGTGGCTCTGGTTGCTTGTGCCTGACATTCTGGATAAAAACAAGATGACGAAGCACTATGTATGCTGTTCTGAATTCCTGGCAAAAAAGCAGAATATACATTTAATAAAAATGAATGAAATATTTGGGTGAGCCAATTTCCCTTTCTAAATAAAGCAGGGGCAGGGAAACTACAGTTTTCTATAATCTCTATTGGCCAATAGTCATTGGAAACATCCTTGAATAAAGAGGACAGGATATCCAAAGATGGAGAGGGATTCAGTATCTGTTCCCAAGGCTTGCATTTATCATTTTTCTGCTGGTGGTGGTGGGGGAATCAAGGTGATCAGCTTGATTTGTTTGGAAAGTAATTGTATAGATGAAATATATAAGAAAATAACATATGAATCTGAACTTGTTTTAATAGACCAGCCTGATAAACCCCAAAATCTAAACTGTGAAACTGAAGACATGATTCATATTAGATGTACTTGGAATCCTGTTTTTGTATCGACTGACTGTTTCTTTAGGGACGCCTGTCCAATGGAGTTTATTTTGTCTGATGTGTAAGTATTCTCAAATCAGTCTTACAAAGTCCAAAGCATAATATGAAGGAATTTAGATTAGTTGTATCAGGATTTATGGAGTATCTTTGAAAGGAATATTGGTTTGTTGAAGACCTTGATGCCAGGAGACAAAATCTGTCTTGGATAAAAGACATTGGTGACTATCAGAAAATTAAACAAATCAGCTATTTGCATATTTAACTTGAATAGAGGAAACCTTTGACATTTTGCTTAAGGTTATTGTATGCCTGTAGTAAAACAGATATATTGACGTTTATAGTGGCTTAGAGATAAATCTTAGTTTAGGATAAAGCTTGAACTTGTAGGCAAACATCATTTTTTTTAATGTATTATTTTTGTCTGCAAATGAAATAAATATTGTCTTTTTTCCCTCCCATGCTATTTTTTGAAAGCTCTTCTACAAAAATATATTGCAGTACAAAATTCCAAAATAGCTGTTCATTCAAGATGGGTGACCAATTCCTATACAATGTAAGGTTAACCGCCAGAAATTGCCTTGGACAGAAACATGAGCAGCTTAGTTTTAATGTAATGCACACAGGTAAGGATTGATTTTGTTTATTATTTTTTATGTTTCATCCTAATGTCACAGTCTAACTGGATGAAAATGTCAAGTAAAATTTAGGTACAGATTAGCGTGTACTTGTGAGTGCACAAGATAATGTATTGATTGGTTCTTGCTAATAGAATTGTCTGTCTCACAAACAAAGGTCTGGAGAAGTTGAAATTGCAGAAATCTGCTGTTTCTTCTCCTGTTATGTTTCCTCACTGATAAATAAAAATTGATGATCTCTCTGATGTTGAGAAAAGCAGGACAATTGAAAACTTGGTAAAGAAACATGACATTTAGTCCATTCTTGTCTAACTTGATGACCTACATGTTAAGTCTTTCATTTGTGGGTGTAACACATCTGGAGAATACCACATTGAGTAGAAACCAGTGATTTTTGCAAAAGGGGGAGAGGGTCAAAAGAGACATAATGTCATGATGCCCCTTTTTTATATACCAATGTACAAAAAGGGTGGGGCTTGTGTTGTGGTATTGTGTGAAGGGTCTTGCCTGTTATGACCTTTCTCCTTATAGATGCCACTGGGTGATTTAAGCAATTTAGAATTTTTAGTTTGTTTAGCTGCTCCCATTGCTTTTCTCCTCTTGTTTTACTTTAAGCTGCTATTGATTCAGCTTTTGGGGTTTCTTTAGCTGCCTTTCACTCTTCATGGTGATTTGTCACCCAGAAGGGTCAGGTTACAAAAATCAACAACATGGTATGTAGATTGGATTCCTCTGAGCACCATCCTGCCAGGGAAATTATGATTACCCTCCTCATTTCTGCAGGAGGAGAAAGAGACCTTTTTTGGGGGGGTGCCCTTCTTTTCCTGTCTTTGGGAAGTGCAACGACTGAGTTGGGAAATAGGGCACACTTCTCTGATGGGAATGAAAGAGAAGAGAAAGCAAGTCTGAAGCAAAAGAGAATAAGCCAAAGTAGAGGAAGTAGGAAAAAGACAAAACCTAATAGATGGTTGCCATAATTTTTGGGCCTGAAGATCTTTTGGAGTTTCATGACAGAGAAGGGAAATCCAGGGATAATAAAGCAATTTTGGAGGGGTTTGTTGCTCGTTTTGTTGTTTTTTATGGTCCAAAGTATTAATTTACTTTCTTTTCAGAATCCTCATAGTCCTTCATTTTTCTCTTTTCAACCAGTTCGTCCTGTAATTTTCAATAAACCAGCTGTTGATTATCAAAATGCTACTTTTATTCAGTTATCTTGGGATATAAACCCAATAAATGCAAGTCTTTCATTGTTATGTCAAATCAATGCTGCAAATGGTGATGGGAATAAGCAGGTGAGAAGCATCTATATCTAAATAAAATAATAGCAACTCCCCCTACCCCATTATAAATCTTGCATGAGAAGTCAGAGGTGGTTGTTCACATGTGTCTTATTTAATTCAGAAACCCTTTTAGTTTTCTATGTGACAATTGCAAAACAGAACAGACTCTAACGTTGAGACACACTACAACCCAGTCTCAATCATGGAATAGTTCATCCTATTGTAAATTCATTAGCCTTTATGAAGCCACCAAGTGGCTAGATATAAGTGGCTTATATCTAGTGGTATCCTTCTCTTAGTGACCCAGAAATTGCTAATGTTACCTTGTCTGCAGGGCCCCCAGATCTGTTCCAAAGAATGAGAGGAACCCTTTGGACAAACATTGGGATTCAGTGTGTAAACTTTTCAGAGTTTAAGTTGATTGGAAAGGTGGATAGGAATTAACATAATGAAATGTCTTCAAATCAAATTCAAATCTTGGTAGCTTCATAGATATGTCTTTGTAGGTTCTTGGAAGTAATATAGATGTGGCCTGGAGTTGCTGCTTTTCAAGATTTGTTGTTTAGATTTTTCAGTGTAGCCTACAGCTCTGGATTTTCTGATATATTGAAGGCCAAACCCAAAGCAGATCTAACCCTGCTTATTTTGGGGGGGGAGGGGGGGATCAGTCAAAATTGATTAGATGCTGCCATCTGCTGTCGGTGTAAAATATGTAGTTACATTTCAGAAAAAAAGTTACCTCAGAGAAAGACAATATTTGACCTCTTAACAGGTATACTCTTTATGTTTTGCAGTACAATATCACGGTGCAGTCCAATTCAGATTTCCCTCCCCGCTTCCAGCTAGGTGGACTGAAGCCTGCCACAAAGTATGCATTAAAAGTACGCTGTGCTGCAGATGTCGGTCCGTCCTGGAAATGGAGTAGCTGGACGGAGAGTATAATTTCTGAGACTCCTGAAACTGGTGAGCATTCTGTTGTGGAGGAAAACTTTAAGGGAAATGGAGTCTAGAGTTTTGTTATCTTCCCTATCTGGTATCCTCCAAGTACTTGGACTACAACTTCCATTATCTCCAGATAGGACAGATAGAGGATGAAAGAGTGCAGGCCAATACAGACCACAATTGAGCCCAACATTTCTGTTGTTAAGTGAAACATTTGCTTAGTGTGTTTTGCCCCATTTTCCAACCTTTTCTGCCACAGTTGTTAAGTGAATCATTGCAGTTGTTAAGTTAGTAATACAGCACTAAGTTAATCTGGCTCCTCCACCTAAAGTTCTGCTTTAGGCACAAAGCCAGCTGGGTGACCTTGGGCCAATCACTCACTCTCAGCCCTAAGATAGAGGCAATGGCAAACCACTTCTTAAAATCCTTCCCAAGAAAACTGCATGGACTTTTAAGCCAAGAATCAGACACAACTGAATGGAGGGAAAAATAAATCTCCAGAAAGGCTGTACATTTTGCCCTGCAATTATTGCTATTCAGTTTTCAAATTGTTCTTTTAATATAAACATTTTATGGTTAATCTAATTTTTGGGGGAGTAGGCTAAAGATGGTTCTATTTAATTTATGGTTTGAGAATTTGAACTTTTTTTCTCTTTGTGAATGGATAGCTGGTCATACAATATAAATAAAAGTCACTTTTCTACTCACAAATGAGAGATTCTGTTATTATCTACACTCAGTTTGATATTTACGGTATTAATAGTCTATTGTGAATTTATATCCTCTTTTCTTATTTCAAGAATAGCCATCACTTCTTTTACAAAGACAATTAAAGTAAGAAAGAAATGGTTATCAGAATGAAAATTTTGTAAACACTGTCAAAGAATGCAAGTGTCCGTCTTAAGGTATCTGTCTGTGACTTGTGAAAGTGTAGAATATATTATATTAATATAACAATGTATTTATATAATTATACTCTTTCTATTTGATCATTAAGCCTGCTTACATCATATGTTGCATGCTTTGATTTTCAGCTCCATCAGGATTGCTTGATGTCTGGAGATATATTAACCCAGACTTGGAGCAACATAATGTAACTGTATTCTGGAAGGTAAGTCTGGCCATTCATATAAAACTGATAGGACATATAGAAGCATATATAAATAAATAAACAAATAGCCATCACACTATTCCTGTTTTAGGTGAGCAACACTGTGCTAAATGCAGAAGGATAACAAGTATAGCAAGAAACAAGCATTCAATAATTTAATAGACTAAAAATGGACAACAGATGGTTCATAAATATTGACTTCCTTCATTGATCTTGGATTTGGTCATTCATGCTTCCATATAATGCAGGGGTCTTCATACTGGACCCCTTTATGACTTCTGGACTTCAACTTCCAGAATTCCTCAGCCAGCATGCTGGGAGTTGAAGTCCACAAGTGATAAAAGGGCCAAGTTTGAAGACCCCTGATACAATGCTTTTTAGAAAGACCAAGAATGGTACCAGCCTTGGTTACAGGCAACATTCCCTAGTAATGATAAAGGCCTAGTAGAAGTAGAAAAGTACATTCAGGAAAATGAAATTTTGAATGATAAATAAAATATTCTACTTTTCACAGCAATAATATTCATAGAATAGAATTATATGGGATATTATACAACAAACTTTGCACACTATAGAATGATATTTCTTTGGTTGTGATATTTGTGGGGTTTTTTTTTTTACAGTAAATTACTGTGTGATAATGCAAAATGGAAGTGCAGCATTTTCATTTTTAACAATTGATGCCTCACCATTATGGACAACTGAGGGGGTTAAGATTTTTTCTATTAAAAGTGCCCATATCCTGTTATGAAAGTGTCTGATAGAATCATGTATAGTTTAGTCACGTGCTTGATGTACCACAGAGCTTACTCTGTTATCCACACACAATAAATACAGTAAATAAATCTGGGTGAGTTTGGGGTGTATGAAAGAATAGCATGAAATTCTGTTCTCTTTGTGGACTCAAGTCTTGAAGATAAGGATATCTATTTTCTATAAGCCATTGTAAAGGAAATGTAGTGTTATCTTGTATGTTCTTTCTCACACAGTGAGAAAACTGATAACATCTGTAACAAAAAACAATCTGAAACTATTCTAGAAAAGTGCATTGATGAGAAATGTTTTTTTAAGATAATTTTGCTTTCCTGCCCATAGGAATCCTCAGAATTTCGTGCTAATGGAAAGATCCAAAAGTATCACCTATCCTTGGAAAACTTAGAGGAGCCTTCTATGCAGCATCACAATTACTCAAGTTCTGCATCACAGAAATCCTCAATGATTTCTCTTGGCAACCATTCTTACAAAATCCTTGTCTGGGCACAGAATGGTGTATCTGCATCTTCTCCCTCAGTGATTATCATCCCAGCAACTAATAAAAATGGTGTGTTCATTTAGACATGTTACTGTAATGAATCTTCCTTTCCTGAACCAGAAAGCAATGTGAAACCACAACCCCAGATTTTTTTTATTTCCATGATTACATAGTAAGATTCTACTCCTATTGTATTGTTTGTTTGTTTATTTATTTATTTAATTTGTATCCTGCCTTTATTATTTTTACAAATAACTCAAGGCAGAGAATATATCCAATATGCCTTCCTCCTCCTGTTTTCCTCACAACATCAATCCTGTGAGGTGAATTGGGCTCACTTGCTGGCTTTCATGGCTAGATTTGAACACATTGCCTCCCACTTTCTAGAATGGTACCATAACCACTAGACCAGGGGTAAGCAACCCAAAACACTCAAAGAGCCGCTTGGACCCATTTCCCACTGAAGACAAAACACTGGGAGCCGCAAAACCCTTTTGATATCTAAAATGAAGATAACACTGCATATATCCTTTTTTACCTTTAATATATATATATATATATATCATAAAGGTAAAACAGGATATATGCAGTGTTATCTTCATTTTAGATGACAAAAGAGTCTCTCTCTCTCTCTCTCCCTTCCTCCTTTCCCTCTCCCTCTTTCTGCCCTTGGTCTGCCAGTCCTCTTCCCCCGCTCTCTTTTTTTCTCTCTCTCTCTTTCCTCTCTCTCTCTCTCTCCCTCCCTCTCCCTCTCTTTCTCTCCCCCCCCACCGTCTCTCCATCTCTCCGATCTGCTGCTCACCTGGCAAGCTGGCTTCAAGCTGTTCTCCAACAAGCTCAGGGGTAGGCAACCTTGGCTTTTTTATGACTCATGGATTTCAACTCCCAGAATTCTTGAGTCAGCATAGCTGGGTTAGCTAGCTCTCTCCTGCCCTTCCTGTTTCCTGCTTCCTGCAGAGATGCAGCAAAGGGAGGAGCCCCGCCCCAAAAGCTTTTCAGCTTGTCGGAGAACACTGTGAGTCTACTCTGTTTTACACACACACACACACACACACAAACACAGAGAGAAAGAGAGAGAGAAGCAAGGAAGCGCAAGTGCCTCTCTCTGTCTCTGTCTCTCTCTGCAAATGGCAGAGGAGGCTGGGAGCCACAGGGGAAGGCTCAAAGAGCCACATGCGGCTCCAGAGCCGCAGGTTGCTGACCTGTGCACTAGACCAAACTGGCTGTCTTATCAAACTTAATAAACTTTTGTTTGAGTAAATGTTTGGGATTTCAGCCTTTATATGTCAGTTTATACTCTGCTGCTCCCTGGATATGACATTTTTTTTTATGCATTGCAGTGTAAAATGTTTAGCAATTTACTCACTGCTTATATTATGCATTTAAAGCATTTATACACATAACTTTACTTTTAAAATTCTGCATTGTTCATTTCATTTTCCACAAACCCAGAGAAGTTCCAGGGTCTGTGCTACAAAGATGATAATGTAATTTTAATTATCTCTTCTCAAAAATAATTCCCATTTAATTTCATGAGATATACTTTCACATGAATGGAGATGGACTTTTCACCCAGATTTCACTGAATGAAAAAGCATTGAGAATTACAGTGTAGTTTGTTTAACTGAATTCTTTAAAATAAACAGGGAATGGTGAAATGTAAGTTTTTTCTCTCCTGGCAGAAAACAAAACAACTAATTCAGTGTTTCTCAACCTTGGCCACTTTAAGATGCGTGGACTTCAACTCTCAGAATCCCCTAGCCAGCAAACCTGGCTGGAGAATTCTGGGAGTTGAAGTCCACGCATCTTAAAGCGGCCAAGGTTGAGAAACACTGAACTAATTCTACTGTTTTATTTAGTGCATGTATATCTAGGACTTGTTCCTGGTTAGATTTAATTACAGTTTAAATATGCCGGGTAAATATTTTTTTTTCTGAAAGTTCCTATAACATTGCCTAGAATTCATAGTGAATGAGAATGCATGTTCACCAAAGGTTGACAAAAATTGTTGGAGGATCAACAGAACATTTGCATTTTTGTATATGTCTTTTCAGAAAGCTGTGTGAAAGAAGGATAAATATTATGAATGACATTTAAAGATTTTGGTGCTGATGCCTAAAAATTGTTGCATTTTTTTAAGGTAAAGTGCATTTAAGTAAGGAGACCACAGATAACAATACAGAACATGGAATTTATATTTCTTGGAAGCCTCAAAGCAAGTTTAGTCAATATGTTGTTGACTGGTGTAACCACCCCACAGGTAATGCGTGTGATTTTCAGTGGAAGAAGTATGAGCAAAACAAATCGAGTGATCTCATTACATCTGGTAAGAAAAAATTAAGTTTGTTAGTGAATAATTCCAGAGATCATTGCTGTTTGGTTGTTAAAGCTACTGTAACAATGAATTCTTCTTTGAGTGATTTTATGGACAAATCTATAGCTTCATTGCCAGCAATATAGAAATGATTAGCCCTTGTTTTCTTCTGGAATATTTTTACAACTTCTTAGTTACTGTGAGGTTTTCCTACCTGAGAATTAGCAAGGACTAGCCCATTTCATAAAACCAATGTAATATTTGCAAGGATACATTTATCAATAAATCAAATCTTTATTGTGGTCACAGACCAGCATAAGAAGGTGCAATGCAAAATATTTAAATAACTAAAAAATAAAAATGCACAGAGTTAAAAACTTAATTATGAAATGTGCAAGGATATTGCTACTTCCTCCAGCCTGGATATTCAGCTCCATTCTGACACACAAGTCCACAAATTAGTTTCTCAAATAAGGAAGAAGGGGAGAAGTTGTCCTTTCAAAACTGGATGACGGGACAGTGGCCCAGTCTACAATGTTCATTTCCTCAGGAAGGGTTGTTGCCAAAAAGATCCTTAGTGGAAGGTAGACTATTCCGTCAGGACTACATTGTGGGCATAAAGGTTCTTCTACACAAGGATTTAAATGGAGACCCCACAAGATCAACAGAAGTACTGTGTTTTTCAATGTGAATTCACTCCCTATCACTCTCCAGCTTTTGTAATAACCACACCTGGCACCCATTTTGTGTTAGTTTTTAATCTCATAACAACTATATTTGAGGTAAAGCCTATGACACTTGAAAAGAAAAAACAAATTAGAAGCTTTATATAGCTCTTAATATTTTAATCAATAAAATCAATATTTTTCAGGTTTCCCTAACATCATCACTAGCTTCTACTTGTAAGCATACATGATATAGTCCTAACTCTTTTGTTGGTATATTTCTTGAAATATATTTTAGATGCCTTCCGTCATGGAGTAAGATATACTTTTAATGTGTACGGAATACAAGATGATAAAAGTTATTTATTGGAAAAGAAGGTTAAATATCTCAAAGAAGAGGGTAAGTTATGCTAAACTTGTATATCTTAAATTAGACTATGCTTGCAATTTGTTATGCCCATGTATAGCACACAGCCTCTGCCAGTGCAGAATTCGCTTTGCACCTCAGTTTTGTTGTACTGTGGTCTGTGTTCAGCAGTGATTTTATTGTGTAACTTGCCTTGTTGCAAAAATGGAACACTGAATAGCTATGGAGAATGTGTTTGCCCTGTGGAAACTCTTGTTTGCTTCCCAGTTCCCGAGCTTCAGTTAACACAAGATTCTGTTCACAGATCCTTAAAAGAGAAATATTGTTGAACAGTTGCTCAAGTCCTTGTTTTCAGTTCCAGCCAAGATTATTTTTGCATAAGGAAAAACAGATGTGTACCATTCTTAAAAATACATTTCAGGGTTGGTCTTAATTGCCTGTTGTAAATGTTTATAGTGGTTCTATATTGCCCAGTAGTCCAGATGGTTGTCCTAAGACAGTGATGGCAAACCTTTTAGAGACCGAGTGCCCAAACTGCAACCGAAAACTCACTTATGTATCATCGGGTACCGTGTGGTGTGCCCACTCGGCGAGCGCAGCTACAGTGGGCTTGGCAGACTGGGTGGGTGTGGCCATTGGGTGGGTGTGGTTGCGGTAGTCATGGCAGATTGGGTGGGCATGGCCGGGGTGGGCATGGTCACCTTGATGTTGCTTATGGGGAGAGATACCTGTGGGAGCTGGGCAGGATTGGGAGAGATCCAGGGGGTCTCTGGCGGGTGGAATGGTGGGCTCCCCAATGGCGCCTCCAGGCTGGCTGGCCTTAGGCCAGTGATGGCGAACTTTTAGAGACATGTGCTGGGGCGATGGCGCGTACCCACAGAGAGGGCTCTGTGTGCCGCTACTGGCACGCGTGCCATAGTTTTGCCACCACTGTCCTAAGATGAACGTGGATAAAAACCTTGTTGTTCCCTTTCTTCTTACAAGTGGATTAGTTAAATGTAAAATGCCAGGATGCTGCTTGGATTGTTTTTAAAGGAGTTGCATCATGGATATTGGTGGGGTGTTAACTATGCCTTTTCTTATATTAGCCAATACTGTGTTAATTCTCACTGTGTGGAGTTTGATTGATCCGGGACTATCTATCTCTACTCCCACTTCAGACAACTTCCTGTTCTTGATGCCTGTCTATAGACATTGTTTGTTACTTGGTATTTTCTCTTTCTAACTTTACCTGTAGCTTGCACAAATGGTTAGAGGTGTCAGGAATTGGATTAGTTTTGTCATGCCATTGTACCCAGAGCTGTCCATAAGAAGATCTCCAGTACAGGAGATTGGGCACTTTTGTCCCATTACAAATGCTCAGATTTGTTTTACAAACACATGTAGATATAGAAAGGGGGGGGGAAGCGTTTGTAGTTCATTTTGCTTTGTTATTATATGGAAGCTGTGATGGAGCAAGGTTTTGGTGTGTAATCTGAGGTGGGGTAGATTTTTGTTGCTGCAGAAGCTTGAGACAGAATATTGTTTGAACAGGGGTTTATACATTCTGCTTTTGATTGTGTGGCAGGAACACCAATTAATTTAGCAACTTTAAGATGTGTGGACTTCAACTTCCAAAATTCCCCAAGCAACAAGTGCTGGCTGGGAAATTCTAGGAATTGAAGTCCACATATCTTAAAGTTGCCAACTTTGAAAAACCCTAATTTGGGATATTTCCTGCCTGTTTCCTTATTGCTGGATGGGCAGATATAAAAATGCCCCATGACTCCAAACTTTTTAAAGGGATGAAGAAATTTATAATAGGTTTAAATATCTCTTAGAAGGAAGACATTGAAGCCTCCCAGCCATTGATATACACTTGATACAAAGGTGGGAATTCATATTAGAATGCTTTCCTGCCTGTATTGGTAACAGATCTCTGCGGCATAATGTTTTCATTTACATGATCGTTAGTCATGTAACAGACTTTAATTATTAAATGTATTAATTAAAACTGCTCAATACATAGATATAATTTTTTAGGTTTGAGTAAGTTGTACATTTCTTCCTGCATTTTTTCCATGATAGTCCAGATCTCATAATGGTCCAGATACCCACAACCACAAAATGTTAATCTCAGCACAGCACTACACACTTGAGGGGGGGGGGGCAGATACAGAGGAGCAAGAACGATTAAAAACTAGGAGAAATCCTAAGACCTAATATTAACAATCCATGTATGTTAAAGGCAAGATGATAGCAGGAAGTAATTACTGAATAGTTGTGTAGCTAATCAGCAAAGTTTGATCAGCAGACCTTAATCAGCAAGGTTAGCTTAGTTCTATTTTTATTTTCAAAGTCTGTGATGGTCAGTTCTCAGAATGGAATCTTGCACTGAATAAAAATGGAAAGTTAATCAAAATGTAAAGACTAAGGATTAAAACTATAGCAAACACATAGTAAATGTTGTCAATTTTCTGTTTTCCAGAACCGCTACAATATATCTTATGTAATATAGTTAATACCACTGCAAATTCATTAAAAGTAACTTGGGAACCACAGGATCAAAAATTCAACTCTTGTTTTATTAGAGGTTATGTACTTTACATGAAAATGGATAATCAGAATTGTATGGTACAAGGCTCTGAACAATTTAGAAATGCAAGTAAGTGATCCTCTTTTCTCCAGAGTAATGTATCTTTAAGTGAGATGTGAGCTTATTTAGGAATTGGTACACAGTCCTCCTAAGCACAAAATTAGTTGAAACATAGTCTATAACTCATGTTTTTTTCATAAATAAATGAAGGTAATCCAAGAGGAAAAACAAAGTTGAAAATTCCTAATAGGAACTCAAGGTCTAAATCAGTGTTTTTCAACCTCAGCAACTTTAAGTTGTGTGGACCTCTGGCTAGGGTATTCTTGGAGTTGAAATCCATACCTCTTAAAGTTTCAAATGTTGAAAAATATTACTTTAGAGAGTTGCAATGGAGCAAAAACTATGTAGAGAAAGCAGAAGTATATTTTGATTTTGAAATGGGTCCCATATACTCTGCACTTTGTTTTCTCTGAATGTCTCCGTCTTATGAAGGTTGGCGTGTTTTCCTCTTCAAGCAAATTAGCTGATTGATACAGACATTTTTTGTTTTCAACATTTCAACATTTCTTTTTAAAATTAAAATTTGAGGCTTTAGTCATCAAATAATGAATGTTATGAACCTGCATAAAAGAGAACAACATTGAAAAATCCTTGATGATGCTTGATTATGAGTGATTGTGAAGCAGCAGTGAAGGTGATGCTAGGATGACATAAGAGTCTTTTGTCTTACAATAAGATCAATATTTGCAGAGATGCTTGAAGGAGGGGAACAAGTGAGACTGTTATTTGTGGCCTAAACTTTCTTCTTGATTTCAGATAATCTAACGATATGCAGTTACAAAATTGAAAAACCAAACCAAACTGAATTCACAGTGAGACATTTGAAACCCAGAACAAAGTACTTGTTTGCTGTTCAGGCTTATGCTGTCAAACCTCATTATACTGACAATGGCACCTTTAAGACAGTGTTTACACCAGATGATGGTAAGTTTTGCTCAATTGTATCTATTTACTATAGGTACAAACATTGAACTTCTTTGAATTTTGGCAGCTTGAAAGATTGTTGTGGGTTTGGACCCATGTCTTTTATTTATTTTGAATATAATAGTTTGCATTTCTACATATAGCATATAAAGGTGAAGACAACGGCTTCCCCTGCCCAGTTGTGTCTGACTTTGGGGGTGGTGTTCATTCATTTCTTAACCAAGGGAGCTGATAAGCTCCACGTCTTTAACCACTGAGCCATCGTGCCAACTACAGTTGACAACTACATTTTTTAAATTAGCCTTTGCTGGCATCTTCCAATTTATATCAGTGAAACATAACTCTTCATCAAGAAATAGATGATTACTAATGTTACGTTTCTATTTTCCTAAAAATTAATTGAAAAATCTTTTTTCTTTACAATTAAACATTTAAATAGAAGTGCACCTGATTTTCTTTCCAACAGGAAAATGGCTTTTCCATCTACTTTACTTACTAGTGATTATCCCATTAATGCTGATGTGTATGTGCTCCAGGAAAAGTAATCGGTAAGTGCACATCAAAAAAAAAATAAATCAACAGTAATAAGAGGCAGCAGACATAAATATCACAGCAGTAGAGACAAAGCATAACTGCTTAATTCATTCTTTCCATCAGTCTTCACACAAAAAGAAACTATAACGCAACCTATCAAAAACATCGCTGTAAAAAACAGACTATAAATAAAAAATTAAAATAAACAAGAAAATGGCAAGAGAACACCTGTCTGATCATGATGAAGATCAATCACTGGGACCTGACAGATTACATCCCAAAGTTCTAAAGGAGCTGGCAAATGTTGTCTTAGAACCATTGTACCGTATCTTTCAAAAATCCTGGAACACTGGGGTATTACCTGAGGATTGGAAAAGAGCTGATGTAGTTCCCATCTTCAAAAAAGGGAAAAAAACAACAGACCCAGGAATCTATAGATTAATCAGCCTAACCTCAATACCTGGGAAGATACTGGAAAAAAAAAAAACCAGATCTGCAAACATCTAGAAACAAATAAAGTTATAACTAGTAGCCAGCACGGGTTTGTCAAATACAGATCATGCCAAACCAATCTTATTTCAATCTTTGACAAAGTGACTAAATTAGTAGAGCAGCAAAATGCTGTGGACATAATATACTTAGATTTCAATAGGGCATTCAACAAAGTAGGCCACAACCTACTTCTTGGCAAACTAGAAAAATGTTGGATACATCATAGACAGCATCACCACCAGATAGATTTGTAACTGGCTGATAAACCATACTCAATAAGTAGTCCTTAATGGTACTACATCTACATGAAGGAAAGTAAGCAGTGGGGTATCACAAGGTTCCTTGTCAGGCCCAGTACTCTTCAATATCTTCATAAATGACTTACTGTATATTCCGGCGTATAGGGCGACCCGGCATATAAGACAACCCCCTAGTTCGACGACGGGTCGCAAGACGATCGACTCCGAGTCGCATGCCTAGAAAGTCATCTTATACACCAGAAACTACTGGTATTTCCGGCATATAAGACGGTCGACGCCGAGTTGCATGCCTAGAAAGTTGTCTTATACGCCAGAAACTACCTTATTTCCGGCGTATAAGGCGACTCAGCGTATAAGACGACCCCCGAGTTCAGAGGCTGTTTTGACGCTCTCAAAAGTCGTCTTATACGCCGGAATATATGGTAGATGAGGGAATAGAAGGGGAACTCATCAAATTTGCAGATGACATTAAGCTGGAAGGAATAGCCACACCCCAGAAGACAAGCTCAGGATTCAAAAAGGTCTTGACAGATGTGAATAATGGGCCCCTATCAAACAAAATGAAATTTAAGCTGGAGAAAAGCATGCTTTACACTTTGGCAGGAAAAACCAAAGGTACAAGGACAGATTAGGCAAAACCTGGCTCAAAAACAGTAACTGTGGGAGGCACCTTAGAGTCCTAGTGGACAATCAGTTAAATATGAGCCAGCAGTGTGCAGCAGCAACCCAAAAAGCTAATACAATCATTGGTTGTATAAATAGAGGCATAGAATCAAAATCACATGAAGTATTAATACTGTTTTATAAAGCCTTAGTAAGACCATACCTGGAATACTGCATCCAATTTTTGTTGCCGTATTACGAAAAGATGTTGAGACTTTGGCAAAAGTGCAAAAAAGAGCAACCAAGATGATTAAAGGACTGCAAATTAAAACATACGAAGAACGGTTGTAGGATTTGGCTATGGCTAGTCTAGAGAAAAGAAGGACTAGGGCTGACATGATAGCAGTATCCCAGGATTTGAGGGGCTGCATCAAAGAAGAGGGGATCAACTTATTTTCCAAGGCACCCAGAAGGCAGGATAAGAAATAATGGATGAAAACTAACCAAGGAGAGAAGCAACCTGGAATTGAGAAACTTCCTAACAATGAGGACAATTAACCAGTGGAAAGCTTGCCTTCAGAGGTTGTGGGTGCTTCATCACTCGAGGTTTTTAAGAAGAGACTGGATAGCCACTTGTCTGAAATGCTATAGGATCTCCTGCTTGAGCGGGGGGCTGGACCAGAAGACCTCCAAGGTCTCTTCCAGTTCTATTCTAATAAACATTGTCAAATTAAGCAAGGCTTTAATTATAAGACAGCATAAGTGTTCAGTTGTCCATGATATTTTTTAATGTGGGAACTGAAACTAAGGACCTATGTTTAAACTGAGTTTAGTTTTTGAAAAATGATTTTCCCCTCTTTATGAAGAAATAAGGTAATATCCCCATCTCTTTTTTTTTTTCCAGTGTAAGGAATTGTTTATATCCTACAATACCCCAACCTAAAGTGACTCCAATTTTTAAGGTAAGGTTATATAATTAAGAAATTGCACTTAAAATGCAAGAAATTGCACTTTCTCAATCTGGTGCCCTCAAGACGTTATGATAATGCAATTGTTGGAGTTCCCATCCAGGATGTGGGAGTTGGGATTCATGGATGTTACACTACGTTTAATAGAGGGCAACAACAGTATCACTGTATTGCAATACAAAGTCCATCTCTTCTGCATTAAGTTTTGATGTTGCATTGATATACGTAAAAGGCAGAGCTTGTACCCCGATGCTGAATGCTGAATTCCTCATTTTTACTAAAGTAGTAGACTTTGTTGACACCTTGGAGCATTAGGATAAAAAGCAGGTTCATTTTGTATAGCTTTTGCAAAAACAAATCTGTATACTGCTCTAAACATTTTGGAGATAGTGTATGAAAACAGATTATAAAAGAATTAGAAAAAAAGGTAAGGCCCCTATTGAGGAATATCTACTTTATAGTCAAGAGTTTTTATTTATATTTTGTTAGAGAACTCAGCTTATACTTACTGTTTTCTTACTTAGGTCTTTAGTAGTTAGCTACAAAAATGATGGTGATGGTTACAGTATGTATTGGAATAATAAGTGTCAGAAAATAATTAACTGATCTGAGTGTAGAAAAAAGGCCTGTGGGCTTCATCTGTCTTTTCATGAGTGACCATCACTTGTCCAATGTGCTAACCTCTCTTCTTCCCTCATGACCCCAAGCTTGATTTAAAAAAAAAAGCCGATTCTATCTTCTTTTAAATAAGAGGCAATTACCACTCAATGAAGGATAGACAGATCCCTCTCGTTGAATGGAGGGTGAGAGTATTGCATATTCTTATATTTGAATATCTGTTTTTCACTCTGTATTCTGTCTGCTCTTTATGTGTATTTTTAATTCAGTTGTTATTCATACACAGATGAGTTCTGGAATGACAGAAGTGAATGATATAATTCCTGACCAATTAGTCATGCTGGAGAAGCCTCAGGAATTCAGTCGCAAACAATCTACTTTGGGAATGCTATTAGAAAATTTGAGTTACTCTCAAACCACCTATTACCCAGAAATGCAAACAGAAGAGAGAACAAACCAGAAATTCAACTCAGGACTAACATCCTACAAACCTCTCCAAGCCTTTGGTTTTACAACCAGCCCTAATCCCTGCACACCAGAAGCACACCTCCATTCGAAAGACCATTTGAATTACCTCTACCAAATGGAAGTGCCTCCCTCTATGATCCAGGGAACCAATTCTACTTGTCCTGTACCTTGGCTAGATTACAGACCTCAATGCAGCACAATTTCCAGAAGAAATACAGACTATTAGATTAATATCCATATTATTATATTCATTTCAGTTCACTATGAGCAGCTTCTAAGTAAATAGGATACATGTTTGTTGGGCATTATAATATCTGACCATGAAGGAATGAATTGGGAAAATTCTGAAGAGGAAAAGATGGGACAGTCTTTTGTATTGACTGAAGATTCATGCCATTCTAGACCAAAAGTGGGCATGACATGCAGTAATAAGGGAACTTGCATACTTGAAAAAAAGAACCTCTTCCTCATGTTTTGAATATGAAACAAGATGTACAGGATTGTATCATTTCCAGATGAATAAGTAAAAAAAAAACAATATAAAAATTGCTTAACTTCAAATGACTTGATTTCTGTCTATAGTGTTTTATTAAATAACCAGTTTCTTTACAACATAATGGAAGTGGTTTGCTATTGTTTTCTTCTGGAAATTTTTAACTTCTCTGCTCTATACCCCTGGAATTTTTTTTTTAAAATCTCCCATTGAGCTACTGGTTTACTGGTTGGAGGAGTCAGCCAAGATCAGTCAAGTAGGCAGTACTAAAAATATGTTTCTTACTTTTCTTTAAAATGTGTTCCTTTGGAGTCCACGGAGGGGCAAATGACAAACGTGTGATCACGCAAAAGCTACTTCCATCATATGGTGGGACCAAGTATAAAACTGCAGCATTTGTGTGATGGTGTCATTATTGTGTGTTGTTATTTTGGTATAATGGTTTGCTGTGGATACCAAGCAACTGTATTTTTCCTTATTTCCCATCTTTGGGAAAACACACACCTAATAATTGTGTAGTTATAGAATTGACATAATAATTATAGGTAATAAAGTTGAGGTTATAATTTTTTAATATTTCACTATGTTGAAGAGTTGGAAGTCAACATCTTTTATTTAATCCTGCACTTCCTTCTCCTTTTTTAAACTCTTTATTTATTGTATTTTCTGCTATAGTAAACTTTAATAAAACTTTGAAAAAAGTAAAAGTGAAAATATCTGGGAGCAGCATTAGCAACAATTAGTGGATGTAGAGAAATATATATGGCTTCTGCAAAGATGTGCTGGGGGGTAGAGGGGCCAAGGAAATAAGCTGGCAATAGAACTGAACAACTGAGTCTTCTGGCACTGAAACAGAACGTTGCCAAGTGTCTTTAGCTATCCGAAGCAGGGCAGCCAATCCTGGGAGAGCAGTTAGACTAAGACTAAGAATCTGAATGAAGAACTTCATGGATTCCTCTTCAAGCTCATAATGATACTACAATGTCATTGCAACCAAATGATAGTGACTCATGTTGGTTATGCCAAAGCAATCCTCAGGGCAACAGGCTTGGGGCCATAATGAATGAAATCCAGAATTTATTAAAAACCTACAGTATTTCAAAATTAAATTATCTAGGAATAACCATTTCCAATGGTAGGAACTAAGGGCTGTTTTTTGGGGGAAATGGTTTTTCTATTTTTTTTATTTTCTATTCTATTATTTCTTTTTTATTCAACATTCAATGTGAAAGGCAAAGCTAATATTTGACAAACAACAAGGCAAGTGTTCCGTGTTTAAAGTTCATTTTATTAACAATGTATCCCTTTGATAGGAAGATAATGCTTTAGGAGGCCTGTAATATTCATAGACATGAACTGTACACACTATACAAAACAAAACAAATTTCCAAACCAATGAAAACAACAAAAAAGAATCAAGGTGAGAAGGACCTTTTTGGGACAAAGCCTCTTTAAAATTATACACAGCTCATGAAATTGTCATACAGAAAATATATAAATACTTTTTTCTTTCTATGTTACAGGTATATAATATAAATCAGATTTCAAAGTTCATTCAATGACCTACAAACAATAGAACCTCCAAATATGTAGCAGCTTGTTAACTTATATGGAAAATTGACCATACAGGATAGGGAAAATGAGTCTTTTCATAATCTCTCCCCCACCCATTCCAAATGACTAATTTACATAATTTGTAACCCAGGCATCATTTGGGTTATTGGCATCTATTATCTGATGAGTATTTTCCCATTTTTCACAATAATTATATCTACATATCACCCCCACCCCCCAGTTCTTGCATTCTGTGCTACTCTAACCTATGCAGTCGCAAAATGGCAGCAAGATATCTTTTTCTTTTTGGCATAAATTATATTTTCCCCCAAATTAAATAGTGTCTATTTTACAAGCAAGTCAAGCAAAAAAGTGCACTTTCTGCATGCTGTAGCATCGCTATCCAGCTATTTTACAAAAATAGTCCTAAGGAAAACCACATTCTTTTTACTGAAAGTAAAAAGTTAACAAAAACATGTAGCAAATCTGGAGTTTTAAGAATATACAGTAATTCTTGCTAAAATTCTAAAAAATGAAAATAAGGCTATAATTTCTAACAGGGATATGCATTAGAAACAGATGATTATTATACCTCTAAGCTGTGTAGCTTCCAAGGTATGTTAAAGGGGGGGGGAACCTGTCCATTTACAGTGTCACATTACCCCATTCAAAATGGCAAAGCACACATAGTCAAAATCAAAGGATAATTATGATTATTGCAAAAGAGATTATTCAAGGGACATTTTATTTTCCCTTGATTATAAAGAAAGGATTAACACATTCAAGGCAAGATTCAACTTAAGTAAGCACTACTAATCTTAGAAATGCTTTGGTTGGTTGACATTATACCTCCTCTATCTGAAATTAATGTACATATTATAAACTGGATATTAACTTTGCAAAAGCTTTGTTTTGTTATCCTGTATCATTTGTATACCATGAACAATCTTTCCATGATTACAAAGTGTAACCCACTGCTTCCCATTGTTGCACATGAGGTTTGGGGATGAGGAGTGCTGTCCACTATTATTGGGGATGATCAAATTCAGGAAGCCTACTGAGCTGTGTAACTGATTCTAATTATGTCATATTTATTCACAATAGTTACTAGAACCTAAGTAAGTTCCTAATGGTGCTATTCAGATAACAACTCAAATGCAAATGGTCCCAAAATATATGGATACAGATCAAATGACCATATGTGTCCTTGCAGATAGTTTTCACTTGGCAAATGTTGGAGGCCAATGTATGCATTTTATGTCCCCACAGCTGAATATCTAAATCTATATTTTATTAATGTGATGTCTTTAGGTTCGTGACTTTGCTGTTGTTATAAAATGGGACCTAGAATCATTCTGTGAGTGGACCATAAAAATGGAGCTTTTGTGACTCCTCCACAATCTGTGATCTGAAGGACTCTTGCAAACTATATGAAAGGTTGCAGTGGAAAAAGGGAGTGAGTAGAAACTGAGTGCTTTGACGTGAACAAAGACAACATAAGATTTATATCTATGCTCCTTGAAAAATATGAAATAAGGGAAAAAGTTGTTTTGTAAGTTTTTGTTAAACTCAAGGTACTTTGGAGCCAGATGGAAATGCTGAATGTGAAGAATCAATTGGAAATTTGATTATTCACACTATTTATTCTTTTCCCCCAGGAATGCATCATAAGGAAGATAGAAAATAACAATTATACTTTGTCATTCATTACTTGCTATCTCTTTCATTCTCCTTCTCCCGCCATACATAAATACTCTAAGAAAGTCTCTTTAAACAACCCATGTACAAATAATTGCCAGTGTTTGTGGCTGAGGGAAATGGGTGGAGAGAGAGCGGTTTCGAAAACATAGCAACCTGCTATGAGGGTCCATTCCAAAGCAATCCCAAGCATTAAAAATATTTGCAAATTATTTCATCCTTTCATTAGAAGGAGCATTTAGATAGAATTTTTTTTCAACAGCATTTCTGGATTATGCCATCCAAACCTTTCAAAATGACAATGATCATCAGGGTTGTGCATCATTTGAAAATTAATTCCAAAGAAGTGCTGTGAATGCCACACAGGTTAAGCACAGCACTTCCCAGTTTTTGATCAAAACTGCTCTGAGAGCCTAAAAAAAAGCTCACGCTGCTGCTTTAATGCAGTGTTTCCCAAACTTGACAATTTTAAGGCATGTGGACTTCAACTCCCAGAATTCCACAGCCAGCGTTGCTGGCTGTGGAATTCTGGGAGTTGAAGTCCTCATGCCTTAAAATTGTCAAGTTTGGGAAACACTGCTTTAATGTGTATTTAACTCTTAAAGCAGAAGTTTGAAAGAAGACATGGCTGCTACCCTTGCATGAGGTTACAAATGCTTCTGCCAAAATACTTTAGAGAATGTACAGCCCTGGTACCATTCCCATCATACTTATAACCTGTAATGCAAGTGTATACTTCTTCCATGTTCTACTGTATTACTCAGGTACTATTATCCAAATTTTGGATTTAGTGATCAAGGAGAAATTGCTCCAATAGGGCTCCAGAAACCTTTTCGTTCTATTTGCCAAGTGCAGAAGCTGTTGGTCTGTAGGTAGCTTTATGAGTACAAATAGGTTCATTAATGTAAGACGTTAACGACTGGCCATGTAACAGTAAGTAAAACCAATTCATAAAACATGAATTTCTACCCAAATTCCAGGTATGTTCTGTTACAACAAATTGATTAACAAAATAAGTATAACATCATACAGATGAAACATCAGTTCAGATACTACAGCCACAATTGATCTGTATTATAATACAAAGATCCAAATTCACTTAATGTTATTTTACAATTTTTTGGTGATGCTGTTGCCCTTACAAATAGGTTAATTGATCTTGGGCAGTATTCTGAACAGAAGCCAAAATTCTATTTTTTTTTAATGTCAAAAAGTTATGTATACCTATGTATTATTATCTAAGTGGGTATATTAGTACATTTAGCTGAATTTACTTTTTAATTTTCTACTGTAATTAAACTGTTTCTTCACTAACAACTATAACTGAAAGCTTAACCATCTTTGTTTTACAGAAAACATTTTCATCTACTTTTGCCTTGAATTCAAAAATGCAAAACACAGAATGAATTAATTTCACTTAAGAGTTATTGATCTATAGATCTTATTACTCTATCATTACTGAGGTAGCATTCATAACTACTATGTACAATCAACTATTTGCTTTTTTTTTTACTGGAAGTATTGTACGAATCCTTTGGAATTTACACCACCATTTGGTCTACTGTGACTGCCATTTTGGTTCTGCACAGGAGTTTTATCATAGGAGTTTAATCTATGAACAAAGCATCTCTAAATATTGATAGAAAGTTATAAGTGAACCCTGCATGAGGAACTGAAGCCCTTCATTTTTTCCTAACATCCTTCTCCTCCCTCCCATTTTTTCCTCAGAAGGTTCTCATAGAAATCAGGGAACTACTATAACTTCATGGCTCTCCAGATGTTCCATAAATTATTGTAATGCAGTTTTTGCCAAACTGTCATGAGAGGAGAAGATGCTGAAATCTAGACTCTCACCGGCACATACTTCTCTCTGGATTATATCTGCTGTTATTCCCAATCTAGAGCTTTATTCCATGGTTCAGAAACAACAACCATGCCAACAGGAAGCAAAGAGCACTCCATTCCCTCCCGTAGTCTCTAAACTGAAAACCTGAAAGAACAGAAACTATAAAAGAAAAGAAAAAAAAAACCATCACCAGCTTAAAATACTGTATACCCTAACCTGAGAATGTAATATTTGAAATTTCTCCAATTTCTCCTTTTCTCAGTTGTTCAGTTCCTAAATGGTCACTAAAGTAGAGAGATAATAAAAATATTCCCAATAGATACTCAAATTTCATGTCTAGAAATGTAACAGCAAAACATCTTCAGCTCTGGTTGGGAATGGTAAAACTCCTTATGACAATTTTCTAGGTTATCCATACTGCATTATCTATGTATCAAAGTAACATACCCTAATACCTTAGAGAGTATTAGATTGACTCAAATATTATTCCGATGTATCTCCCACCTAGAATGTGTTCAAAGCAGTATAATGAAATAATGTAAACATCTGCTTGGAGAGGTAGAAGGCATGTATTTCCTTAAAAGATCTTAGGAAGAGGAAGAAAATGCCTCATCCATAATAACTGTGTCCCATATTCTTATGTAGAATCTTTATCTGGTTTGTGGGTCCTTATCGGTTGAATAACCTATTCTTGAGATACGTTAGAAGCTAGAATACCAATTAAGTTAGGTATCTTAGAGGTAACTTTCTTTTGGGAATTATAGATATGGACCAGAATGAACTGACTCTCTTGTTCAGGCCAGAACTTTCATTCAGTTTTCTATTTCTCTAGAAAAATACCATCTTGGAAAGTATCCCATCTAGTAATACTTAAATTTGTGGATCAATTATTATAATTCCAGCCAAAATGGCAGGAAGAGAATTTCAGGTTTATTCTAAGGATTCGGGGATTGATGCCTAATTCTTGCAAGAATTTTTTTTAAAAAGTGATCTAATGCCTTAAGTTCCAGATGTCCTACCTGGCCATTTCAGGGTGGCAAGGGAAAAATCTTGTTTTCAGTTTTATGTGTAACAAACTATCAATCCTTTGTTTCTTCAACTATGAGATTTTACTTATGATTACTAGTCCTGAAAATTTAATTTACAGATAAACCCTTGCTTCATTTTTTTTAGCCAATAGTATGACTGTAATGATGGCGTTTGCTTTCTTCCAGAACTGGAGAACAAAATCATATTTTGATATGACAATGTACTGAACCTAGACATTGATAGCTTTCATAACAAATGCAAATGTACATACGCCTCTAAGAACAAATTCATTCATTCATGTATGTATGTATGTATGTATGTATGTATGTATGTATGTAGGTCTTTGGTTATTCGGGTTTTCTCCCGTGTAAAATTGGAAGTGTCTTGACGACGTTTCGACGAAGTCCCATTCGTCATCTTCAGGCTGGTGTTTTCAGCTTCATTATTCCAGCTATCATTATTCCAAACTGCTTCTCTCAGCGGGACTGACCAGTTGAGATACTCCATTCCTCTCGCTGTCCACTACTGCGAGATTTTGATTTGTCTTTGCATACAGAATCAGCATGTTTCAAGGTACGTTTGGCTGGAGGACATATGATAGTCACATATCTTCTCCAGCCAAACGTACCTTGAAACTCGCTGGACAGCGAGAGGAATGGAGTGTCTCAACTGGTCAGTCCCGCTGAGAGAATCAGTTTGGAATAATGATAGCTGGAATAATGAAGCTGAAAACACCAGCCTGAATATGACGAATGGGACTTCGTCGAAACGTCGCCAAGACACTTCCAATTTTACACGGGAGAAAACCCGAATAACCAAAGACCTACATGAAAACATCAGAAAACACACACACACACACATGTACACACACACACACACAATATATATATATATATATACACACACATATATACACACACACACGTTAATTGGGCTCAGTTAAAAATGTATGTAAAACTGAGCTAATTTCATCTTAACAAGCAAATTTTTGCATACTTTTAAGGGGAGATAAACTTTGATGGACATATTCCATCAGTCTACCTGAATTATTTCCATATACAAGAAATGACCAAATAACCCTATAGGTTTTGTAAACAAAACAATTATACATTTGTATGTACAGTAAAAGTCATTTGATTCTAAGAGACATTTCAATTTGGAAATAAATTCAATTTGTTTCAACCTCATACTTGCATAAATTTGATGTGGGGGAGAATGGAATTACATATAATCATTTTTACAATTTGTGCTAATTTTATCAAAAAGACCTCTGAATTATAGCAATATAGCACTTCAACGCTGTATGTTTAAGGCTTTTCACTACAATTATTGGTATTATCTTGCCAGTAATCTTTCATCTGTATGATTGAAGCAAATTATTAGGAGTAAATTTAAAGCCATGGAATGTGAAATTATTATTTTGCATTTTTCTTGATAAAAAGCAGCAATAAGTATTAATTTTACTTGATTTACCTGACATAAATTATTGTTTTTGAAGATTTACATTTAGACATATCAATTACTGGATGAACATTAATGTAGAACACCCCCATTACAATACATGCATTACATGGAGGTAAATCTGATTCCAAGCAAATTGTTGTTTTTTTTCTAAACTCAAAACTGTAGTGAAATTCATTAATTGGTTCAGTTTAACATAATTACATGAAACTGCAACAAAACTGGACAGACTGCTAATATTACAACAATAAAATAACTTAAGGTTACTCCCAAAGCTACTGAAGATTCTCTGAGAGCAGAAATTGTCCAAGTAGTGTTCACAAAAATTAAGAAATATATCAAGGAAATCTCCTAATTAATCCCCTGATGTCATGGTTATAGCATGCTCCATTAAGATACCGTATCTCTCAAATCCAGGGTAAACAAACAAGGCATCAACTCTGTCCAAAACGGAAGTCAAAAGTCAACCATGTAAACCAGGTCCCGTGTAATTTGTCCTCTATTTTTGTGACATTGCATTTAAAAATAAGTGAAATGAAAACCTATATAAGTGTCTGGTGCTTCATTCTTCTTGCATATCTTGTTACTTTCGTTGTTTTAACAATTCTCCTCAGGGCTCAGATGGCTTTGGAAGCAAGTTCCATCGAAGAAAAATTCTACAACTGAGCATCCAATTTCATGTACCAGAATTCCTGGAACAATTCAGAAGATGATACTTCTCTGTTGCCCAGTCAATTAGGTGTTATTGAATACTACTAGTAACTTCACATTTATCACATCATGGAAAACAAGAGGTCAAGATTCAGTTGATGGGCTATCTGTTTGTTGATTTGCCAGTGAGACTAAAATAGCTTCTGCTTCTTCATGCATCTAAAAGAAAATAGCATGTGCAGAGTTTTCAAAGCAACTTATATGGAGCACCAATTCAGTGCCAACTTTTCCCAGAGTTCATTAGATTTTATTCTACTCACCTGTAAAAACTGTACATCTTGAAAGAGTTCTTGAATGAACCGTCTAGATGGCAATCGAAAAGTGCAGTGAGCTAGCAAGTAGGATACTTCAGAGTAAAGGCATATATCATCAAATGCTTGGGGAAACTTCTCTTTAATTCTGGACCATAAAGAACAAGGAAGCATATTTTTAAAATGTTCCATTGAAGTAGTATGAAGTTTTAGAATATAACTTGAGACATGGATCTGATATTCAGGCAAATCATGAAAAATAAGCATTTGAAATAAAATACAAAAAAATACACAAGACAAATAAGTTAGGTGCCTTAACTAAAGCTTAAGGAACCTAATCTAAGTACAGATAGTCCTCGATTTACGACCACAATTGAGCCCCAAATTGCTAAGTGAGATATTTGTTAATGAGTTGTATGATTCTCTTAACCCTCTTAAAAGTCCATTTTATGACCTTTTGCCATAGGTGTTAAGTAAATCACTGCAATTATTAAGTGACTAACATAATTGCTAAGTGAATCGGAGTTCCCCATTGATTTTGCTTCCCAGAAGGTTGCAAAAAGTGATTACATGACCCAGGGACAATTGTAACCATCATAAATATGAGTTAGCTGCCAAGCCTTTTAATTTTGATCATGTGACCATGGGGATGCTGCAATGGTCCTACACTGAAAAAGCGGTCACCAGTCACTTTTTTCAGTGCTGTTGTAACTTCAAACAATCACTAAATGACCTGTTGTAAGTTGAGGATTACCTATATAAGGTGTTCTTGACATATTGATGGTTCAAATTAATGACAGCCTTAGAAAGGATGCGTTATGATCTGTGAAATACTTCCAATTGTTGTTACCCTCTCCGTCCTCCACAGTCATGATCACAATCTGGTGCCTGGTAACCTGTTTTCACTTAGACTAGTTGCCAAGACCCTCATGTTCATGGGATTTCTATTTGCAATGGAGAAGCTGGTAGGGAAAGGTGAAAGCTGCTGCCGCCTGTTGATAGGACTCCCTCTTGTCTCTGAGGGCTGGATGAAAAAGCTGCCTGCCAAAGGATTTCAGCTCTATGCACCGAAGGGAGCTGAAAACTTTCAGCAGGCTGCAGTAATGAAGCTGAAAACTTCAGAATTATATTGCCATTCCTGCAGCCTGTTGAAGGATTTTAGCATCCCTCTGTGTCTAGGCTGAAATCCTTTGGCAGGCTGCAGGAATGGACATGAAAATTTCCGGTTTCTAAACTGATGCCTTAACCACTTCACCATCTCAAGTAGATGAAAAAAAAAAGCCTGGAATTTAGCAGGTTCGTGTTTTTCAAGTCTTATATGATGAAACTTTAACACAGATTTCAACTACTGTAGTTTGACTGAGAAATTAATGTCATTATTAATACCTACTTATTCTGAAATAAGTTTTACTGGATCAGCAATAGGTTTTACTGGAAATGATGTAGGGAAAATGAAGAAATAATGTGCCATCACTTCATCAATTTCCCCAAAAAGAAATCTCTCCCAGTTGCCAACTCATCCAAATTTGACTATGACTTTGGACTAGCAAGTGAAAAAAAGTAGAAAAATGGGTATAATCTTCAGCAGTTCTTTGGTGTCAACTTAGTCCTTTCAATTGTATCATTTCTAACATATTATTGTGAGTTCTATTTTGAGATACAACTTAAGAAGTGCCAGAAGTACACCTGACTGATTTGTGTGCAATAAGAACAATTCCATTCCCAATTCAAAGATAAAAGGAATACTACTTGTAAAAGCTAAAAACAATGGGAAAAGTTTTACTTACGTCAAGAGACCGGTTTCATGACCTTTAGTTCCTACCGAGCTACTCAAGTTGATTACTAATCGCAAAACTTCCTTTCTCAGTAGTATGCGGCATACTGGAGTATCATCTGGGATTGATTTCATGCCTTGAGAAAAAGAAATTTAACAGTATGTTAAACTGAAACAGTATTTGTACTGACTGAAATATCACTGGATAACATTGACAAAGTCTGCTATATATTTTAAAGATGCAGGCCAATAGGCATAAAAGCAATTGTCAAGTACAAATGTTACTTCTTCTGGTTCAAGTGGACATACTTACTCATAAAGGGACCATGGGAAAACAAGTAGTAGAATGATCTAAATCTCAATCAAAAGCCCAAACCATATATAGCTCTTCCCAAACGGGAATGAACTATTGTGGAGGTGGCTATTGGATTAGTAAAAGACCTCACCTTTCCCATGTGCTTCATGTTCCCCTCCTCACCATCTTTTAATGATATTTATTATTGTTATTTATTATTTTATTATTTTAATGTATACTAGTTTTAATGATTGTAAGCTGCCCAGAGTCGCCTCTGTCAAGATGGGTGGCACGTAATTTTAATAAATCAACAAATAAATATTGGGGAAAGATAAAAGCAGAAATTTGTGCAAAAAGTGGGAAAATTAGTAATGTCTGGATGGTCTCAGACAGTACATACATCATACTGATTATTCCTGTGTTAAGAAGCAGGGTGCAAAGCTGATATTGCTGATGAAAGCATCCAACATCCAAGCAACAAGAAGCATCAGAAGCAACCTTTATGAAAAATAACTCACCTATGATGAGATCAGTACTCTTGGTACTACTAGCTGATCCATGGGATACAGCATCACTACATCCTGAAATTCCAGAAAACTTTGAGGAATGTGAAACCACATCCAAATGATTATGCATAGCCTTTCCACACCAGTCTGAATAAGGAATGTCTGAAAATTCTGATAAAGTTTGATATAAGATAGATGGAATAATTTACATAGAAAAAAACCAGCACGATATACATAATTTACATAAAAAGAAAAAAAACTCAGTATGATACAGAACTGAATAACTTAGAAACAATCCAACCAAATATGAACTTCCTATTCCGATAACAATGCACTAATAAAGAAAAAATATTGTGATGATGAATTTATGAGGCAGGCACTACGAACCTCAAAAGAACAATAGCAGTGGGAAAGGTAGTTTCCACAGGATTTGCCACCTGAGAAGTTAAACATTCAACCAAGAGTTCTAGCTTTCAAGATTATGAAATAAATTTTGGATTTCTGTCTGAAATAGCATCAGAAAACAGAAACAGAATGGTCAAAGCTTCCAGCCTTCTAATTATTGCAGATCAGATTCAAGTTGTCTGATGCAGACTTGATGGCACTAACCTGTGTGACTATATGCAGAGTTCAGTTTGTTATTATGCTGGCAATCTAGGATGTATGTACAAACACAATAGAGACAATTATCTTCAGTGTGTTCTTGGAGTCCAGTGTCTTCCATGTTTTCTAGGAACTGGGAGGCATCTGAACGGCTTGTGTTCATAATCTCCGTAAGACTTATTTGCTGACGAAGCATCTGGAAGGGACTCTTTACAAACTCAGCAGACTCACAAGGCAAACCTGGAAGCATTTGGTTAAGCAACAGAAAATAGAACATAATGAAGCAATACAATAGCACCGTCTGCAATTAATTGCCCAGCATTGCTTCAAAATGATATAGGTGGCAAATAAATTTAATAAATAAATAAAATAATTCCTATAATGCTTTTATAGCATATAAAATAATAAACCCACATCTGAATAAATTTCAGTTGTTAAGGGAACTTTGCTGTAGCCACACTGTAATAAACGTCTGTTTCCCTATGTTATGCCCATCACTACAAAAATGTTGTCAATATTTCATTTATCAAGTGATTCCAGAGAACATTTTGGGCAATCCAGTCCTCTATTGGGGCATATTCTGCTAATACAGAAATAAGCAAATTATTTTCCCAAGGGGCCACATGAGAATTGGACTGTTGTGGTGGGCCCCACTACCCCCGTGGCCCCTGCTGCCTGCCACCAATGCTGCACCACTGCTGCTACCCGACTGCAACTGTGGGTCAGATTAGGATCACCTGAGGGCCAGATGAAATGCCCAGGTCTGTGCTAGTATAACATAATCCTGACTTTATGAGATATGCAAAATTATGACACTGTGAAGTAATGTCCTACCATTGATTACCTCCCTATGTCTTATTTTTTTATCTGTATGAAGGTAATTCCCTTTGAATATAAGCCACAATGTGCTTTGAATACACTCTCAGAAGAATCCCAAAATCTGTGGTATGAAACATGACTGTCGTATTTCAAATCACAGGGCTTAGAAATCAGCAGTCGGGTATAAACATTTCCTTCCTAAAGAAGGAGGTGTACAGCTTAGCAAAAGTGGCAGGCGACCATGTAATCCAAAAGAAAGCATACCTGCAGCATCCTGGGCAAAGACTCGAGTGCCCCGATCATCAAATGAAAGTATTGTTTTCTTCTGGAAATATGGGGTTTCTTTTACCTGAAATATTTTAAGGCAAAAAATTATGCAGATCAAGTTTTAAAAACAGTCTATTTCTGGAAATACTGGGTAGCTCCAGTGTGAAGTATTTAACCAGGGGTCTTCATATGACTTGTGGACTTCAACTCCCAGAATTCCTCAGCCAGGCCCGCTGGCTGAGGAATTCTGGGAGTTGAATCCACAAGTCATAAAAGGGCCAAGTTTGAAGAATCCTGTATTTAACATTCAACAATATTTCTCTAAGTGTAGTAAACTGCACTAGGCTCTCTACATATTGCTAGGGGTAAAATTGTTTCATGCAGAATAGCAACACGGTGCTTAATATGACTAATTCACTCACTTAAGATAAAAATATTGTCCACATACCTGAAATATTTCATTGATGTCAACCGGGAGAGCAAGTCCAATGTAATCGTCTGAGCTACCATAAGTAGCATTAGACACCATGGAACGAACAGAAGAAGAACGCTGCAATGTATTTTGGTTTATAGGGCTTAATAAATCTTCTTTATCTAAGGATGATGCATAGCTCAAAGCTCTCATGAATCTGTTAACAAACAGAAGGAGCATATTTAGCATAACAGCCCTGATTTTATTATGAGTACTATATTTTAAAATACCATGGATAATTTTAGTTCAAGTACCAGTTTGGTTTAGTGGTTAAGGCATCAGTCTAGAAACAGAAGACTGTGAGTTGTAATCCTGCCTTAGGTATAAAACCTAAGAATGACCCTGTCATTCTCTCCCAGCTCTAGGAAGAAGAAAATAGCAATCCACTTCTGAAAATCTTGCCAAGATAACTGTAGGGACTAGTCCAGGCAGTCACCAGGATTTGAAGGATCACCCCAAAAGTACAAATCAATATGCTACTTAATATTTATCTGGTCCTGATTAAATAAAATAGAATTTCTGATGCTTCCTGAATCTGAATGGTACCAAGCTACCATTGGGGGTATCCAAAAGGAGGGAGGGCGTTCAAATAAAAAAAGATGGATGGTAATAGCAGCACAAACTAAGCCACATCCTTTTGTATGTGAACTGACACCACACATATGAACAGAGGAAGAACCTTTAATAGCATTGCTGCAACCATCTTGTTCTCTCTCTCTCTCTCTCTCTCTCTCTCTCTCTCTCTCTCACACACACACACACACACACACACACACACACTTTACTGTAAACATAGCAAAGAATATTTTTGCCATGGCAACACGCCCCTGTAGCCAGTATGGATCAGCTCCAAATTTCCTAATTCATTCTTCATTCATTTGGAATTATGGGCTACTAACACCTCTAAAAAACAAGATGATCAGAGAACAGCTAAATGTAAAGTTATATGAAAATTATTAACTTACTTTAATATGAATGAGCAAAGCCATTCAGATTAGAGCAATTTCAGATCCTTTTTAACAATACATCTGATTTTTCCAGAAATGTTCAGGAAATAGATACCAACAGTACCTTCAAGGACTTCATACTGGTAGATAATTGGTTTAATTGCAGGCAAGAAAAGCAGCATACACATACATGAGATTTACAGAAACCAAGCCCTAGATCAGTGGTTCTCAACCTTTTTAATGCTGCGACCCCCCAACCGGCTGTAAGTCGAGGACTACTCAACCGGTCGTAAGTCGAGGACTAAACCGGTCATAAGTCAAGGACTACCCAACCGGTCATAAGTTGAGGACTTTCCCTGCCCGGGAGCGTCAGGCATGCATGGTGCCGCCCCCTGCGTGGCTGAGGCATTGCTGGCAAGTGGCAGAGATGGAGCAGGCCGACCACCGGCTGGGCCACCAGCTGGCCCAGCCCAAGGGAGGTAAGGCACCCGCCGGGCCCCACGCGCGCCGCAACCCTCCCTGCGCCTGCCGACCTCCCACCCCTGGCCCTCTTTTAGTTACATTTTTAGTAGTTGCTCAGCAGGGAGGGGTGGAAGCTTTCAGACAGCTCGCCTTCGCTGCAGACAACTTGCAGCACCGTTTGCAGAATGGGACTTTTGGCAGGCTCAGCAGGGCAGAGATAGCCTGGACAATTTCTATTGGCTTTTGAAAGCCAACAGAATTAGACTCTATTCAAGAGAGTCTATTCTATTGGCTTTCAAAAGCCAATAGAATAAAAGGGAGTAGCACAGCTAAGGAAAAGGGGGAAAAAAATGGCGGACTGCGTTGTTTGGCGACCCCCGTGAAATGGTCGTTCGACCCCAAATAGGATCGCGACCCACAGGTTGAGAACCGCTGCCCTAGATGTTTAAATCTAGCCTTTTTACCTTTTTAAAGCCAATGGATTTTTGACTGTTTTTTTCATAGCTTTAAAACTGGAATCCACCTGTCCATCATTACAGTTCTATCTGGTTTAGGCAGTGTAATTCTCCCTTTACTTCTTGACCCCTTACAGCTGTTTTAGCAGAGGTAAAAGTAAGATACGTAAAAGTCTTCTTGAAATGCACCGGGACAATAAAGAGATCGGTATTTCTTTAAAAAATAATTTCCCTCCCATGATAACTCAATTTTAATGAAGAAAAACAGAAGACATACTCACCGGTTGGGTGTTAGTCGAGAGTCTAGACTACCAGATTTCATTGTGATTGTGTCTGTGAAGAGTACGTCCTTTGCTGGAGAAGCTAGGGCTTCAGAATGTGACAGAGAGGGATGCATCCTCTGTTGCTGTAAGCGTTTCAGTGTTGCATATCCAAATGCATCTCGAGAACTGGTGTAACTAAAATTATAATCAGCCAGGCTTTTTATAGTGGCGAGGGAAGGCGCTTTTAGTGACTGTGCTCTCCGAGGAAGCGTGTGCGAAGACCCTGGCGGTACCAGGGAGACAGAATTTGACTTTGACAGAGGGAGGTGGTTAGACTGTGGGGTTGAACACTGAATTGTTTTAATGGTCTTGGTACTCACCACAGTACTTAAGCTCCCACAGTCAGTGTCTATGTTGGTAGAATCCACTCCCATAGTCTCCCGGGAAGGGCTCGAGCTCATTGAACTTATGCCACTTGTGGTCGTGTCTGTATTGAAACTCAAACTACGACTTTTGAAATGAGTCTGTGTGGAAACTTCTATTAGTCTCTCTCGGCTGGAGTTTTCCCGATGATTTTCATGGCCAAGACTTTTGGGAAGCTTAAGGTCATTTTCACCAAGACTTGGAGTACTCTCTGCATCTTCGTTATGCTTGCTCCCAACAAATGAAGTCTCTAGTTTCAGAGTGTGAATCTTAGGAACTTTGAACACTGGGGTAAAGTCATCTCCCCGAGTAAAATCCATGTTGCTGCAAGGTTCTGTTACTGTCCGGTTTCGCCTTAAGCCCATCTTGTTCTCCAAGGAAGACAGCTTGCCTCCTTTGGGATCACTGCTGCTCCTCAGCTTTTTATTGGGCAGGGTAAGAGAATTCAAAATGCGATTCCTGACAAGTCTGCGGGAGGAGAAAAAGGGAAAGGGATTGCGGTCCTTATCCTTCACAGGCCCAGTATGGTCATAGAGATTCTGTTCTGCATCTTCGGAGATATTTAAGAAAAATGTACTAGTGGAGGTGCTCCCAATCCGGTCATCTTCCAGGATAAACATGCCTGAAATGAAAACAAATGTTCTTTTTTTTTTTTTTTGATCCACAAAGGTTTGGGTAATTAAGGCTAGTTCGGCAAAGAAGCTGAACATTATATGAAAGCAACAAGTATAGGGTGACTACTTACATATTCTAAAAGTCAAAAGAGTGTAAGAATCTACTGGAACTGAAAGGAAATCTTTACCAATATTATTTTACAATTAGGCCTATAGCCTCCAATTTAGTGATAAAATACCTGGATCTCATCTCAGCATGTTAATCATGACAACTATTTATGCAATTGTTTCACTAGTTTAAATTTTTACATAAGTGTTCTTATTTAAACATGCATTTGAGATTTAAATTTTCATGTACTTCTGACATTGATGATACAATTAAGAAATAAAAAAAATTCAAACATCAATTATGCTTGAAGTGAATCCCAGCATAGATTAAAAGTATCATTGGCTCCTGTATTATGGTCCCAATCTGGACCTGCCACACATTTGCAATTTATTTCTTAAAAAGCAAGCAACTGCTAGTTATATGAATGGTTTCTAAACTAATATTGATCTCAAGATCTTGAAAAAATAAATCATCCTTTCCAAAAATGAGTTCACAGTGGTATTTACTTAGGTCTTTCTGGCTAAGAAACCACGGATAATTACTATCAAAACAAGCAAACAAAATTCACCAGCAAATACATCTCACAAAAATGAAGTTTGCCCACCTCTTTGCTAATTAATGACTGGATTAATACATTACTAACATTAACTTATTAACATTAATTAAATTATTGAAATTAACATTATTTACCTTAACATAATTTGGAATTATGTTCCTTGTCCACAATAAACAAAAATTATTAATTAAGTTTAAAGCAGTTTGTTGTTGGCTTACCATATGATTCTAAGCTACATCTGCTCAACAAGAGGAAAGCAAAAACAAAAACAAAAACGTATGAGGTAGCATGATCTAATCTATAGTGCACATTATGAAGTACATGCAAAGAAAAAGCTGACCCTCGTAGTCTACATGTTTTTCAAAAAAAAAAAAAAAAGGAAGACATTTGTTAGCTACTAGTGCTGTCAAATAGCTTACTTGATGGTGCAGATTCACTTTCACTGTTATGTCTTGAACTGGTAGATTCAGAATTCAAGCTAAGTGTGCTGGGAATAGAAGAGAGTTCATTGCAGAGTTGCTCCACATCGTCGGGGACAACTGGCCAAGGTTGCCTTCGACTGTGTCTTACTGCATCCCAATTGTGATGCTTCAGAATATCACAGCCTTGCTTTGTTTTGGCTATTAGGCCAAGCACATAGACACAAGTCCTGCATTTAGAAAATAAAAGTCAAATGAAAATATATTAAAAAGTGGGAATGCAATATAGTTAACTATAGAAAAATGCTTTTTCTGTTCCTTTTGGCTTTGCTGTCCTAGGTCTGCCTAGGGATCTTGAAAATAATCAATATGACCCCACAGAAGACACTCCAAATATTACAACCATACTCAGGTTTTTAATGAAACAAAAATACAGAACTACTAAATATATGGGGAATAATATCAACAGTTTTAATTAATGCATTTCCTTTTTTTCCTTGCCAAATTACACCTGAATGAATAACGGTTTTAACTATTTACTGTTAAATAGTTAAACTATTTACTGTTTTATTGCTTGGTTTCTAGGCTTCAGTTATATATCTCCTATATTATTATGGAGATTTTAGATAGAATAGATGGTAAACAAGAAACAGTAACACACCAAGAAAGATCAGGAAGATTTAAAGCGCATAGGGATTACCACAAGAGGTTTACAAAATATTTCATTTTAAAAAGATTCAAGGGCCAAACTTTACACAATGCTCTAAGCATGAAATGGTTTGCTTTAAGTATCTGGACACATTTAGAACTTGAAACAGAGCAACTTGCTTAAGCTCTAACACCTTCCAAATTGCTTAAAGCAACTTGGCCCTTTTATGACTTGTGGACTTCAACTCCCAGAATTCCTCAGCCAGGCACTCATCAGCAGTTGGAGGGGAAAAATGGCTGGAATAGAAGAGCACAGAGTGGATGGAGCTGTGGAGTTAAGGGTAATGAGAGTGGCTGCAACTGGGATAGCTGCTCTTTGCTACGGTAAGAGCCAGGCCTACTTCATCAACAGCAGGGGGAAGAACAGAGAAAAAAAAAATGGCATTGGTTGTGCAATTGGTGCATTCCTGTTTGACCATTCAGTGGCTTTCAATATCATCAATCATGGAATCCTTCTGAGTGGTTCTAGGAATTGTGGGTGGATGACACTGTATTGTGCTGTTTCTCCTTTTTTCCAGGGTCAATAACAGTTGTTGATAACTGGGAGGGAAGAGGCCCTGCCATAGCCCCTACTGTGCATTGACCCCCAGTGCACAATAATTGCAACTGAAAGCCGAGATTGCAGTCATTGAGCAAAGTGGTCACATGGGCATCTTACTGAACAGCAGCCTTACTCAACAATCAAGATTCCGGTCCCAATTGTGGTAGTAAGTCAAGAACTACCTGTATATTCCTGTCTGTAAAGGAGTTAAATCTGATGGGACCAGGAGACAAGCCTTTTCTGCCATGCCATCCTGTTGAACATTATCTCCCCTAAGGTGAGGTGTTTGCGAACATGAGAATAAGCATGCTAGTTAGTAGAGCTAGCGTGGAAATGTTGCAAACAAATTATGCCAAACCAACTGTATCTCCTTCTTTGACAGGATTACTAACTTCCTAGAATAATGGAATGTTGTAAATATAGTATACCTAGACTTTTTAACAAAGTCTTCAACAAAATGCTTCATGATATTTATGGTATTAATATTTTAATATTCATGATATTAAGAAAAAAGCTAGAGCAGGGGTCACCAACCCCTGGTCTGTGAACCAGCATCGGTCTGCAGCATGACAGAAATTTGGTCGCACATACAAGCAAAGCCCCATTCATGGGATGCAAGTAGCATGCAACACAATGCCCCCGCTGGTCTGCGGGAAAGACTCTCTCCATGGAACCAGTCCCTGGACTCTCAACTGACTGAATGAACTCAAACACCACTCTTTAATAATTTTACTTCAGCTGGAAGAGGTAGCTAAATACTTCAAGATAAAAGAAAGACAATTCAAAAAGGGCTAGGCCCGTGGTGATGAACCTATGGCACGCATACCACAGGTGGCACGCAGAGCCCTGTCTGTGGGCACGTGTGCCGTCGCCACAGTCCTAGGCCTTCAGCTCAGTTTTATAAAACCTTTTCGCTTTAGGCCTCCGCCGTGTGCAAAAAAAGAAAAGGTTCAATCAATCAATTTCAACTTCTCACGGGAAAAAAGAAGATCTTGCAAAGTTGGAATTGATGGATTGAACTTTTTAGTCCCACCCTCTGCCGTTATCACTGCAGCCACACACACGCAATGAGCCATACCCAACCGGCACCCAACGATACATAAGTGGGTTTTGGGTTGCAGTTTAAGCACTCAGTCTCTAAAAGGTTTGCCATCACTGGGCTAGGCAATTTAAGAAATGGGCTGAAATGATTAAGATGGAATTGAATGGAGAGGACTCTAAAAGTTTTGCATGAAGGAGGCGGAAAAATGTAACATACAAGATGGGAGGTGGGGGGAATGGCAGAACGGTAGTAGTACATGCAAAAGCTACCAGCCAGCACTATGCAGTTGCAAAAAAGTCAAATTATGTCCTAGGGTGTATTTAACAGAAACACAGAGTCCAGATGGCAGAAAGCAATTGTTCTGTTCTATTTTACCTCAATTAAATTTCATGTGAAATACTCTATCCAGTTCTGAACACTATCTTTCAAAAAGGATAGTGACAAATTGGAGCAAGATCAAAGGAATGCCACCAAAATGGTAAAAGGTCTAGAAACCACCCTGTGAGGACTAGTTAAAGGAAATGATTATATTTAGCCTACTAAGCCTCTTCCAAGGAAAGATATTAATCTCAAAACTGTCACACAGGAGAGGGAGTGGACTTATTCTCTATAGCTTCAGAGGGGAGGACCAGAATCCTGCAGATTAAATCTGCAAGGAAGCAAGTTCATGCTAGACATAAAAATAAAATAAAATCATGACTATACAAATTGTCAGCTGGGGAACAAAAAGTAGTAGTTCTCCATGGTGATGTTCTCAAGCCATAATAACATTTTAATTGAAATGTGAACAACTCTTTGCTAGAGGCCTTCCAACAGGCTGAATGGTCATATATCTGAGATGCTCTACTAGATCTTGCATTGAGACAAGGTCATTTTTATGTCATAAAAATCTAAATATATTGATGTCAGACAAAATAAACTGTTCACAGATGTTTTACAATGCATTTCCAGTTTTCAAATTCTACTTACCCTCTAATGCATAGGACCTCACAATGCTGGGCAAGTGCTATTATATCAGGTATCACATTTTCTTCCTGAAGCAAATTCAATCCCCAGTTTGAAGATCCAATATTTCCCTTAAATATAAATAAATGTCAATAATTAGAAAATCAAGGAATGTTTGAGAAAAGATAGTGATTTATAATTTTAAAGCAGATTTTGCATAACTGCTACACTGTTTCTACTTACACAAGTATCCACTTGAGCCGCCAAAGGATATTCTTTTAAAAATATTGGCACCACTCTATTATAGTCTAATTTTCAACTTCACAAGGAATATGCTTTTTAAAATCTACTTCATTTTATTACTCTCACCAATAGAAAATTATAGTTAATATGATTAATATTACAGACTTGAAAATTTCCTTCTTCTACTAAAGGAGTCTTCCTTTGTAGGAGTATTGGGAACCATTGGATTCAACCCATGTACAAAACCCAACATTTAATTTTGACATCAACAAGTTTCTTTCTTGGATTAACAACCCAAAGTCAAGTGCATAAAAGCATAAATTTGATAACTAACAGTGTGACTTATTAACCAAGAAAAAATGGTATTTCTCATGATGACACAAAATAATTTTGGAGCCAACTGCAGCACATTTTTCTTTTATTTTCAGGAAATGTTTGCAATGCTATTCTAATGTTTTCTTTGCGATTCTGGTAAGTTAAACCAGAAAGTTTGGTTTGAAAGCTGAAGAAACCTTTTATTTTTCTCACCGGAAACAAGCAGGATACAGGGCTACTAATGTTAAATGGCTTGGGCCAAATTTTGACAATCTTTATTTATTGGTTTAATAGACACAGATCAATGTAATCTCTGAGCTTGTGTAGAAAAACCATAAAGGCTGCAGTTATCATTGCCAGACATAATTTAAAATTAATTCTTCTCCCAAATTATTTGCTTTTATTGTTTATCATTTGCATGCTTTCCTTCAAAACCTCTTACAGCAGGGGTGTCAACCTGCCAGCCCACGGGTCGGATGCATCATAGCAAAACTGCGCCCACCCCATTGCCAGCAATGGAGAAAAAGTCACAATAAGTCATGACATGTCATGTGATGTTGTGCGTTTGACATCCCTGTCTTAGAGGAACATAAAAAGCAGTCTCCTTAATGACTGTTTTAAAGTCCTAAATCCATAGTGGCGAACCTATAGCACGTAGAGCCCTCTCTGTGGGTACGCACACTGTCACAACAGTCCTAGGCCTTCACCTGGGTTTTATAAAACCTTTTCACTTTAGGCCTCTGCCTCCGTGTGCAAAAAAAAAAAAAAAAGATTCAATCAATCAATTTCAACTTCTTGCAGGAAAAAAAAGATCTCGCAAAATTGGAATTGATCGATTGAACTTTTTAGTCCCACTCAGTCTGCCGTTCCCACCGCAGCCACAACCACCCAATGGGCCACGCCCACCCAATGGGCCATGCCCACCTGGCCCTTGATGATACATAAATGGGTTTTGGGTTGCAGTTTGGGCACTCGGTCTCTAAAAGATTCACCATCACTGTCCTAAATCCTTCCAGCTCATCTTCCAAGCTAGAAATATAACACAGTTCTGCTGAAAATTAAATTTTCATTCAGAAAACATTTGCCTTCTTATAAGTTCACATGCCTGTCTAAATACAAATAGATTATATAAATACATTATTTATATATTCCATTCATAATTTATTTTAATTATTTAACATTTTATTATCAGCTGCTTTAAGCATCATTTGTAGTAAAAAAAAAACACAGAATACAAACAAAGCCTAAGATATTATTTTACTTCTCTATAGCAATCTACAAACATTTCGGAATAGAAACAAACTTGTGACCACCAACTGATACTTAGTTATAGAAATATATATTAAAATATGTAAATATTTTTAACTAACCAGTGCCCAAAGAGCAGCTTTTAGTTGCTTAATCCCCTCCCACTTTTCCAGCATGGGGGAACGGACAGTGTAACTCATGTCGGGAACGATACTCTAAACAGCAAAAAGAACAACCACAGTGCAATTTATTTATCAAGCGTTCCATTCTGTTTTCATATGACAGCAGCGCTAATAATAAAATACAAGTATTTATGCTTTTAATCACATTTCCACATCTTGTAGAGGCAAACAATGTCACTGCAATGGAGGCCATCTATTTCTGTAGACTAAAGAAATGGGGATTAAACTATCAAGTGTGAAGGAGCAATAAACTGAAGTATTTTTTTTTAGCCTTATAAATCAATTTTATGCAATCCTCAGAAGTTATTCCCATTAGTTAAAAGGAGAGAATGCATGCATGAATTCTGGCAATTGTTTAACTTTGTATGTGATTTTACAATTCCTGACTTGCTTATGGGGCCAATCTAGGTAAGCCAAGTCAAAGTGCCTTGTAGTGTGGATCATGCTATATACCTCTGAATCAGTAATAAGCAATTAAACGCTAAAGATAGTGAAAAGAGTATAACACTTTATTTAATAATTTATTTGAATCAATTACATTAAATTTCCTCACCTGAGCTTCCAACAAATGACAGCCTGTTTTGTGGTGTACTAGTTGGCCATAGAGGTGAACTGGCAAGTAGACATGAGGCCGCTGTAATCTGTGGGGAAGAAAAACAGTCTGTTTGCACTGAGTTAATTCTAATCATTTTAAAACCATATGCATACTTATAGGCATTGCTTTAACAAATGAGTCAAGGTGGTTTTACCTTTGGTTGCTCCGACGAACATAATTATCACCATCAACAGGTTTGCGGTACGTAGTAAGTGCTTCATTTAATTGTTCTTCTATCAAGTCGACATATTTTAAATTGTATTCCTAGGATATAATGGAATGCAGAGATCTTCAGAAAAACATTTTCTCTAGCAATAATTACATTTATAAACACACTACATGATGACCTAGTTAAAAAATGTTCCTTAATACCAGTATGATAAAATTCTTACTGGAAGTTGATTTTATAATCAAAATGCTTCAAAAACATGTCTCTATGAGAGACAACAAGATTGAGCAAGATCAATACAGTGCAATTCCCACTGGTTCAGGTTCACAATTTTACAAAGTAAGCCTATCCTATACAATTCTCCTGTTTGGTTATAAATTTATTTTTCTATAACAAATTGGAATAGTTGGCATCAATGATAATGCCTCCCCATTCATTCATTACACCAAGATGTTCATTGTGCAAAGTAGTCAAAGGATAAGCTCTTCTATTATTAAACTTTCCATAGGGCAATACTTCTACAGGTTATGTGGAACTGTTAGTTTAGTTTGAGCAAGCACTTCTACTGAAAGGGGCAGTTTTAGGTAGGACTAGTTTAATGTGGAGAATGTGGGTCAATACATCACTTTTTAAAATTGCTTTGTCTTTAAATCCCTAACTTTCCTTCTTCCATCCAAACAATATTACATATAATCTACCTCCAAACAATTTTAATACTATATTAATTTTCAACATGGGCTGGCAAATAATTCTGGTTTTTGTGGACCATTGAGAGGGTCTTGCTCCCTCAGGAATCCTAGGATCACACTTTAAGAAATACTGATCTAAGTAGATTATATCCTAAGAATGGTACTCCAAAAATACCATTTAAAAATCATTTTTTAATAAAAATTAAATACTAAGTATAATTAAAGCTATTTTTAAGAGTCTGCAAAATTTTCATACATGCATTATATACCTCTTAACTGTGCTCCAAGAAATGGCTCTTTAAAATTTTAATTTAAATATTGTTAATCCTACTAAACTATTAGTTTATTCAAACTAATTACCTAAGACGGACATTTAAATATAATTTTTCCAAATACCAGCACTTCTAACCACAAGAAGTCACATGAAAGGAGTTGAATAGGTACAGGTAGTAGTCCGTGTTTAACAGAACTAGGGCCAGAATTTCCTTCCTTAAAGGACGTGGTCTTTAGCTATGTATCAAGTTACCACACTTTTTAGTGACAGAATATTCAATAGTCCTAGACTAGACTAGACCTGCACTATTGTTAGGCAAGGATCTTACGTTTTTCCTGCCCTGCCCTGCTCAATTCTGTTTAAACTCTCCCCCACTCCCCGAATCTCCCCATCTCTGCTGTTTTTGCCACCCTACTGTTTTCTTCCTCGTACTGTCATCATAACTTCAAACAATCTCTGAATGAATGATTAAGTGGACACTACATGTATTTTAAAATTCTGAAATAAATGTATTGATAGTGTTCCTTGTGAGCATTTGTGTCCCTAATATTTGCTGGTAACAAAGTAGGCTCAGGTAAAGCCACAGTATAAGAGCTGACGTACATATAACACAGTTCCAAGGAATGATTCCGATTTGATAATTAAATACCTTCTGCCATTTCTCCATTTGTTTTGTTACATAGCCTCGTTCATTTAAATAGGAAAACCCTTTGGGGATTGACAAAAATCTGAAAAAACAAAACAAAACAAAACACTATTGTTTATAAAATATTTACATCGCCAATGTTTTCACCTGAGTAATACAATTAATGTTTACCTTAGCAGCAGAAGCATACCCTTGTCTCCTAGATGAGAAAGTGCTGGTTTCATTTGAATAAGGGCATGAAGATTAGCCTAAACAAAGAAGATAAGAGGGACAAAGTTAATATGACATAATAACAATATAATTATTAATATAATATCTAAGCAGGATTAATAAGGTTAAAATAAGGTTTATTTTTTCTTCAACTAAAGAACGAGGAAAAAAATCTCACCTTGTCTTCACATGCCTCATCAAGGATATCAAGTGCTTCAGAAGAAATGGCTTTATTTTTGTCATGAAGTTGTGTGACAAGTAACTCAATTCCCCAATTACTGAAGAACTCCACATTGGCCCTCAGAAGTACTCTGAGGTGTTTTGTAGCATATAACCTACAATTCTATGAAAGAAAAAATGAATTGGAAAACCAGAAAATGGAACATGATTAGAAATTGGGTTTACATATACAATATGTCATTGTACTGTTAATGTCAATTTCAAATCAAAACCAAGGTTGGAGTCTACTTGATCTATAGCTTCTGCCTTCCATAACATTTTCCCCAAATATATTTAATTGAAAGATTAAATTCAATATTCTCCTTAAATGGGGAGGGGAAGAGATAACATTAGTTTCAATATAACTTCAGTAAAAGACACAAGCTTTTTCTACCAACCTTCCAGTGTTTTTTTGGGAGGGAGGAACAGATTTAATTCAGAATCAGATTCCTTTGGGTTAAATATGACGTGTATAAGTGCTTGAGTATATATATGTACAGTGGTGATTAAAAATTTGTGAATCATTTTGAATTTTCAATATTTCTGCATAAGTGTGACCTAATTTAACTTGGACAGATGGATAAACGAAAGCAGAAATGGTAATTGACATTCAAGAATTCCTTGAGGAAATGTATAATCTGGTCACATATAATGCAACTTTATAAATTCATCTATTTTCCATGGCTCCATGTAAAGGTTTACTTTTGTTTAGCATGATTCAATTTTATTGTAACTGAATTTAATTAAAATTGGTTATATTTATATGATTGTATAACTATGTCTGCATTATATTTCATGGCCTAAACCAGTTGAGTAGCCATGAACCTGACAGATTTGCTAAAAGCAAATAAATAAATAGCTTATTTTTACAAGTTTATCTACAGTATTATGATGTATTTAGCTCTTACCATCTTTCAGGACACTCCTTCATAAGGGTATGAAGGGTGAAAGAAAATGGCTGACTCAGGTCACCCAGTTAGTTTCAAGTTTATGTCTGAGAAAGGATTCAAACATAGTTCATCATTTCAGCTTCTATACCATACCATGAAGACATGAATAAGATAATCTGCCTTTCACTTACATCGGTTGATGCCGTTAGGATTTTAGAAAGAATGACTCTTGCTAAACCATCTCTGCTATAGTCTAAACTAGAAACTGTCAGTTTGAGTAAGTGATCTTGATTCTTCAAGGAACACAGATTAAGGAGACTGGAAAGAAACAAAAAATGAATAGAATTCTAGTAAGATATGGATATATTCTTATAACTAAATCATAATCTAAAAAGATATGTGCCTAGTTAAGAAAAGCAGTGTGATATTTAAATTTCTTCTATTTTTCTGTTCTTCCATCAATGTCTCTGCCAGTGTTGAATTCTGAAGTTACTTGGGCCAAAGAATAATTTTGCCTAGGCTACTTTCCAACACAGTTTACGTATTTATTTATACTTCTATAGCTGCCCATCTCAATAAGTGACTTTGGGCAGTATACATCATAAAACATGTAAGAGTATTATTGTGGCATTTAAGCAATGCATATTGATTTTTTCCAACCATTTTTCCAAGAGAAATGACAAGTGCTTAGCTCTCATTACATTCTATAAATATGAAATGTTTACTTAGAAAGCATTAGGAATATATTTATCTTCTTCAACAGTCTTTAAATTGCTGGTAATTGGTGTTCAACATTTTTACAAATAAAATCTAAAATAACATTGCTTCTCCAAAAATAAAAACTTAATGTCAACTAGTCACAGCTAACTATAGTTTACCACACATTCAATTCTACAGAAATGATAACATACATTAAGATAATTTCTATGTTTAAGTTTCAGGAACTTCAACATTTGAAAAACTATTTTTGTAACTAAATACATACCACTGAAATACATTACACTTTTCAAGCATTTTCACTCCATGAGGATGACAGGAGAGGGTACCAAAAAATAAGAAGTAGTGCTGACTAAGAGTGTTAAGTAACCCATTGTTCTGGAGACTGTGTTCTGGTTTCATTCCAGAAGAAATGTTAAGCCAGTGCACAATATCTCTTACTAACTCTTCGAGGTAGCCATGCCCATCCTGCTTTAAAAGGAAAGAACAAAAACTTTATTCAGATTACTTTTAACAAATTTCCCTTGCTCAATTAATAAAAACCCACAATAATACATTTACAACTTTTCTTGGTATAAAGTAAACAACTGCTTAGTTTCCGAAAAAAGCAAAGCAAAAGGAAAATATTATAAAAATTCTGTAACATATGATATTTTAAAATCTGTGCTTAAATCAAAGGATACATAATACAGAAAAAATACAAAAATGTATGTGACAATGCTAGGAAGTTGTTTTTAAGAAATTTAGACTACATGTGAAATGTGGAGACAGTCAGTCTTGATAATGCCTCAAATGATTTTGACATAAATTGAAAGTTATTCCTATGGGGATTATGGCAGTAATAAATATAAACAATCCACAGGCAATCCACATTTTTTCCAAAGCTAACAATGAAAATAGAAAAGTGCCAAGTCAAGACTAGGTTTTTTGCAAAGTGAACTTAATTTTCTGTTGTTTTCCTTCTACATATTAATAAGTTTTGTAAAGAAAATCAAGCAAAAAAAAAAAAAAAAAAGAACTGGAACAAACAATTCTGGTTACCTTTTGCACATCACAGAAAGTTAGGAACGCAAAAGGTGAACATGTAGAAACTGTAGATAATTGTTAAGTCTGTATCTACCTTTTGTTGCACCTGCCTTCCTTCCTTCTTTCCTTCCTGTCTTCCTTCCTGAGGGGCAAAATGGTATGTTGATTGATCTATGTATCACTTCCACTCAATGTTCTGAAGCAGATTAGGCCAGTGCATCAAAAACCATGGCACCTTTTAAGTTTTAATTTCTAAATACATAATTATTTCTTAAAATGCATCTTCTGAAGTATGAAAGACGTAAGTTTCTTGGCTAATGTACCAACTAAGGAAAGACTTAGGAGATATAACTAGCATTTTCTTTGTTTCTGAACTGATTGCATTTTCTTTTTTATGTGTTTTGATTAATAAACTTTGAAATTGATTGGTCTGCATTAATTAGTTATTTTTTAAAATTAAACTAATGTGGTTGTTCCAAAATATTGTGTTGCCTCCGTATTTAAACAGAAGGTGTGACATTTCTACTTAACAAGCAGTCAGACTGAGTGGCACCATTTAATTACATTTATTTTATATTCCCCTGTGGTGCAAAGTTAAGAAGAGGAATAATAATTTCACCAAAGGGTTTTAGGCATGTCATATTCTTTTAATTTTAAATTTATTTACTGAAGCAAAACATTACCAATATCTTTTATATTACATTTTCTTCTATGACCCAGAATAAGCAATGTATTTTATGAATTCTATTTTTGCCCCAAATTAAGCTGCATTTCCTACTTAATTGTAAAGATTCAGAATTAAATTCTTCCACTGAAGTATTTCCAGTTTTGTTAACCTGGTAAAAATTGTATGATTTTGCATTTAGAATACATCAAACAGGAATCTGCCAGTCTTTAATATGGCTAAAAAGTAAATAAATTTTACCTCTTCAGATTCAAGGAGAAATTCAGTAAATTGACAACCAACAACTGTGAGCTGTTTTGACTTTGCATAATCGAGATCTAGATTGGCATACAATTTACTGCTAGGTTTGTAAAAATACATCAGCCGTCGTACAAATCTAACATCAAACAAAAGAATGAGGCAATTAAAAACATAATTAAAAGCTTTTGACAACGTATGCTTATATTTATACTTATTTATGTTACAAGATAATAGTTTCATCAATCTGAGAATCAAAAGGAATTTTTTTACAAAATCAGTGACATTAATTCTAACTTGTCCCTGAGGGCTACTGTCAAAACTATACTCAATAGGCCTCTGAGAAATGATAGAAAACTTTCTGTAGCTGTTTCTGTTTTATCATTTACTTCAACAAATGATTAATATGACTTCTGTCACTGGTTCTCCCTATTTAACAAATCTTCTTTCTTCATTCCAACAGGCATTTTTTTTTTAGACTGAAGATTTTTGTGCAGTAATCCTTTATTTTAGTTCTTCATACCTGCAATCTACTGTTGATCTCAGTTACAAACACATTAGATATATTAAATATGTATCTTAATAAATAATTAAAAATGAATCTTTCTGCCATCCCCAAGAAGAGCATGTATGTTAGTGAATTTCCTTTTCAAGCAATACTTCTGAACCCATCCAAGTAGACAAAGATCATATTTTACATTACAGAAACGATATCAGCAACTTATTATAAAATCTGATGCACTTTATTTCTCTAACAATGTATAAGCTAAAGAAGACTGCACATATGCGTTTTCAACTCTGAATCTGTTAATGTTTAAACCCAACAAATCTTTCTCCTTTATGTTGCTTATCCACAAATGTGAACCAAATAACTTTTCAAATCCCTCTGCTTACTTCAAATTTGTAGAATCTTTTTCCTGAATACAGAATTTAATATGGAATTTTGAGAGGAATATATTATTTAAAAGTAGCTAGTTAGGTTAACAAATTTTTTTAATTAGTGGAGGAAAAAGGAAAAAGAAATTCTTTGTGTGCCATCTTGCACTTACAGAATCTGATTTTTAATTAAATGAAATATGTGAGAAATATAATGTAACAAATAAGATAATATAAGAAAAATGCATTATATGGGAATTAGGCATTATTTGAAAGAGATATTTTTTAATAGAATGCCACAAATTGATGGAACAAAAATAGTTACACATATCCCAAAAATACATTTTGAATGTTGCCTGCATGTCAAAGGATATATTGTCACCTGTATTGCTGCTATTCTTGGATTGTTAACACTGTGTATGTTATTATATATAGTATTATATATTTGTGTGAAAGCATGAATAGATATATAAGAAAAATGGAGTCCATTAAACCAGAGCAGTGCATAAAGGAAGAAAAATTGTTCTAATAGAAATCAGTTGTTGCAGCAAGTAGAAAAATAGTACAATGAATATTTCTCTGAAGATACAAAAAATGCTAAGTGATTCTAAAAACAAGAGACAGTTCTTATTGAAAGTTATAAAAGTAGATGGATACTGTAATATTTCAGAGCCATCATATGATATGAGGTATCAAGAGTGGTGGGCATCCCATTCAAGTTTTTTGCAACTCAAACCTTGCCTAGCTAGCTAGATTTTAAACCACGTAGGTGTATATCACTATGCTTATGTATGAAATTTTAGATCAGAAAATGGCCAACAGAATACTCATATAACTGGAAACATAATAAAGATCCTTTTTTATGACCTACTCTGTGACAGAATCTCACAAACTCAGTGGCTAAGACAATAGTACAACTGTTATTTTACTTTTAAAACCTATCCATTTGTTTAATACCTTTAAGAATAACCTCTTGTGTTTTGTACAGAGAGCTGTTAGTTCAGCATCTGACAATAATTGTTTACACCTGTTTCCTTCTTATGTGGATGCCACACTAGATTTATTTTTATTTCTGGATCTAAAATAGTTTAAAATAGTTTCATTTACAAGAAACTAAATTCAAAATTATTGGAGAAAAGACAACCTGATTTCTTTTTATCTAAACTGCTAGCCAATATATTACAATGACAACAACAACAAAAGCCCAAGACAAAATGAAATATTTTTGTAATTATTTTTCTCAATACAGTAGATAGTTTCATACCTGTGTAACTGTTCATCCTTGTTAGTCTTTAAGTTAATATTTGGCCACTAAAAACAGCAAATACAAAGCATAGTAAGAATTATTTCAATTAATTTCTTATTATTTCAATTCTTAAATGCTATTTAGGATATCATTGTACTGTACATCTTACCTTAAGTATGGTCCCTATCAGATTCCAATTCCATTCCAGATTTTCTTTGTGATGAAGAACTTGGCTATCTCTCAGATTCATTAATAGTGCTTCTTCAGTATCCTTCAGCAGAGAAGGGGAAAGAAAAATAAGTCAATCCCACTATAAAGTTGCCTCTGCGTTACTAAACACATTCCAAATTAACCATACCAAAATTTATATGTTTTTAAGAAAATAAAACCCAAACCCCAGAGTTGAATTAGTATCTAGTAAGACAGGTTCCCATACAAATGAAAAAAAAAGTTAGCTTCGAATTACTACTCATTATAAAAGGAAGGTTTAGGTTAAAAAATATGTAAGTTCTATGTTCTTTTGAGGACAAAAAAACATAGATAACTCTACCTTAAGAATAAAGATATCTTTCTGCACGCGATACTGATCTCTTCGCTGATGGGTTGACATAGCTTTCTGAACAATGTGATCTAGATGAAGACTGTAAGGTTTAGGTCCTCTTTTCTTCATTTCATGAAAGCGTTTCAAGCAGTTCAGTGCAGCACTGGCTCGTCTACCAGAAGAACATGAAAATTAGTTATTGGTATATTCTGTACATCTCAGGGATTTTTATGCCTAAATGGCTTTAAAGCTTATTGATTTGAATCCAATACAAACCAAGTCCCATTTCAGGAGTCTAAATAAAATAGCAATTATATTGCTCTGATATTTATGCAGGTTTTGGATCTTTTCATTTATTTCATTAACAAGTAATTATCAGATACAGATAAGTCCCAAACTTATGGCCACAATTGAGCCCAAAATGTCTGTTGTTAAGTGATAGCTAAGTGAATTTTGCACCATTTTACAACCTTTCTTGCCACAGTTGTTAAGTGAATCACTTCAGTTGTTAAGTTAGTAACATGGTTGTTAATTGAATCTGGCTTCTCCATTGACTTGGGTTGTCAGACTGTCACATAACACGATAACATGATCCTGCCATAAATATGAGTTGCCAAGCATCTGAATTTTGATCACATGACCAAGGGGATGCTGCAACAGTTGTGTGAAAAATGGTCGAATCACTTTTTTCAGTGCTTTTGTAACTTTGAATGGTCACTAAATGAACTGCTGTAATTTGAAAACTAGCTATATAAACAAAATTATTTGAATATAATTTACATGTAGTTCTATAATAATTGATTTTGCAAATTTTTGGTTCTTACACCAAGATTTAAAACTACTGTCTTTAGAATAATTATGCAGGAATATCATTGCCAATAGGATTTGCTGCAGTGGAAAGGAAATTGTTTGAAAATGAAAATACTATTTAAGGATACAACATTCAAGTTATGTAATTCTAATACATGGTTCTAAGTTTAAGTCATAGAGAAATAGCTTCTGAAAATGTTAACTAATATAATTAAAAATGACAAAAACAAAATGCAATCTTGTAAAAATTAGCTACCATTAGTCCTCTCTGGCCATAAACAAAAAGAAAAGGAAAGCAATGACCTTTGAATAAGAGTTGCTTGTGTAGAAATATGCCAAATAAACTTAATGAAAGATGTGCTATTTAGACAAATACTGAATATATTGTTTGCTTCACAGAATATATATTATAAAGTGTTATGAATCGTTGCAAACTTGCATCTAAGAGTCTAACTGAAATATAACATGGAAGGAAAACAACTGGCAATTTCAAAACAAGAAAACAAGTAGATTATACTTGCTTTCTTTTGAAAATAAACCCAATCTGTCTTAATCACTATTTTGGCAAGGGAGATTTTCAGATGAAAATAATACAGGGAGCAAAATCTGTTCAGCAGTGTTATTTATGCAACTGGTGCTAATGGAAAGCTCTTTGATAGAGCAGGGTCTACCATCAACAGAAAAAAGGAGGAAACTTTCAGTGAAAAGTAATTCTATCTCTCTTTCTGACTCATCAGTATTCTATTTTGATAAGTAAAATGTATAAATATGTACTCTGATGTGCATGAAATCTGAACGTATACTTTTATTTTAGTGTATCTAAGCATGTTATTAACATTTATGCTTACAGTCTCTTCTCCTTTACAATGTCAAAAGAAGCTGCCATATTCATTAAAGTTGGTAAGCAGTGTAAATGATGGCTGTGACAATGTGGGAGAATGGTGTTTGCCTGAAAAACAGAAACAGCTTTAGAGGTTTCGAAACAAAGTCCAATGTATTCCACTTACTCGCTCCCACCTTCCTGGGAAACCTGTTTTATTTTAATGATATAAGACTAGAGCTTACTTCAAATAATATAATTAATAAAATAAATTATTTTTTAAAATGGTGGAAAAACTATTGGAAAACACTCTTTCCTAACTGCTTGCTTGCTTGCTTGCAGCAAAGGAAATAGTCTAGTAGATCTCATGGTAAAGCCATTCACAAAATATTACCAATTAATTAAAGCAGGCAACAAGCAATTGATCGCACCTAATCTAAAAAGGACAACTTGCTGAAATGATAAGAGAGTAAAGCAAAGGTGTCAAACTCGCAACATCACGTGACGTGTCGTGACGTATCACAACTTTTTTTTCATTGCCGGCAATGGGGTAAATGTGGTTTCGGAATGACGCATCATGCCCACGGGCCGGCAGTTTGACACCCCTGGAGTAGAGGGAGATCTCAAGTTAATAAAAGAAATTTAATTGTGTTGTCTTAAACCAAGAAAAAAGAAAAATTACAGGCTCACCAGCAACAAATTAAAAACAAGCAAGGATTTTGCAGTAAACTGCCCACATTTTACAGATGAGGCAACTTTGATTTGTATACTAAACCTAGAGAAGCCTTAGATTTTAAGAGGGAAGGGAAAGTTACTTCTGTTACTATCTATCTTTTTTGCTAATGTAAGACAGCAACCTGAATATGTCTTGGCATCATTTTTTAAGTTTTGAATATTATATCCTTGTCCTTTACCACTGGAAATGAAATCCAACCCTTAGTGCCTATTTCAAAGTGAAGAGCAGCTAACCAGCAAATGAAGATAAGTCTCTCTTACCATATGCAAAAGTTCCCCCAGTAAGATAGTTGCTCTGACAGATATATGATCATTGCTGCTTGTGATTACTTCAACTAGACCCTGGAATAATTAAGAAGTAAAATTCTAGATATGTGGTGCACATATGACATCCACGTTGCTTTATACTGAACATACTGTACTAAAGAACAGAATTATTATTATTATTATTTGCAATTTAATTTGAACTTACTTCTAAGAGTCCATTTCTAATGAAAGCAGAGAGAACCAGGGCCAAGTAATTGTCCATGAGGTCAGGCCTAGGTAAAATGAAAAATAAATAAATTAAAAAATGACAATCCTTCATACTGAAATTTTTTTTAGAAAAATCTATTTCAAATCTATTTCTTTATCAAAGTGAGGCAAAGCATGTGTATTCTGCTTGGGTAATAGTTAAGTACCTGGATCTGGCTCGGTGAGGTAATATAACTTTAGCTTCTGCAGCTACAAAGCCATCAGAAAGTCTCCAGCTGTCCTGAAAATGGCTTGGATCTACACAAATACAAATGTGGAAAAAATGCTAAGTTTAAAGGTGGACAGCTGAAAACCCTGTAAAATTATTGCATGGCCTTTCTCATGTGGTTTGGCATTATTATTTCTCACTGTTTCCTTAGCAGTTTTTCCTCCTATACTGCAGTGCTGGGACAGAGTTCATGCTTGTCTTGCCCACATCATTAAAAATGTTAAGTTTAAAATATTTCATGCGTGATAGTGATGATTCAAATATAAATTATTTTTTAAAAGCATTTCATATATTAGCAATTTAGACAACAAATGATTTCCCTCAGAGGGGCCTTTTATAATAAATAAAATGCTTAGAGGTATATGCCACGATTCAAGTTTATCAAAGAAAGATTACTGCATAATTATTGCAATTCAGCTACGGTTAAAGTCCCCAGGACAGTACCGCATAAAGGAATGCTCTTCCATCTTCCAAGCAAATACCATGGAGCATTTCCCTGGTTCCAATACTAACCTACACTGAGAAGTGCTTCTACAAATTCTTCTGTCACAACAGGAAGAGGAAGGCGAAATATATCATATAGAACTTCAAGCAAGCCTCGCTGTAACATAAACAGGAATAGGATTACAAAGATGAGTAGAAATATATTTATATGAAGCTAATATAAAAAAAAATACAACTCAGTTATTAAAAAATATGGACCATCTTCTTCAGGGTAGTTAATGTCCTATTATAATTGCCAAAAGTTAACTGTTTATTAAACATTTACAGCAGGAAACTAGTTTTTAAACAGTGGGCACATTATGAATGTTGAGAACATGTGATGGATGTATTGACACTCTGTCAGGGAATGGGGTTGCCCAATCACAAAATGGCTATCTTGGTGGGACATCTAAAGCAACAACTATTACAAGAATGTGATTTGGCAAATGTGGCTCCTTCTCCCAGGATACTTTGTACCAAATTGATTTTTTTTTTTCTGAAGAGAGGGGAACAGATAGGCATTCTGCAAAATAAAACATTAGATTGCATATGACGTACATGTTTTAGGAGCCTTTTCTTTTTTTAAAAAAGCCATCTTTTTATAATGGTCTTTCCTAGCCATTAAACCCACACTATCTCTAGATTTAATCAACTGCTTTTATTCTGATTTACTCTGATTTTTTTTTATGATTATAATAAATTGCTTTGGAATGCTTTGTAACAGAAGTTCTAGAAAAACATAAATAAAAAATAAACAATCTGCATTGGACTAAATAATGTATGGCAGTTAATGTACAGTATGCCAAAATGAGTAGATTAAGTTTACTGAATATGACGGCAATTCTCATGTTTCCATTAAGTTTTTAAATTCTACTGAACTTTAAACCAAATTGTGATTTATAACCACTTAAAACAAAACTTAATGTAAGCAATCTCTACAAATACTGATGGCAATGTCTGGCAGTGCCTTTGACATGTCCTCACAAAGAATATAGATGCCTAAGAAAATGGATGTTATAGATGGGGCGTTGTCTTACCTGAACGCCTTTTCTCAGTACAGAGATGGAGAATCCACCAATGGGTTTTCACAGTCTGCCTGCTCTTGAGACCAAGTAGCCAAACTTGCCACGACCCCTCTTGCTAGGAGATCCAGTCTTAACGAGGGCAAAGTGACTGAAGGTGGACAATGTGTTGGCTCTCAAACCCTTGAATTTGGCCTAACTGACCTAAGGGTGGGTGTGCATTCTCCATCTCCATACTGAGAAAAGGCGTTCAGGTAAGACAATGCCTCTTCTCCAGTACAGGAGATGGAGATTCCATCAATGGGACATACCAAAGCCTCACTGTCCTGATGGGTGGGGAACAGAAAAGGCCGGATTAGAGTCTCCAGAGACCACTTGCTGGAGGACCCTCCGACCAAAGGAGGCATCTGCAGAAGCAAAGTGGTCGATTCTGTAATGACGCACAAACGGGGAAGGTGAGGACCATGTTGCCGCCCTGCAAATCTCTTCGATGGACGCCTGGGTGGACCATGCTGCAGAGGTAGCAGCGCTGCAAGTAGAATGAGCAGTGAGATGACTTGGAGCCGGCAGGGAAGAAGACTGGTACGCCTCCGCTATACAATTTCTTATCCACCTGCCAATGGTGCTAGCGGAAACTTTCTGTCCCAGGGAGGCCGGACGAAAGGATACAAATAGGGCTTCAGACCGACGAAATGGTTCCGTGCACTTGATATAATGGCGCAATGCCCTGTGGATGTCCAGCATATGCCACTGCCATTCCAAATCATGAGAAGGGGTCGGACAAAAATTTGGTAGGATGACTTCCTGTGCCCTGTGGAACAGTGAGTTTACCTTCAGAATAAAGGAGGGATCCAGACGTGGGACCACTCTGTCATTGTGGAAGATGCACAGGTCGTTCCTGACCGAAAGGGCGGCTAGCTCAGAGATGCGTCTGGCCGAGGTGATGGCGATTAGGAACGCCACCTTGAGAGACAGATTCCTCAACGGGATGATTACTAAGGGTTCAAAGGGTGTTTTTTTAGAGCACGAAGGATGCGCGGTAATTCCCAAGACGGGAACCTGTGAACCACGGGAGGCCTGGTATTACATGCTCCTTTGATAAAGGCGCGAATCCTGGAATGGTGAGCTAAGGGAACAGAATCCACACAAGTGAGTAGCGTGGACAGGGCCGCCACTTGTCTGCGAATAGTCACAGGGGCGAGGCCTCGGTCCAGTCCATCCAGAAGATAATCCACTATCTGAGGAATGGTCAATTTGGAAATATCAAACTGTCGTCTTCGACACCAATGGCAAAAATTCTTCCAAGTAGAATCATGGATGCGATTGGTCACCGGGCGGCGAGCAGCCTGGATCATGGTAATGGCACGCGGGGAAAATAATTCCTGTGCCATTATGCTGCGCTCAAGTGCCAGACGGTCAGTTGCAACCACTGACGATCTGGATGACGGAGGGTGCCCTGATGCAGTGACACACGATGAGGGGGAATTTTCCACGGGGGAGACTGGGACAGGTTCATCAGATCGGCGAACCATGGCCTCTGTGGCCAGTATGGGGCCATGAATATCACTTCCGCCCTCTCGAGGAGCTTGCGGATGGTTGCCGGAATGAGCAGTAAGGGAGGGAAGGCATAAAGGAGACCCCGTGGCCACTGAATCCGTAAGGCGTCCGTCCCCTCCGCCGCTGGAAGGAAATAGCGGGAGTAGAACCTGGGGAGTTGGGCATTGTCCAACGAGGCGAACAGGTCTAGGATCGGGTGACCGAACCTGCGGGATATTTCGGAGAACAGGTCCGGGTGTAACCCCCACTCCAAGGGATCCACCGTGGAGCGACTGAAGAAGTCCGCTTGCTGGTTGTTGACCCGAGATGTGTTCCGCCTTGAGCAAGCCCAGGCTGTACTCTACCCAGGTGAACAGGATCCGTGCCTCGGTCATGAGTGATCTGGATCTGGTGCCCCCGACGGTTGATGTGCGCCTTGGCCACCATGTTGTCCGTAAGAACTAAAACATGCCGGCCTTTGATTCTGTGTCTGAAGTGGCGAAGAGCTAGGTGGATGGCCCGTAGCTCCAGCCAGTTGATGTTGTTTCTCAAATCCGTGCTGGACCAGCGTCCCTGCGCGAATTGAGATTGCAGATAGGCTCCCCAACTGTACAGACTGGCATCTGTCATGATGGTGATGCGGTCCGGTTCCTTGAAAGGTGACCCTTTGGTCACTGCCTGAGAGAACCACCAGCGAATCGCCCTGCAAATGTGGACGGGAATCCTGATGCATTGGTTGGATGCGCTGGCTTTCTTGTGTTGGAAGGGAAGGAGGAACCATTGGAGGTCCTGTAGGTGAAACCTGACCCAGGGTACTATGGCTATGCAGGAGACCATCTTGCATAGTAACTGAGAAAATAAGACCAGTGGAACTGTGTGTTCCCTGTATATCTGGCGAGCCAGTTCCCTGATGCTGACTATCCGTTCCTGGGAGAAGTACACCATGCAGTTGGAGGTGTCTATGATGGCTCCCAGGTGCAACAGCTTGGACGAAGGAACTGTCTGGCTTTTTTTGAAGTTGACTGAGAAACCGTGTTGTTGAAGGACGCAAATGGTGACTTTCATGTCCTCCTCAGCTGCCTGAAATGATGACGCTTGAATTAGAATGTCTTCCAGGTAGCACTGGACTCGTATTGGAATTTGCCTGTTTGGCAGCTATTACGGCTAGGATTTTTGTGAACACCCTGGGTGCTGAGGAAAGCCCGAAAGGAACTGCCCTGTACTGGAAGTGCCTGCCTTTGTGACAGAAGTGTAGAAAATGACGGTGAGCCGGATGAATGGGAATGTGGAGGTATGCTTCCGTGAGGTCTATTGACGCCAGGAAGTCTCCTTGTCTGATGCCTCCCAAGATGGACTGGAGGGAGTGTATCTTGAACTTTTTGTATATTATGTAACGGTTGAGATGTTTGAGGTCTAGGATAGCTCTCCATCCTCCAGAGGCCTTGGGGACCATGAAGAGGATGGAGTAGAACCCCCAGCCCTTGTAATCCGCCGGAACCGATTCTATGGCCTGAATGTCTAATAGATGTTGGATGGCCTCCTGCATGAGCCTGTGTTTGAGGGGATCCCTGGAGACTGAGCAGACGGTGAATCGGTCTGGAGTGTGGTCAGAAACTCCAGGGACAGACCGGACTGGATGGTCTGTAGTACCCAGTTGTCCGTGGAGGTTAGCTCCCACTGGTGGAAAAAGTGGGACAGCCTTCCTCCGATGAGAAGATTGGAATGGGAGTCACTTGGACTTCCGGTAGGCGCGGCCCGCTCCATGAAAGGGCCGTTTAGACTGGCTCTGTTGTCTGGATCTAAACCCTGGTCTGTCATAGGGACGGTCGTAAAGTCTATCCTGTCTGGGAGTGTATGACCTGGAGGGCTGGTTGGAGGTCGTGGGCGCTGTCTGATGAAATGGCTGCCTCCAAAAGTAAGGTGTGGTCCGTTTGTCAGATTTCTTAATTATGTGGGCCATGACCTTGCATTTGTCCTTATTCTCAATGAGATAAGGAACCAGGGCCTCCCCAAACAAATTGGTACCCAGATAAGGTGCTGTCGCTAGACGCCATTTGAGTTTGTTGTCGGCCTGTCAGTGTTTCAACCATAGTATCCTTCTAGCAATGATATTGGACACTATGGACCTAGATGAAAAGATGGCTGATTGGAGCGTTGCGTCCGCGGCATACTCAGTGGCCGCGACCATCTTGGCAAGATTCTAGTGGGTCTGGATATCCTCGGCCGGGACCCTGGCCTATAGTTGTTGTAGCCATAATAGGGTGGTTCTAACGAAAAAGGAAGCACATGTGGCCGTTTTGATGCCCCATGCCGCTGCCTGATGTGTTTTACGGAACGTTTCTTCCCACCTTTTGTCGTCGGCTTTAAGCGCCTCCGACAAAGCCCCAGCGATGGCTGTCTGGGATACCAGGGGTGTCCAGGCTTCATCCACCTTGGGTACCTCCAGTGTCTCAGTGAAATCTGTGGAGGTGCTAAAGAGCCTTTTGTCCGTTCCACTTATCGAAGGAAATGAAGAGGAAGAGGCCCATGGCTTCTTGATTCCCTTTAGAAAGATGGAAGGACATGGAACGTGGTGTTCGGTTGCTACCTTCTCAAAAAATATTGGTCTGGGACTGTTGTCCGTCATTGTCTGCGGTTGGGGAAATTGATCTGATCCTATATTGGCTGTGGAGGTGGCCTTGCGTAGGATGGTCAGGAAGAGATTGGAGTTAAACAGCACCCCCAATGGAGTGGATTCAGGGGGGGCTCATCCTCTGACAAATTAAATCCCAGTTGTTCCTCACCTGGAGGGGAAGAGTAACCGCTCATGGAGGATTGTGCTGGAGAAGTAGGCTCCTGGAGTATGGGAAACTCCATAGGCGGCTCATAGGGCGGCATAGCCGATGTGGAAGCCTCCTGATCGGTATGGAATGAACGCTGTGCTAGCGCCCGGTCCACGACCTTGGCTAGTAGTGCCTCGAGGCGGCCGTCGGAGAAGATATCTCCGATGTCTGGTCCCGTGACTCCAGCGGCTGCAGGGGCCAGTGTAGACTCCGGCCCCGAACCCGGTAGTGTTGTTGTCTGTTGGGCTGATGTGGAAGGCGAGCCCAGTGCTGCCGGAGTTCCTGGGATTGACCATACTCCCTGAGTGGATGAGGATGGATCCAGGGAAAGTTCCACCTCGGTGGCCGCCAATTGATCCATGTCCAAGTGGGCCTGCCTCTGTGCTCTGGAGAACTCCTTCTCCAGACCCTGGTGCCTTCGGCTGGCTTGCTTCTCTGCCAACTTGGAGGGCTTCTTGAACGTATGCTTAGTCTTGGCTTTACACTTGCCTGCCGCCTTCTGTCCAGAAGAATTAGTGCAGCCGTAATTGGGGGATGGAGAGGGTGTGCCCATGACCTGAGGCAACGGTGATCCCTCCATCCCACTTGAGCAATCCCAGAAAAAAGACTGGGAAGACGCTCTGGCAGACAAGTAGTTGGCGGGAGCGAGATTGGAACAAGTACCAAGACTGTTCCCCTGACCACCCGACCAATCAAAAGTTCTCTCTGGGCCACTGGTCACGGTTGGTGAGGCAGAAGACCAAAGGCACGTTTGGAACCACTCTCTGGGCTCCGCCCGGAGGCCTTAGGTGGCCAGGCAGTGTGTACCAGCAAAATAAAACAGTCCAACAATCCCCCCAAGGGGTCTATAGACCTTAAAAGATCAGTTTCAAATGGCAGCTATCCGAGTGAACAGGGGTTGTGTGAGGATCCCCTCCCCATCCTGGGCGGCCTGTGTGCTTTTGAGTTGTAAATCAGCCTAATGCTGTCAAGTGAGGCTGCTCGTGGTATTCAAAATGGCCGCTCCTGCCATCAATAGGCCTGATTGGGCCCAGAGAATACACGAGGTTCAAAAATGGCCGCTAAACCTGAGTGGGCCTGGATGACCCTAGGGCCCACGTTGAGGATGGCCGTGGAGTGAAATAAGCACCCCGTGAGATTCTGAGGGGTTGCTTAGCTCCACTGAATCTGATGAACTTCCGGAGGAGACATTTAAGGATTCTCCGGGAGGTTCAGTGGCTTCAAAATGGCAGCCGCTGCTGTCCTCCGAGGAGCAGCCTCCGCGGCCCTGTAATCTATTTTCACGACCCTGTGGGTCGTGGGTGCGGCGCTAGCTTCCGCGCCAAAATCGCATGCTGTATGCCTGCCTTGGCCGGTCAGGCAGCACAGATAAGGCTCAGCTGTTTATTGGGTGAAACAGCAGCCAAAATGGCGGCCGCGAGTGCCCTGGTTGCTCTCGGAGGCTCCGACGATCCGGATTCGAGGTTTGAATCCAAATGCTGGAGTCTGCCGGTCACCTCGAAAAATGGGGTGCAAGGCAAGGGAGGATGGGGAGAAATCACAGCAAGCAGTCTCTGCCGAGGACTTCTTTCCCCCCCCCACCATCCGGGGCCCTGGGAAGGGAACGTGGAGCTGTTAATTCCACCCCCCCCACACCCACACCTCTTGTGTAAGGATAGAGATCCGTACTGATCCCAATACTGTGGGGAATTTTAAAGGAGAATTAATTTATATTATGTCAATTGAAAGGAAAGGGAGAATTCACCAAAGGATTTCTTGTCTAACCTGCTATCTGCTGAGAGCCAAACCAACACACGACTTTCAAGAGCTGAGACCAAGTTAAGACTGGATCTCCTAGCAAGAGGGGGGCGTGTCAAGTTTGGCTACTTGGTCTCAAAAGCAGGCAGACTGTGAAAACCCATTGGTGGATTCTCCATCTCCTGTACTGGAGAATTCCTAGATTAACAGTATTTTGAGAACTAAGTGTGGACTGTGAAGAACATTCAAATCTCATAATTCTAACTGCAGAAGTTGAAAACATACCCGCACTTCCATGTTAGGTATACATAAAACTCCAATAAGAGATTGGATCCCAGAATTTCCAGGCTTACATAAACTAATTATACCTGAGAACAAAATGAAAGGCATAATTATATAATGGTAGAGTAGTATTCTGGGTTATGTTTTTACATCTGAACACATAAGCAGACACTTTTGTTACAGTTTCAGAGTCTGTTAAAGCCCAGAGTCCACTGGAGTTAGGCAGCCAATAAAACCATGCAGGTAATCCTCAATTTACAATCAGTTGCCTAGTTCAAAGTAATGATGCAGCTCCCTGGTATACTTTCAACCCAGTTTCAAAGTTATGATGACCACTCCTCTCCAATCACACGGCCACACTTTGGGCACTTGGCAATGGGCCTGCACTGTAGAAATTTGCAACATCCCACACTCATAACTATCTTTTACAATGTTTTTGCCCAAAAGTCAGCATTTACTTCTGGTTTTGCAAAACTGGCCATAGTAAACAATTAGTTTGCTTAACAACCATGGCATGACCACTGCAAAAACAGATCGTAAAATCAGGTCAGTATTATGGGTGTTTTTATGACTGTTTTTATGACAGACATTTTATGACTGTCGCGATTTATGACCATAATGGGCAGGCTTCATTACAATTTTAAGTTGAAGATTACCTGTAAAGAAATAATAAAGTAAAAAAAAAAATCAGAAAAAATAGGTGCCATCAATACATTTAAACCATCTATTTGTCTAGTGCATGTTATTGTTTTTTCTGCACTGAAAGCCAAGCACTTAATTCATCCTTTCTTACCTAAAGAAATTTCCTATCTACAGTTTGTCCACAGTAGGAAAGTTTTATTTCCAGGAAATTCTACTTACATCTATAAAGCATCTATATCAGTGATGGGGAACCTTTTAGAGACTAAGTGCCCAAAAATCACCCCCATTGCCCCCCGCCCCCACGGCCCGCCGATCGCCCAGGCATCTCAGCCATGCCATGGCGGCCACGCCCTCCACCCATGCCCCGCAGCATTGTCTGCACACAACGGGACACGAGAGCAGAGTTTTGTCCCTCCTACCCGGCTGCCATGTCCTTGGCTGCTCTGCTCCACGCGGGCCACGCCTGGGGGCGAGTCGTCTACCGGGGGAGGGCTGCTGGTGAGGAGGGGACCATGGGGGAGGCGGGGCTGGGGCAATGACAAGCGTGCCCACAGAGAGGGCTCTGAGTGTCCCTTCTGCCGTAGGTTCACCACCACTGATCTATATATTAAAACTCTGCTTCATGTAACCTTTAACTGGGGGAACCATGGCACTGCAAATGGGTTAATTTATAGAAAGCATTCTAAATCTGAGATCCATGACTCCCATGGAACTGAAATTTGGTAAATTTTATAAAACATTTTATGACATAAATATTATCATAAAGCAGTTTATGATATAATACAAAATGTCATAAAATGTTTTCTGTGCTTATGTTTGTGCTATACAATTCACCATGAGCTAAACAGTTTATGACATAATATGGAATGCCATAAAACCTATGCTGATGTTTGACTATGCTAAACAGTTCAACATGGGCTATTTTCAAAGCAGAGAGGACACAGGTATATGTGGGTATGTATGTGTGTCTATTATTCTACTTACTATATTCAGTTAACATGAGAACAAATAACCTACCTGCCCATGATCGAAATGCTGCCACAATTCCCATTTTACTAGCAGAAAGCCGTGCTTCTCTGTCCTCTCTGTTAAAAAAAATTAATAAGTAAAGACTATTATTTTTATTGTTTTTTAAAATGGTATTACTGTAAATAGCTTATTCCAAATTAGGAATCTGGGAATAGCAGAGGATGATTGTGTACTTACTTGAGCTGTCCTTCTGCAGTGTCTGGATTATGCCTGTAGTGAAAGTCCGTGTATGGAGCTAAAATCCGCTACAATAAAGAAGAGTGGTGTCATTCCTATTACCTTTTTATACTTTACTATCATATTTAAATTTATTTAAATGCTTCTAAAAATAATATCCTCTTTTTCTGTATAATTATCTGTATACTTTGTCAATCAGAAGCTTCTTACTTTTTAATAGAACTGGCAAGATACAGTTGATCTGGGATTTTAACATGAAATATGTATCTTGTCTCTGCATATAAACTCATCTAGTTTCTTATTTTTAAAAGAAATACTGTTAGAAAGAAAAGGCACTGGGAGATGTCTGGTTTATAAATTAGTTTATAAACTAATTTTATAAATATTGATTTTGAAAAAAGAATAATTTACATAAACATATGCAAGTATCAAATTTCAATGTTAATAGATAATATTCTGTTATTAAAAGCCAAAACTTCAAAACTGTAGTTCAAAGTTACAACATTGTTGAAAAAAATAACTTTACGATTAGTCCTCACACTTATGTCACAGCATGATATGGTTATGTGATTGCCTTTTGCGCATTTCAGTTTGCTTCCAACAAACATAGTCAATGGAGAAGCCAGCAGTAAAATCAGACTACATGATATATTCCTTAACAGCTATAGAAGTGAGATAGTAAGTCTATCATGGTCATGTGATGTTTTGCTTAGCGACAAAGTGGCAGCTCCCAATTGTGGTTGCTAAGTGAAAACTACATGCAAATAAGCAATTCAAGGTTAGAAGAAATAAGCACATTAATGCAATTATATTTAAAATTACCTCTAATTCCACATCAGCTCGCACATATTGTCGGGTATTTGGATGATTAAGAAGATGTAGAACAGTCGTTATGAGAGCTTCATTTATACGGCTTAATTGACAATCTATCACATTTTTCAAAATGGTACTTAGACCACCACGGAAAGCAACTATTTCTGGATTTTGAATCGCTGAAAGAGATTATTCCATTTTAAAGAGTATTAAATATTTTAAAATTTTGATAATATTTAATCACATTTCCACAGACAAAAATCTTACATTTAAATGTTAACATTAAATTACTTCTTAAATTTTTTTCAAAATGCTATAGAATAGTTCTAAATGCCTTAAATCCTTCCAAGATTATGCAATTCATCACTAATCCATACTACATTCCTTAAAGAAACTTTTAGAACTCTTATTTAAGACTTATTTCAAATTATTCAAAAACACACATCAGAATAGGTATTAAAGATTTAGCAACAAGTTTAAATTTGTTCAATGTGTCTTTCTCCCTGGTTATGTTGCATATGCCATGTATACTGAAAAAATTATATACCGTATATTCCTGCGTATAAGGCGACCCGGCATATAAGACAACCCCCGTCTTCGGCACTGAGTCGCATGCCTAGAAAGTCGTCTTATATGCTGGAAACTACCGTTATTTCCGGTGTATAAGACGACTTGGCATATAAGACGACCCCCGACTTTGGCACCAATTTTAACGTTTGCAAAAGTCGTCTTATACACCGGAAAGTACGGTACCGTAAAATGCCGGCGTACAAGGCGACCCGGCGTATCAGACGACCCCCATCTTTGTCGCCGAGCCACGTTCCTAGAATGTCATCTTACATGCTGGAAACTACCAGAATTTCCGGCGTATAAGATGACCCCTGTCTTTGGCACCGATTTTAGCGCTTGCGGAAGTCATCTTATACACCGGAAAGTACGATAGCATAAATGCCGACGTACAAGGTGACCCGGCGTATAAGACGACCCCCGTCTTTGGCGCCGATTTTAGCGCTTGTGGAAGTCGTCTTATACGCCAGCATATACGGTGTATATATATATATATTTGTTTTCTGAGGTTTTCACGGGTGTTTGTATGTAGGTCTTTGGTTATTCGGGTTTTTTCCCGCGTAAAATTGGAAGTGTCTTGGCGACGTTTCGACGAAGTCCCATTTGTCATCTTCAGGCTGGTGTTTTCAGCTTCGTGCTTCGAGGAGCAATGTAGGTCTTTGGTTATTCGGGTTTTCTCCCATGTAAAATTGGAAGTGTCTTGGCGACGTTTCGACGAAGTCCCATTCGTTATCTTCAGGCTGGTGTTTTCAGCTTCGTGCTTCGACACACACACACACACACACACACACACAGAGTGGGGCAAAAAAGTATTTAGTCAGCCACCAATTGTGCAAGTTCTCCCACTTAAAAAGATGAGAGAGGCCTGTAATTGTCATCATAGGTAGACCTCAACTATGAGAGACAAAATGAGAAATCATATCCAGACAATCACATTGTCTGATTTGGAAATATTTTTTTTGCAAATTATGGTGGAAAATAAGTATGTGGTCATCTACAAACAAGCAAGATTTCTGGCTCTCACAGATCTATAACTTCTTCTTTAAGAGGTTCCTCTGTCCTCCACTCATTACCTGTATTAATGGCACCTGTTTGAACTTGTTATCAGTATAAAAGACACCTGTCCACAACCTCAAACAGTCACACTCCAAACTCCAGTATGGTGAAGACCAAAGAGCTGTCGAAGGACACCAGAAACAAAATTGTAGACCTGCACCAGGCTGGGAAGACTGAATCTGTAATAGGCAAGCAGCTTGGTGTGAAGAAATCAACTGTGGGAGCAATAATTAGAAAATGGAAAACATACAAGACCACTGATAATCTCCCTCGATCTGGGGCTCACCTCATGGGGTCAACATGATCACAAGAACGGTGAGCAAAAATCCCAGAACCACACGGGGGGACCTAGTGAATGACTTGCAGAGAGCTGGGACCAACATAACAAAGGCAACCATCGGTAACACACTACGTCGCCAGGGACTCAGATCCTGCAGTGCCAGACATGTCCCCCTGCTTAAGCCAGTACATGTCCGGGCGCGTCTGAAGTTTGCTAGAGAGCATTTGGATGATCCAGAAGAGGCTTGGGAGAATGTCATATGGTCAGATGAAACCAAAGTAGAACTGTTTGGTAGAAACACAACTCGTCGTGTTTGGAGGAGAGAGAATGCTGAGTTGCATCCAAAGAACACCATACCTACTGTGAAGCATGGGGGTGGCAACATTATGCTTTGGGGCTGTTTCTCTGCAAAGGGACCAGGACAACTGATCCGTGTACAGGAAAGAATGAATGGGGCCATGTATCGTGAGATTTTGAGTACAAACCTCCTTCCATCAGCAAGGGCATTGAAGATGAAACATGGCTGGGTCTTTCAGCATGACAATGATCCCAAACACACTGCCCGGGGAACAAAGGAGTGGCTTCATAAGAAGCATTTCAAGGTCCTGGAGTGGCCTAGCCAGTCTCCAGATCTCAACCCCATAGAAAACCTTTGGAAGGAGTTGAAAGTCCGTGTTGCCCCGTGACAGCCCCAAAACATCATTGCTCTAGAGGAGATCTGCATGGAGGAATGGGCCAACATACCAGCAACAATGTGTGCCAACCTTGTGAAGACTTACAGAAAACGTTTGACCTCTGTCATTGCCAACAAAGGATATATAACAAAGTATTAAAATGAACTTTTGATATTGACCGCATACATATTTTCCACCATAATTTGCAAATAAATTCTTTCCAAATCAGACAATGTGATTGTCTGGATTTGTTTTCTCATTTTGTGTCTCATAGTTGAGATCTACCTATGATGACAATTACAGGCCTTTCTCATCTTTTTAAGTGGGAGAACTTGCACAATTGGTGGCTGACTAAATACTTTTTTGCCCCACTGTATATATATATATACACACACACATACACATAGGAAGGGGATGCAATCAAAATTACACATATTTGTGATCTACTGTATAGATTGCCCATTCATTCCAAGAGATTGAAAATTCTCGCTACTAAATCTCATATTTAACTGAAATAATTTTTAAAATGTTTACCTAATTCACAGATAATAGCAATACACGCTCGAACCATCCTGTCCCTCTCTTGAAGGCCATCATTTCCAACAGCTATCAAAGAATTGATAACTGAACTGGGAAATAATGAAGCATTGACTGTAATCATCTGCAAAGAAACGTAGAAAGAAGGAAGTATTTGCTGCATAGATGGCTCAATTAAGAAACAATGCAAAATATTCAATTATTCATAAAACAGTATTTCACCTTTTGAACATTTTGTTTTGGTATTCTGTTCTTAATTTGTAACATTTTAATTTTTAATTTTATTTTTCAAAAGATAACTGATGTACTACAGTCATACAAAGAAGCAGCCCTAAGAAGGGAAAAAATTGCTGCTAGAACATCTTCAAGATTTTTTTATTCAATTTACCCACAAAAATATACTCAAAAGCTACTTCACAAGCTGCTGAAATGTACCCCGATAATTTCTCCATCTGAAATGGTCATATAAATAATAATGTCTAGGAAAAGCTAGGAGTATGAGAGTACCATACAGCTCCAAATGTGAACTAAGAAATCCTGTCTGCCCAGTTAAAAATAAATGATTTAGTTAAAGGCCAATTTGATTAATTTTCTTAGATGGAATTTTAAACCATGGACATCAATAAGGTAAGAAATTAGAATGGCATACACACATTTTGAACCAGAGTTTAATTGCAGCTAACCATGTCCCAACTTCCAATAAGCTTTTTCCAATTCTTAAAAGGACTGTAACATTTGGTACACAGCTGATCAATGTCAAGTGGACTCTCAAAAAGTGGGCCTGAATATTACAGAGTCCTTGAATTATTGTATTTATCTACTAGAAGCCCCACATAGCAGAAAATGGACCTAAATAATACTTGATGCTTCTTTTATTTGATATTTCTCCATCCTATCTTAAAGCTTTTCCTGAAAGTCCATTGACTTTGATTGGCTTTGGAAAGTTATGGGGACTACATGGAGTATGCTGGTACAAGGTGCAGTAACACAAGAAGTTTTTTTGGGCCCACAGAATGACAAGTTGCACCATTGCTTCCCGAGCTGCAGTGGCTGCCAGTTTGCTTCCAGATGCAGTTCCAGGTGTTGGTTATGACCTTTAAAGACCTCAATGGCATAGGTTCAGATTATCTGATGAGCCATCTCGTCCCGCTAAGGCAAGCCCACCCTACTTAAACCGGCAGAGGCAGCCTATTGAGGAGCCCATAAGTCACAGAACTCCGACTGATAAGATCAGGAGAATAGCCTTCTCTGCTATACCACCAGCACTCTGGGACATCCCCAGGGGTGAGATTTGTCTCCATCCCCCATCCTTCCGCAAGGGCCTGAAGACCTACCTCTACCAGTTGGCCTGGGGACCAAATGGGAGAATACATCACTGAAGGTGGTTGCTGGACTAACTTGCTGTCCCCACATTCCTCCTCCTATACTACTCATCTTTTAAATCTCATATTATTGTACTTCCACTTTTTATTTCTATTGTTTCATTCATTTACCATTGTTATTTTTACATGTTTATCATTTTTTCCCCATTTTATTGTAAACTGCCCAAAGTAGCCTCATGATGAGATGGGTGGTAATAAATTTAGCAAATAGGTCAGAACTGTGACCATGGATAAGGGACATAACTGAACAGTTATATTTATTTATATATTTGTTTTGTACTTGTAATCTTGTTTATACAATGTTAACTGTATTTCATTACCAGCGCTGTTTTCTACATCAAATAATCAAGCTATTTGCCATATTATTTTATAATCATATAAAACTTAAGATGTATAATTAGTAAATAACAGTATATTGTGAGTCTTCACATACCTTTCTGACTAAACGAAGTGCTTGTGTTCGTTCTACTTCATTACTTTGCTGTATATCTATGCATCTAAAATTAAATACATATATATTTATGTACTTATAACTATCTATAAAACATGGTTTATTTTTTAAATGTTTGATGTATTAGTTCCTTGTATTCAGACATTAAAATTCAATATTATTGGATCCAGAATTTGCCTTTCAATACACAAAGGCTTCCTTCCTTCCCTAAAAGTTGATCTGTAGAATACTTTTGATGGAAAAATAGTACAGGTGACATTTTACTATTCCTCTTGAAAATCTACTTCCAAAAGATTAGCAGGGAGAAGTGGAATCTTCTAGTACATGGATGAGAACTGCTTAGGGGTAGCATAGGGAAGAAAGAATTAGCAAAAACTATGTTTTTCACTTCCTTTCAAAGTAAAAGTAGAGCACTACTAGTGGCTAAAAATGCTCAAATCAACCCAAAATTATTTTACAGATTATGAGATCCAACTTCTCAACATTATGTGGTAAAATAATCCAATAGATAATCTTTGATTTATGATAATTGGGGTTGGAATATCAATTAAGCAAGATACCCATATGACCGCTCCACTCAACAACCTCAATCCTAGCTCTCTCAGTTGTGGACATTAAATGACCATATAGATCATTAAGCAGACAAAACGAAAGAGTTGCCTGCCACAGGCAGGAAAGCAATTCCCTTCCATGTGCAGAAGGGAACTCCTGCAATGGGGCTCAGATCTTTAGCAGTAGCACTTATACACCATTTCATAGAGCTTTACAGCCCTCTCTAAGCAGTTTACAGAGTCAGTATATTGCGCACAACAATTCAAGCTTCATTTTTGCAGCCTATCACAGGAGTTCCCTTCCTCCATGTGGAAGAGAATGCCTGTGATTGGCTGGAGAAAAAAAACTCGGATCTATGGAATGCAAGCTTCATTTCTCTAGTCCCTCTTCCCATTCACAGAAGGAAACTCCTGCAGCAGGTTGCAGAAACAATGATCAGATCTGAAGATCTGAGCTTCATTTCTGCAGCCCAATGGATTTCCATCTTTCCACCCTGCAGTGCGTGGAGAGGAAGAGGAATGCTTAGACAGGTGACAGTAGCTTGCAACCTTTCCTGCTGGCTTTCCTACTGATTTTCTGGGGAGCTCATCAGAGAAAATTTCAAATGGCAATCACACAAGTGTGAACAGGTTACCAAACACCCAGATCACAATCATGTGACCATGGGAAAAGAAGGGCAACATTTTATGATGGCCAGAAGTGCTTTACAGATCATAAAGCACCCTTTCCAAGCTATCTTAACTTCAAACAGTTGTTAAACAACCAATCATAAGTTGAAGATGACCTACATTTGCCTCAAAGCTTCCATCATGAACTGTTCCAGGCCATTTCCTTATAAACAACTGTAGCTTTATTGCTCCAAATCATAGTATCAACAAGATCATATCATCAGAAGAAACAACCCCAAAATTACAAAATATGCAACAGGTTCTGTAGATGCTTTTATTAGACTAATATCTGGCTAGTGTGCCCAAATACTTCTATATTTTTTCTTATGTGACTGAAAGCAGAATTTCTGCATATATGTGAATCCTGTACGAGCACTGAATATGCGTAAAGCAGTGGTTACTAACAATTTTGGCACCAGGAACCGATTTTGTGAAAGACAATTTTCCCATGGATCGTGGGGAGGGGGGGGGGAGAGGCGCACACGACCTATATCCCTTGCATGCACAGTTTACAGTGAAGTGGAACTGAGGTGGTGATACTAGTGCTGGGGAGTAGCTGGAAATACAGATGAAGGTTTGCTTGCTCACCGCTCACCTCCAGCTGTGCAGCCCAGTTCCTAACAGGCCACAGACCAGTACTGGTCCGTGGCCCGGGACCACTGACGTAAAGGATGGGATCATGATTCTTGTTGGAGGAGGCTCCAGTTACAAATTTAATAATACAAATGACACTGTTGATGGGTCATAGAAACAACAGATACTTATGAAAAATCCAAGCAGTTTCAAATCACATTACTGTAATATTATTTTGGCAATTACCTGGCTATTAAGTAATCCACTTTCAGTTTTAATACCTTCTGTAAAATACTGGAGTCTCTGATTAGATATCGAAGAGCTCGGAGTCCTGCTGCTCGCACCTCTTTTGCTTCATTTAATAAAGCTAATCGCAAACTGTGATGATAAATAAGTCATTCAGGCTATAAATGATCAGAGTACATCCATTCTATATTCCCCAACTCCATTTTATGTGATTAACTAGCTGCATCTAACTATTTTTAACACTGTAGTATCCAAAATGTGTTTTTACAACATCTATTCACCAGCTAATAATGTATGATACATTATAATGTATAAAATGTTACTGAAAAACTGTTAAATATATAACATATTATATATTTAATCTAATTAAAAATATGAATCTAGAGAATGACATAAACATAAAACATTTTACATTTTGCTGTACACATTAATTGTTGAAATTAAGTCAGAATTATCATAGAAAATCATCTCTGCAACATTTAAGGAATTACATAATCCCAAATTTGCAAAGTTTTTAACAATTTAACTTACCAATCCCAATTAAATTTTTCTTAAAAAGTTCTTAAAAGAGTTTAAATTCTCCCAAAGTTCATTTCTATAGTACCAAGAATACAAACAAAGGCTAATTATTCACTGCCTTCAATTAAGGAGATACTTCTCCTTGAAACTCATGGCCTAATAGTGATATGTGTTTTTAGATGACCTTGGAAACTACTTTTAAAAAATATTAAGATTTAAATTCTTTGGCTATTCCATTTTATAGCCAGTAAAGATTCCTTAATTTTACACTTAAACAATACTAGTTTCTGTTGTCTGGCTTCATTTGCAGTTTATCAGAATGATCAAAAGTGAAATCATTATGAGGTAAAAAAAATCACCACAAAGCTAAATGTTTTCAATATTACACTGGTATATCTTATTTTTCCCAGAGGTTTTCAGCTTAGCACATTTAAGATTTTGAAAGTCAAAAGAATGGCCAACTGGGTAAAGAAGCACAAGGAATCATGTTTACATCTTCTAAAAAGAACAGTGCTTTTTTCTATGTTTATGATGGCCTTTATAGTGCAGAAAGTTGTTAAGTTTATACTATCAAAGTTCTAGAGGACTTTTCTGGAACCAGATTTAAAATACAGCATTGTTGTGATACTTAAATTAAATCCCCAATAAACACAATAATGTAATTTTAAAATTACAAAGAATAAAGTTAATCTTTAATCAAATATGTCTAATCTTGAGATATAGGTAAGGTCAATCAATAATACCTATTTGACATCTTTAACAGATATTTTTATTAGTATACCAAATAAAATTGGTCTTGTTCAAATTGTTTCTGATTTTAATATTGCACTATACTGTATTCAATTCTGTTAGCAGTAAATGGTAAGTAAGACATTATTGCCTGCCTTAGCTGTGAATGGAAATAAAATGCATGTAAATTGTAAAATACTAAATTTCTCTAACAACTCCAAAAGAAAATACAGGTAGTCCTCACCTTCCTTCCTTCATTTAGTGACTGTTTAAAGTTACAATGGCACTGAAAAATGTAACTTAGGACCATTTCTCAGTTATGAAGCTTTGTATAGCATTGAAGCATCCTCATGATCATGTGATCAAAATTCAGATGCTTGGCAACTGGTTCATATTTATGACTGTTGCTGTGTCCCAAGGTCATGTGTTCACCTTTTGCAACCTTCTGACAAGCAAAGTCAATGGGGAAGCCAGATTTACTTAACAACTGGGTTACTAACTTAACTGCAGTGATTCACTTAAAAACTTTGGCAAAAAAGGTGGTAAAATGGGGCAAAATTCACTTTAAAATTGTCTCACTTAACAACAGAAATTTTGTGGTCGTAAGTCAAGGACTACCAGTATGTCATGCTGACTACTTTAACATATTAATATTTACTGTTTTGAAAATGGATCAAATCATAGCATATTCTGTAGTATTTAACTGCTTATCCATTGTTTATAATTATTTAGATTCTTTACTATCCCAATGTGTGGCTAGTAAAATTCTGGATATTTTAAACAAAAACTATTTCAAAGAATTTCTTTCAGGTCTTTAACAGTAAGCAGGATATAGTACACAACAGGCTTATGTTTAAGATATCACTTGGTCATAAATTCCAACTGTGCATCAGGGACAGGACTAACAGTCAGAGTAACATCAAGCTAATAATCTCTATTGCTCACAATTATTATCGGGTCTGAAGAGGTGTCCACTTCAAATCCACATTAATCCATTTCCACATTTAACACCCACCACAACTTAGAATTTCTAGCCTTTTGTTCTTATTCGGTCAACTTCTCTGGATAAAACTGCTTTCTGATTTGCAATTACTTTAATACAGAATTTCAATCATCAGATTACTATTTACAATACACAACACAGCACTTACCATATGATGATATCTTCATAAGTAAAACCTAATTTTTCTTCTGTATGACCAGCATTACAAAGAAGCTGCAAGATATAAATTTCAATACTTTCAACAACAAAATTAAAACAATTTTCGATAAAAAAGTCCAACTAATCATTTCCTGACATCTGTACTACTTCCCAATTAACCAACCTGAATATTTTTCCAGTATATTATTAGAAAAGGAAGAAATGGCCTGGTTGAATTATTGTCATTACTTTTTGTCAATTATTTTGAAAGATTATTTCAAAGCTATATAGTAGTAAATAATTTCCAATGATTTTCACCATATTAAGCTTTCTTTCTTTCATTGTTACTTTTTAAAGCTCTTAAAAGAGCTGAATAGAATATGTAATTTGTATATCAATTTTCTCAGATTTTCTATTAAAGAGCAATAGCAATAGCATTTAGACATATATTGCTCCATAGTGCTTTATAGCCCTCTTTAAGCAGTTTATAAAATCATCAGATTGTCCCCAACAATCTGGGTCCTCAGAAGGATGGAAGGCTGAGTCAACCTTGAGCCATTCAGGATTGAACTCCTGACAGTAGGCAGAGTTAGCCTGCAATACTGCATTCTAACCACTGCGCCATCACAATTCCTAATTCAAAAACAGTTCTTGAATTATATAAAACATAATTTTCAGACTGTCTCCACATGATCTCCACAATATCAGCGACATCCCATAATTATTGTTTGCTGAAAATATTATTTTTAAGAACATTGGGAAGTTTAATTGTAAGTTTCACTATATGAAGCATCATAGTTTTATCTATTTAATTCATAGAATTTCTAAATTATATCAGAAACATTTGTTTTATACATTTCCTTTTTTCTTTTCAAAACTACTATCACGTTAACCATAGAAATATTCCAATAAACCAAATAACTCCTACATAAAACACGGGGACAGCTCTTTTGATATTTAAGAATATGCTTGAAATCTCTTAAAAATTACATCTAAACAGAGTAAAAGCAACACATGAAAGAAACTGGCCATATGAATGACCACCATCCTTCCATATTTCAAACCTGTTTTAACATTTTGACAGTAGAGGGGAAATTTGGGTGGAGGATTCAACAGCAGCTGTATACTCACTTGAATACAAGTAGAAGTGAAACAAAGAGAATGCATTTGTAAAAAAATGCAAAAAATTGCAATTAAATTAACCTGCCTCTTTTTTTGGAATTCTAGAACATACCTACAACTTAATTGTATTCAATATCACTACTACTACTATGCATGTTCTCAAAATGTTCAATCATTTATCCAGTGGCATGAGGCTTTTGGTAATTAGAACAGCTCCCCTCCCCCCCAAAGATTCAGATAGCAGCCTTTTTCCTGGGATTCTGAAAAGCTCATCCATCTTTGTAGTTTCTTCCTTCACCATACATCACTTTGAAGAAAAGATTAAACTTCTCTCCAGAAATCCCTGTCTCCATTGTCAAATCTTAATTTCTACTTTAACAAACTGAAGAGAATAAGATAGAATCAAAATTATTCCCCAATTCCTTCTCAGCTGCTACTTTTTTGTTCAAAGTTCCATTCTTAAATACCAAATTAGGCCGTTATCTCCATTAAACAATGGAAAGAAAAATATGAAATGATGTCCTGGGCCTTACATTTCATAAAATTGACAAAATGTTACTACATTTATACCTGAAGTAAAAATGTAAGAGAGCAGCTGAAATACCAATTTAGACACTTCTTTTCCACTTTATGTATGTGATTAATTTTGTGAAGGAAGTTTATAAAATAAGCTTATATATAAAATAAAAGTAAGGAGAGCTTCAGTCCAAATAAGCATTGATCTAGGGCAGGGTGTCAAACTGGCAGCCCATGGGCTGGATGGGTCATGTGTAGGCTATGCCCACCCTGGCTCAGCAAAGGCAAAAAAGATTGTGATACATCACAAGACGCGATCGAGTTTGACACCTGTGGCCTAGTGCATCAAAGCTTTGGGGGCACCAATACAGCCTCATCTTCTGAATGATTCTAAAAATTCAAACCTTCACGTTTGCAGCATATGATACCAACAGTCAGTGTATCTTAGGAGTGTCATATGCCCTTGAGCTAGCATTGTTCCAACGGTCTATGAACAAAATTTGTATTAGGGAGCTACACTGGTTATTATGTGTGATTCAAAGTGCTGGTTGTTATCTATTATATACAGTACAACTCAGAGTCTGAGTACTTTAGAAACCATTTTGCCTACATAATATAGGAGACCAGGGGACAAGTGCTGTGACAAGGTGCAACTGGAGGGAGCTTGATAATGAATTTATTTAAAATATTTGTATTATGGCTGCCCATCGAAAGCAACTCTGGGCAGCTAACAAAAATCATTAAGCCAATAAATAAAATAATAAAAACAATAAACACTCTATGCCATAACCATCCCCCTTGGGATACCCAACAGCAGACTCAGCTACCCTCCTAGTGAATGCACCCTGTAAGATCTCCCTCTTTATCGCAAAACACAAACAGCTCTCTCTCTCATAGTTCTCCAGCAGGCTTTAAACAACTGGCTTTTTGAGAACTGATCGATGTAGAACCACTGGCAGATGAATGCTTTTTATTAATCTGAATTATGTGGAATTATGATATATTGTTATTTTATTGTTACTGCATGTTATATCTTGCCTAAAATCCCAGTAAATTGGACTAAATAAATCCTACAAATAGGTCATTAATATCCAACATCTCAATTTCTATCTTAAAAATGTATTCATATATGGCTGAACAGATCCTTCAACAGGCTTCTCGGGATCTGCAAAAGGGAGACAGGAAATAGCTGTTGGTTCAGCTGGCTGCTTCATGGCCCTTTCAATGTCTTCACAAGAACGCATATATTCAGAATATATTTCCACTGGAAGCACATCCACAGTTGTTTTGTATACATCAAATAATATGCATTAGCTTCTTCAACACAGTTCATTATCATAGCAGTCCACATATTTATTCAAGCTCCCCAAAACTGTGGATATCCAAGTAATTTAAAACAATTTAGCAATCCTATTACTACTTGATGACACTATCATCCCATTGCTACATCATTCAACCACCATTTTTCTAAAACAAATATTCTTTGATTCACTAATAAAAATAAAATATAATGTAGTAGTCACTAGATTTCTTACCTTTGTAAAATTATTCAAATGGCCAAGTTTTCTCATATTTGAAACCCCTTGCAATTTGGCCACATTTTGAAGAATCTCTCTCAAGTTATCGGAAGGGTCTACAAAATAGATATGGTATAGATAGATGAGTTAGAGAAACTATACTGTCCCCAAAACAATGAAAAATGTATCCCTTAGGAAACAGATCACAGTGTAACTCCTTAAATTATCTTAATATTTGTCTTTGAGAATTCCTGCCATGTTTTGAAACACAAATATATTCCATACTGGAGTTATTATTTTGTTATTTATTTATAAATTTGTGCCTTTTTCTGATCCAAAAGACAAAGTTCAATGGTTAACCACTTTTATTTTATGTTAGTCACCCAACAATCAACTCCTATGGTAGAGAACAATATTATAGATTCAGCTATCATCAGTCCAGTACAAGTAGTTCTCGGCTTAATGACAATTGGGACCAGAGCTTCCATTGTAAGATGGTGTGGTTGTAAGTTGAGTCAGACCCAATTTTACAAGTTTTATGGTGGTCATTAAGTAAATCACTGCAGCTGTTAAGTGAATCAGTGGCTGTTAAGCAAATCCAGCTTCTCTAATGTTTGTTTGTTTGTTTTGCTGGAAATTGGCAAAAAAGATAGCAAATCACATTCCCATAACTAAAAGATGTGAATTGGTTGCCAAGTGTCCAAAATCCTAGGTGAGCATAGGTGCGATGGTTGCAAGTGTGTGAATTGTCACTTTTTCCAATGTTGTTGAAACTTTAAACCACTGTTAAATGAACAGTTATTAAGTCAAAGAGTACCTGTAAAAAAGTTAAAAACCTATTATTTTGTTACTGCTATAACATCAAGCAAAATTAAAAAAAATTGGTGGAAGGAAATCTTTTAAAATATATTATTTTCTAAATAGTAGAACATTTTGAGATTCGAAAGATTCTTTTAAAAATGAAAATAGCACTTCCATAGAAAATGTAAAAAAATGAGAAAAAGAGAAAAAAGTTAATACAGAAAACATTTGATAAAATTTAAGAAGCAAAAGCTACAAACAAAAGAGATTACAAAGAGTTTACAATAGTATCGACATAAAAATACCACTATTATAATCTTTGATTTTAAGGATGCATAATACATGAGTCAAATTGCTGTCCTACAATTTAACATCATCAACAATATAATATGGATGATGTATATACTTTTGTTTTGAGCATCTAGCAGAATATTGGCAAAATAATTCTAGATTCAAATAATTTTGCTATGAAGTTATTTATATTTCAACTGCAAGTTCATACAATTATAAGTTGAAAATCTTATTTCACTGGCATAATAATAAATCAAACTACAGATAGTCCTTGTTTAATAACCACAACTGGGACCAGCAACTCAGTCAGTAAGCAAAGTGATCGCTAAGTAAAAGTGTGACTGTGTTTGCAGATCTATAAAGCTGTCATTTGCTTTATAGATCTGCAAAGGTAAAAAATGCAAGGATTGGTTTCAAAGTTACTTCTTCATCACCCTCATTTAGCAACTGTGAGCACTGCACAGTTGCTAAATGAGGACTACCTGTTCTTTCTCAATAAGGCTTCACAAAACAGAAACATTCCAGCTTGATCAAATAGCCGCCAAAATGCAGTTCTATTTGCCTGTTCTCAAAGTAGTAATAAAATGTCCTCTGGTCACAAAGCTATAAAGGCATGTATGATATATTACAAGGATATGAGTACCTCGGTTATAAAGCATGGTTCCAAACACTTTAAAAATTAAGTAATTGGGGATAGGAGGCATTGTTTTGCAATGGTTCTGCTCCTTCCTCAATCGACAATTTTAGTCCACCATAGCAGATGGAAGGAGAGATTGACCCAATAACTGCTAATGGGTGGAGTCCACAGGATTCAATTCTCTCTTCCCTGTGTTTTAACATCTATAGTAAACTGACGGAGGTTATGTGACAATTTCGGATGTGATAGCAGTATCCTGGTGATGCCTAATTATACACTGCTATCCCATCCTGTAAGAGAGATGTGGCTGATGTCCTTTTATTTATTGATCACATTTAAAAACTGCCCATCTCCCTCACAAAGGGACATTGTGTACAAATAAGCACCTGGAACCTGTGAAGATTGGATGAGAAACAACGGAGAAAATCTGAACCCATGTAAGACAGAATTACTGCTTGTACATTGGAATTCTTCTGAATTCATATCTCCTGCCTGAAAGCTGGTAATAGCCAGAAGAACTTAAGTTTAACTTTGGACAGTACAGTTGCAGTCTTTCTTACTGCAAAGATACCTAGCTATAGTAGCTCATTCCCTCAATACCAACCAGTTAGACTACTGCAAAGCAATTTACATGGGGTTCCCTGAAACTGCAACTGGTCCTGAACATTTGTTTAACAAGTAAACCATTGTACATCACTTGTATGTGAATTGCATGAAACAGGAAAATATGTTATATAAAAAGATTTAATGGAATAAAATAATTTAATGGATAACCCCATTCAGAAAGTCTTACAAATATCACCTTATGTCTTCAATGAGATGAATGAAAACAGAACTTTAAAAAAAGTAATTCATGCCATTAAGTGTTAACACCAACTTGATGGCACCTAATCCAGCAATCCACTCGTATCCATGCTGCACAAAGAACATACTAGTTATAATGGTATCTTAAAAAAACAACAACCAAGGCATTATACTAATGCTAAACAAAATATTTCAATGCTTGAAATGATTTTTTCATAATCCAGAAGCATTTAAGTTTGTTACTTTAAGAACCTTAAAGGTTAGTTGGCATCAGCTGTTCCAGTTTCTATAAATTTCAGATCGAGTCACTAATACCCTATAAGGCACTCTAACTATGGCTTTTCTCAGAAACTTCAAATGGTTCAAAATGCTATAGCAAGATTACTTTAGTATTTGTCATATTTATTTTCAATTCTATATTTTTGTTGCATTATACTTTTATCTAATATTTACTGCAAATAAAACTAGATGCTGAGCCATCATTTATATATAAAGATACATGTAGATTCATATCCCCAACTAGCCAGTACACTTAACTGTTACCACAAAGAGTTCTGTGTGGTATAGCAGTTTCAATGTTAGACTAGCCGCAGGTTTTAGTCTAAGCTCAAACACTGAAGGTCACTAGTTGGGTTTGAATCAATCACTCGCTCTCACCTTATAGGGTAATTTTAGTAAAGAAAAATAGAAGGAAGGAGATCATATATACTAACTTAAGTTTCTAAGTAAAAAACAAGATATAAATCTAACTAATACATTAAATGTATTTTATTCATTTGGCAATGGAAACTTGGGATAGAAAATAAAGACACTATCAGGAGATGACAAGAAAACTTTGATAATAAATGGATTTTTTAATCTCTCTCTGATCTTACACTATCTCTGATCTTACGCTTTCTTATCCTTTGTGGCTGCATTCCAGTGCAATAGTTCCACAAGATAAGAATAGGTTTACAAGGTGACAGAAAAGTTATGTTCCATAACATTTCATGAAACTCAATTCTGTTCATTCTGCATCTGCAGAAAAAAGCAATGCACTATCATCCCTAACCATCTGTTAAATTTTCCTAGGTAATCTTGATTAGAATTATTCTTAATGATAGTCTGGATCTTGCAACTAGTCTAGAAATAACAACTTATCACCTAGCAATCATCATTAGGTATATAAATTTTAGTACTGAAACAATTTGATTTGCTGCTGATTTATTCTGGATTTAAGTCAGAGTGCTGATTCTGATTCTAAAACTCTACTGGAAAATGTGAAAATACATTCATTCCATACAATTGTCTAAATCAGCGATGCCGAACCTATGTCAAACATAATACCAGACAACTATACTCGCACCCCATTCTCGTACAATTTTCAGAGGATGTGGGGGCTATACGAGAATGGGATATGTTCTTACATAGACTCCAATGTCCTGAAATTGTGTGAAGCCATGATCCCATGCACTCTCTGGAGCCACTGAAAATTGTGCAAGAATGGAATGTGCTTTCACACAGTTTTCAGAGACTCCAGAGGCTAGAGAGATACATTCTCCAAGTTGTTTCACATATGTAGGCCTTGAGTGGCCCCAGAGCAATTTCGGTAGGCTGCAGAAGCCTCTCAGCAGAAACCACCTGAAGATAAGCAGTACATGGCGGATTCTGGGGAGCACTGGGCCAGTGGGGTAACCACACCATTCTCCAAGGCTCACAAACCTTGGGGAATGGTGCAAGGTGGCTTTTTTGAGTGGCGGAGTGGTGCTAGGGCTGAGTTGAAGTATGGACCTTTATTTCAGGCTCAGTTTCAGCACTGCTGCTCAGTGCCGCAGTTCAAGGTAGCCTAGATGGTGCTTTTTGGGGGGGAGAGATAGAGATTTGTTTCTCTTTTGTTCAGGTGTGATGTGACACACCAGCAGAGTCAAGCTAGGCATGTTCCAAATTTTGGGCATAGCTGGCCCAAAAGATTGCCATCACTGCTCTACATGGAATCTTGTTGTAGATGTTTGTGGTTGAATATTAGGGTGGCATCTACCACAAACAGAATTTTTTCCAATAATGAAGAGAATATTCATTAAATATTCCAACACAAAATCAGCAAAATACTCTTGTGAAAGTGATTTGTGACTATTTTTAAAGAGAAATCCTTTTAAAATTTATCTGCTACTGTTCCTCAACAACTTTTCATAAGTTATTTTAAAACTGATGACATACCACATAAATATAAAACACATTCATTATGGCTATATAGTTTATATTATATTAGTTTCAATAAGTAACCCCATGGATCTTTTTCTTTAAAGTTTACAATTATTGTACAAACATGTAATTTATATTAGCAAAAATATCTATGCTATAATATTGGATAGACTGCATACATTGGACTTGAATTAAAGCATGTATTTACTTCTACAAAGTACCATGGACACCTGTTATTGCCCAGACTACTAATATTATGACAGATTTTCGTGTAAACTTGCATTAAAATCAGACAACATCTGGCATTGACAAGATTTTCTTTATAAGCTCATATTTAGAATTTATCTTTTACTACTGCAAGTACAGTCCAATAACAATCTAAACACTGGAAAAGCGTACATG